GAATCAAGATTGCCCGGAACAAGGCTATCGAAGCAGCCAAAGACCGCAACCACACTCCGGTCATCATCAATGGCAAGAAGAAGTACCAGACAAAGAATGGGGGCGTGATGATTTGCGGGAGTTGCTTGACGACTTCTTTCAATTGCAAGTGGAAGCAGGAGTGCCCAGGTATGTTCAAAGGAGTTGGAAGAGATCCACCGTCCACCCCTTTTTGGAAATTCTAAGGCAAAAGAATTGGACTTGGCAACCTTTGCAACATGATTGGACTCGACAAGAACATGCATCAAAGGATTCAAAGAGATATCCAACGTCTTGACAAGGCGAGATCTACTCCTAGTGCGATCAAAAGATTCCGGCAGAATGAGGAGGCTGGGCGCAAGAAAGAGTGAAGTCAGGTGGCTCCTCGCAAGTTGGCCAGCTTGAGAGGAGGAGCCAAAGATTCCTTGGCCAAAGCTTGGACAATCAATGTGGGTGGTTTGAAAGGACTATGGAGGTTGATCCACTTACTTCAATCTACAAAACTGCACTTGAGGCCTCAGATTGTTGCAATACAGGAAACTTCTAGCACTCTTGAGGAATGGAAAGCGACTCTCAATCGTTTGGGCTTTCTTGTTTGCATGGCTTACGCTTCTTCGAACTTGATTCAAGGCTGCAAGACTAAAGGCAGTATCCTTTTGGTTTCCCATCAACTTCGATCGAAAATGCTTGACGAGGTCTATGACAACAAAGGACTCTGCAACTGCCATTGAAGTTGAGGATATGATGATCATTGCGTCTTTTTGTCCTCCTACAGATGCAGATCCACAAGAACATGCATCTTTGCTGGAAGAGATGCTTATTTGCATTGCGTTGCAAGGGAAGATGCTTTGGTGTGCAGGCTGGACTCAAGAACTTGATGAAGCGTGGTCAGTGGCTCTCGCAGCAATGTTTGATGCCAAGACGGTTCCAATTTCTGCTTCATCAACTCGATGGAATGGCAAGAGTTTGATCGACTTTGTCATTTCGAACGTTCCCAATTTGCACAGCCATACTTTGGATTCACAAATCTCTGATCACAAGATTTCGGAAACTTCTTTAGTTATAACTTGTTAGCTTCGCAGATTGGCGCTTCAAAAAGGATGTCAAGCTGGATCGACCATCTTGGCTCTCGTGCAAGGCGTGGAGCAAACTGCTGCTGAAGCTTTTGAGATTGAGCGATCAACTGGTTGGCAATGTGCATGCAAAGAGATGGATATCGAAGATATAGCAATGGATCTGGAAGGGGATCATGAACAGGAAATGACTGACTTTATTTGGCGCTTTTCGATGCTCAAATTGCTGACAATGTATCGTACTGCCTTTATTTAGCTTTGCTCAACGTACCGGGTGAGAATGTGCACTATTTGGAATTGAAACGCGTTGAAAAGCTTGCAAACATTGTTCAAACAGGTAGACTTGCAACCAGGTTCGCAATTTGTGGTGGCGCTTATACTCTTCCAATTATTTGCCTTGTCTGCATGACCTCAAGAATGGCATGCTTGACTGGGAAGCTGAGCTGAAGAGGTTGGAGGAGGAGGACAAAGAGACGGCAATGAAATCTTGGAAGAAACGCATTGTAAGTGACCTTTCTTACAGGTCGTCTTGGATCACTAAGAAGAGAGTTTCTTATTAACCACAAGTCGAATTTTCCGAGCGAACCTCAAGAACCAAACTGGAAGCAGTCGATCTCATCAAGCAATTCGATGACACTTTGAAAGACACCATCATGATGACCAAGTCTGAGAGATTGATTCGTACTACTGCGATAGAAAAATCACCTACAACAAGCTTACAGCAATGTCAGTGGAAGAGGACCTGGTTTGAAGGAACTCCAAGCGGCTTTACTTCGGTACAAAGGTGGAGCTGGCTTAGATCAGTGGACGGCGCTTGAACTCAAGTCCATTGCAAGGATACCAGAAGCTCTAAAGATCATTGCGCATTTTTTTCTTACTGGGCGAAAACTGGGACGACTCCAAGCATTTTGAAGCAGGTCAAAATGGTCTATGTCCCGAAAGTAAACAAATTGGAATTGGGGGCAGTTGCAATCAAAGCACTGAGGCCGACCACTGTCTTTAGTACAGGTGGCGCATTTAGTTCTACTTGCCCCTTTCTCCGATTGTGGATTCTTTGCGTCTTGCTATGCCAAAGGACATTTGTTGCAGGAGATGGGTTGGGCCAGAAATCCAAGCTGCAATTGCCGATGCATTTTTGGTGAAATTTGGATGGGGAGCTGCTTTAGATTTCAGTCATTGCTTTGACACTATCGATGTGGACGTGTTGAAACAAGGCCCTATTAATGGTCTTCAGAAGGGCCCTCTGTGTGACTGGGCCAATCTTATGTGCAATCGTTGGATGAGCTGCGAGAGATGGATCCATTACAACAAATGCGTTGGAAGTTGTCTCAACAACAAAGTTGGTATTCCACAGGGCCACAGGGTGATCCCGCGTCACCCCTTTTCTGTCACTACTTGTTTGGATTGGGCACGGCCGTGTCGGTCGAAACCATTTGGCAGGGAACCTTTATCAATGCATTTGGACTGATGATCGCACAGTGGCTGCTAGCAATGAAAAACTTTTTATTGATGCCATTCACAGATGGCAAAACTTTGCAACTGACTTTCATTTGAAAGAAAACCAGATAAAAACTCAAGTTGTTCGTCCAGGACCTGGCCAGAAAGCCATGGAAGCGCTTGGTGCAAAAAATTGGCAAGCCGCATGCACAGCGTTATGGTGGAATTGAAACAAACAGACGACGATTCGATAAAGCAATACATGTGACAAGGAGGATTTCTTTGCTTCCTTGCAAGCTTACACACTTACGTGACCTTGGAACCATATTGCCACCTGCAATGGCGTATGGTTGGATTGCTTGGAGTCCCAGCAAAAGGCAAGCCTTTTCACTGTGCGATTTGGAAAGCTGCTGGAAGACTATCATTTGCTTCCCGTCTCTGAGAACAATCATTAGTGGAACTCATGTGGAATCTGGACAGACAATCCTTATTAGACAATCAGGATGCTTTACATCCGTGACCGCAAGCTGAGAAGACTTGGATTGGACCCAGACACTTTCGAGACTTCACTGAACAGACACGTTGTGGAGGGACTGGAACATCTTGGATGGCAACAGCACAACACCTTTTGGAGACATATGCGTTGCGGTTCATTCTTCACGCGAGATGTCTGCAAGAAGAAGGAATGGCAAAAAAGATGTCACCAGGCGAGTGGTTCCATGAGACTAAAAGCTTGGTCTGAATTTGCACAATCAAATCGCGTGAAATTGCCAATCAAACGCTGCCAAGAACACCCTGGTGCTGGGGATTCCAGCAAAGTTCATTGACGAGCTCAAGGGCATCTTATCAGGGTGGGCCAACTCCGGGTACGCGCCCATAAAGGAGCTGCGAGTGGTGGCAGGCAAGTGCGCCTGGCTCGGAGGGGTGTTGCCGAGATCAAGGTGTACCACCCGCGTATTCTACCCGGTCCTGTCTTCACAGGCGGCTTTGAAAGCGTTGGCCATCCTAGTGGCCTTGCGGCGAGGGGTGGAACAGTTGAAAGGCATGTCGGTGGTGGTCACTGTCCAGAGCGACAGCGTCACCGCTTTGGCGCTCACACAGAAGCTGGCGGCCAAGAGCTCCAGCCCGGGATTGAACTTCTCCAGCGCCGAGCTGGCGATCTGCCTGGAGGAGCTCGGAGTGGAGGAGATCAAGGCCGTCCACGTGCCGGGGAAGGCCAACATAGAGGTGGATTTCTTGTCGGCCCAGCACCTGGAAGACGACAGCGATACCAAAGGCATTGGAAGGTGTGGGCGTCTGTGGGTTGGGTTGGTGGCCTGAGAAGTGTCGTGAAAGAAAGCTGAGGGATGATGTTTTGTGCATGACGCGTTTTCCCTTGGTGGAGGTTGGCTTGTGACCGGGCCATTTTGGCTCAAGCCAGCCACCTGAGATCTTTTGTAAGCCCACCCACCGACTTCCACAGTGGGAGTGAGGTGCGAGGTGAAAAATGGGGCAATTCAAAGCAGGCCTATCAATGCAAAGCCTGGCGTTACCCGATGGTTTTTGGGATCAAAGCAGGACCGCAAGCATGTGCGGTGACTTTCAGCAGCGCTCCTCTTAAAAGAGCCGTCTGTGGGTTGGGTTGGTGGACTGAGAAGTGATTTTGAATCCCCGTTGAATTTTTTGCTACTAAATGCGACGCTTCGAGCCCGTTACAGAATGGTTTCTGACTACAATTTTGTGAAAATTTTGACCCTGGGTTCTGCCATCTTGTGAGTGGACCCCCCCGGTACCGGAATTTTGTATCGGTTTTGCGAGTTTGTTACCCTCCAGTCCCGACTATTCTGTCGGAATCTGGAGGGCTAATCAATAACCATTACAAATTGGATGGATTCAAAACGTAGATGGATAATGCTCAACTATAGACCCTCTGGATGGAAGTGAGCTATTGTCTTTAATGTTTGGCTTGGCCACTCAGACAGCATCACGCCAAACAGCGTCTGACACAGACTGATGAACGCAAAAGAACGGGAAAAATGAAACGCAACTCGGGTTGGCTGGGCTGTTGCAGGTTGCTGCCTAGGGATCCTAGGAGAATGCGAGTATAGCCAGCCCCAGTCCCCACCATTCTGTCAAGGGCAAATCGAGCGAGCGGATGCGAGCGGATGCGAGTCGAGCAAAATCGGGGTACCATTTTGTAACTAGGGGTCAGCTTGGACTGCCATTTTGTAACCAAAAAAATCCTCGGTGAACGTTGGGTTCTCCCAACTTGTAAGCACGGCACCTTGGGCACGCCATTCTGTAGCTACAAAATGGGGCTCCTAACCCCTCGGGCCCAATCTGAACAGGGATGATTTTGATTTTCTTTGAACATTTTGAAGGTTCTTTGACTTGGCAAGTGGTGTCAGTGTCAGTGGTGCCACTGTTGTTTCATGGCAGCGGTTCGGATTATGTTGTGTGGAGTGCATTTGACTTGTTGAACCCTTGGCTCAGGTGCCACCACAGCTCTCCGGATCTTTCGGAACCATCATGCAGTGGGCAGATGAAGTCCGTGACATGAAGGCCTTGACCTAAGCAGAGTCACATTTACATGCTTGAGATGCAGACATGCAAGTGCAAATGCTCAAGACGATACTGGTATATGATTTGAGTTAGACTATGACCATGCATGTTGATGCCCGTTTTGCTTGAAACGTTGTCTGTCAAACCCAGCACGTGGTGTGATTGCATCTCACATTGCAAAGACTCGAGTTAGTTCGGATCTTGTCTCCCATGTGTCTTCACAATAATCGTCATATATCGTCATGATTCAGGGTGACACTCTCTGAATTCCTGAGGTCCGAGCCAATGCCGAGACCCCTGCTGATGCTCGACAAGCCAAGGAATTCGGTGCCGAGGGCATTGGCCTTGTCCGCACTGAGCACATGTTCTTCGAAGGACAGCGAATTGTAGCCATGAGGCAGATGATCTTGGCCACTGATGAGGCTGATCGACGACAGGCCTTGGACAAGTTGTTGGTCATGCAGAGGGAAGACATCACGGAACTGTTCCGAATCATGGACGGCAATCCAGTGACGGTCCGTCTGTTGGATCCACCGCTGCATGAATTCATCCCTCACACAGAGGCAGAAATGGCATTGGTGGCCAAAGCTGCAGGTGTGCCTTTGGATCGCGTGAGAAGACGTGCTGCAGAGCTGCAGGAGGCCAACCCCATGCTTGGTCATCGTGGCTGCCGATTGGCCATCACCTATCCCGAGATTTGCGAGATGCAGGCACGAGCCATTTTCGAGGCTGCAGCTGAAGTGGGGCGAAGCTCCAAGAAATTGCCAGTGGCAGAAGTCATGGTGCCCCTTGTGGCAACAGTTGAAGAACTGAAGCTGTTGAAGGGTGTCATTGAGAAGACTGCCGATGCTGTGAAGAAGGAGCAAGGAATCACTTTCACTTACAAGATCGGCACCATGATCGAGCTTCCACGCGCAGCTCTGCAAGCGGGCCGTTTGGCAGAAATGGCTGAGTTCTTCAGCTTTGGCACCAATGACTTGACCCAGACCACCTATGGCTTGAGCCGAGATGATGCTGGCTCCTTCTTGCCAGAGTACAAGGCCAAGGGCATTGTGGAGCACGATCCTTTTGTGAGCTTGGATCCTGACGGTGTTGGTGAGTTGATCACCATGGCCGTTCAGCGTGGTCGCAGCACCAGGCCAGAGATGAAGATGGGCATTTGCGGTGAGCACGGCGGAGATCCAGCCTCCATTGAGGTCTGCGAGAAGATCGGCCTGGACTACGTGAGTTGCTCGCCCTTCAGAGTTCCTGTTGCACGACTCGCAGCAGCTCAGTCTGCTCTTAAGACAAAGGGTGAGCAGACAAAGCAGAGTTCCACAAAGGCAACCAAGCCTCGGGTGCAGACTTTTGGCCCTTGGTGAGCTAAAAGTGCAGGCAGATTTGAAAATTGTTTAAATTCGGTTTTGATCAATTTTGATCAGATGCTATGCGTGACACGTTTACTGCAGATGTTGCAGTGTTAACGAAGTGCATGCAAAATGCATGGGCTGACAACAAGTCGGCAAAGGCCATTTTTGTGAGCAGTGCTTCGGCGACAATACTGGATCTGATTTAAGCAAAAACCAAATCTAATGCCAGCTTTGGCCAATTTCAAGCCATTTAAAGCCTAAGGGACGCATTTTGGAACCTGTCCTGTTGCTGCGGAGTGCTCACATTTAAGAGATTTCAAGGATGGCTCAGCTGCAAGGAACTTCGACAGGAAGGTTTGCAGCTTTATGCGACAGCAAGATCCAAATACCTTGCAAACAAAAGAGGCAGGCAGCCTCGGGCAGCGCTGGCCGCTGTGCTCCAGCAAGTCATTTGATCCATCATATAGCATGATTCATATGATATCAACGCATCATCCGTTCTCTGACTCGTGTCTTTGCGTGTCAGAGTTTGCGAAACCGTTTTTCTCAGAGTCAACTTGCAAAGGCAGGTGCGTCAGGGTGTCCTGTGAAGCTGCATTTGAGGTTCAGGAGTTCACGAGGTGATCAAGATTCGAATTTTGCTTTCGCCATGGCAAAGTGGGTCTACGACTTTGGAGATGGCAAGGCGTGAAGGGTCACAATGGGTCACAAACCATAGGATGGAGATGGAGTGTATTGTTGATCCTGCAGAACCTGTAAAGCTTGAAATCCTGGTCTTTGCACGTGCACGGAACGTTTTGAGAGTTTTCTGTGATTCATTTTCAGGCAGATGGCCGAGCTGAGATGAAGAATCTTCTCGGAGGAAAGGGTGCAAATCTCGCTGAAATGGCCTCCATCGGATTGCCCGTGCCACCGGGATTCACTCTGACTACAGAGGTCTGCACTCACTTCTACCAGAATGACTGCCAGTATCCCAAGGAGCTTGAACAACAGGCGTGTGCCACACAATCACTAGCAGTTACTAACGGTAGTCACTAATGCAATGACTCAGATATATTCAGATTCGTGGAGTTGTCATTATCATTTGAGATTTTCTATGATGAGGCTCTATTCCTGTACACATTCTGGTATTTTGCATCCTTTTACATGCGTTTACATCCCTTCAGATCCTATTTAAATACTTTGACATGACTTCAGCCATCTTGGGCCGATGAGCGATTTGAAGGTGGAGAAGGCCTTGAATTTGGTCGAGACCCGCACTGGACGCAAATTTGGTGACTCCATCAACCCACTTCTGGTGTCAGTGCGTTCTGGAGCACGTGCATCCATGCCAGGAGAGTGAGGGCAGAAAAAGGATGACATGGATTAAAAACGAAGGTTCTTGAGAGCAACAAACCTGTTTGACTAGCGATTTCAACCGCAGGAAGTAGACTTGAAAATCACCCCCTCTCCGTTTTCACCTGAATGCCTGTTGCTCTGTCGCAGGAATGATGGACACAGTTCTGAACTTGGGACTGAACGACATCACGGTGGAGGCTTTGGCAAAGAAGTCAGGCGACCGTCGCTTTGCCTTTGACAGCTACAGACGCTTTGTCCAGATGTACTCTGACGTTGTCCTCGGCATTGAGATCAACCACTTTGAGAAGCATTTGGAGCGTGCGAAAGAGAAGCGTGGCGTGAAGCAGGAGAATCTATATAAAAAGGGTTGTCACAATGTTGTTTTGGGAGTACGCCATGTTGTATGCTAATCCCCAACTTTGACGAAATTGCCTCAGTGTCGCTCAGTCGGAGCAAAATGATGCCTCGGCAGGACTGCGAGTTGCTTCCAGAGGACTTGGAAAAGCTGGTCAAGTCTTACAAAGCCGTGGTCCAGTTGGAGCTTGGCGAGGAGTTCCCAGAGGATCCAAAAGCACAGCTTTGGGGAGCCGTTGGTGCAGTCTTCAATTCCTGGATGAATCAGCGTGCAAAGACCTACAGGCCTCTAGTCATTGTCAGAGTATGTCAGAGTGAAAGCAAGGAAAATTCCAGAGACCATACAAGATCTTACTTGGACGCTTTGAGTCACCAATCTGAATATGTAGATATGACATGATATCACAAGAGAATAGAAAAGAATACACGAGATGCATATCTGCATATCACACAGACTTGAGAACTTCAAACAAATTTAAAAGCATGTTTGGCAATTGCTTTGGCGAGGGCATTGCACGACATCCCGGAGTGGTGGGGCACAGCTGTGAACGTCCAAGCCATGGTCTTCGGAAATATGGGCAACGACTGTGCGACTGGTGTTGCCTTCACTCGCGATCCTTCCACCGGAAAGAATGAGTTCTACGGTGAGTTTTTGGTCAATGCGCAGGGTGAAGATGTCGTCGCAGGCATCCGCACTCCACAAGAGCTTACCATCAGGGCTCGCCAGTCCCACGGCTCCGACTTACCATCCTTGGAAGAAGTGATGCCAAACATCTTCCGCGAGTTGCTCTCAGTGCGCAGCCAGCTCGAGACTCACTACAAGGACATGCAAGATATCGAGTTCACCATCCAGCAAGGCAAACTCTACATGTTGCAGACCCGCAATGGCAAGCGAACAGCTCCTGCTGCGCTGCAGATTGCTGTTGACATGGCCAAGGAAGGCTTGATCACCAAGTCGCAAGCTCTTCTGAGTTTGAAGCCGGATTTGATTGACCAGCTTTTGCACCCTACTCTGGACCCCAAGGCCAAGAAGGAGATCATTGCCAAGGGCCTTCCTGCCTCTCCCGGTGCGGCGGGTGGCAAGGTTCCTTAGCTGAACTCATGATAACTCCTTGTTGATGTGTATCTTGAAATATTGATTGAACATGATTGATGAGATTATAGTTATAGTTGAACATGATTGATAAGATTAGTTGAACATTACCGAAACGCATGATCGAACAAGTTTCAAGATGCCTGAACACATTCTCAACTTGGAATCTACTGATTTTGTGTTTTCTACTCTTTGAAGACTTTTGGAGATTCTTGCCGGTTTCAGACACGGCATTGTGATTTGTAGCCTAAGTTGTATGAATTTGTCACCTGCAAGTCTGCCATGAGGTTGTCTTCTCCGCAGATGAAGCAGTGCGACGCTGCAAAGATGGCGAGAAGGTGATCCTGGTTCGTATCGAGACCAGCCCAGATGACATCCACGGTTTGCACGCAGCAGAAGGAGTTCTGACCACCCGAGGCAGGGGTTGTCCAACAGTGACTTCCGTGAGACGTTCCCTCTCCCGAGTACAGGAACATGTGACAATAGAGTAACTTTGCGGAACTATTAGCATCATCTAGTAGCTAAGCCTCCTTTCCCAAGATTGAACAAGCTTAACACAACCTAATCTGAATCTTCTTTGCCGAAACTAAAATTGATTTGGTGCCCTTGGACAGAGTTAGATAGGTGGCATGACCAGTCATGCAGCAGTGGTTGCTCGTGGAATGGGCCGACCATGCGTGGCTGGTGCTGGTAGCATCACGGTTGACTATGCCGCTGCCAAGCTCTCTGTGGGCTCTGTGACTGTGACTGAGGGACAGATCCTCACCATCGATGGAAGCACGGGGGAAGTGATGGTGGGAGAGGTTCCCACAGCGCTTTGGCCGAAGCCAGTGAACGTTTTTCTTTGATTTTCTTTGACATATTTTGAATGTTCTTCGACTCGGAAAGTGGTGTCAGTGTGAGTGGTGCCGCTCTGTTTCATGGCAGCGGTTCGGGTTATGTCCTGTGCAGTGCATTTGACTCGTTGAACACTCAGGTGCCACCACAGCTCTCCGGATCTTTCGGAACCATCATGCAGTGGGCAGATGAAGTCCGTGACATGAAGGCCCTGACCTAAGCAGAGTCACATTTACATTCTTGAGAAGCAGACATGCAAGTGCAAGTGCTCAAGACGATACTGGTATATGATTTGAGTTAGACTATGACCATGCCTATTCAACATTGTTCAACGTTTTGCTTGAAACGTTGTTTGTCAAACCCAGCACATGGTGTGATTGCATCTCACATTGCAAAGACTCGAGTTAGTTCGGATCTTGTCTCCCATGTGTCTTCACAATAATCGTAATATATCGTCATGATTCAGGGTGACACTCTCTGAATTTCTGAGGTGCGAGCCAATGCCGAGACCCCTGCTGATGCCCGACAAGCTAAGGAATTCGGTGCCGAGGGCATTGGCCTTGTCCGCACTGAGCACATGTTCTTCGAAGGACAGCGAATTGTAGCCATGAGGCAGATGATCTTGGCCACTGATGAGGCTGATCGACGACAGGCCTTGGACAAGTTGTTGGTCATGCAGAGGGAGGACATCACGGAACTGTTCCGAATCATGGATGGCAATCCAGTGACGGTCCGTCTGTTGGATCCACCGCTGCATGAATTCATCCCCCACACAGAGGCAGAAATGGCATTGGTGGCCAAAGCTGCAGGTGTACCTTTGGATCGCGTGAGAAGACGTGCTGCAGAGCTGCAGGAGGCCAACCCCATGCTTGGTCATCGTGGCTGCCGATTGGCCATCACCTATCCCGAGATTTGCGAGATGCAGGCACGAGCCATTTTCGAGGCTGCAGCTGAAGTGGGGCGAAGCTCCAAGAAATTGCCAGTGGCAGAAGTCATGGTGCCCCTTGTGGCAACAGTTGAAGAACTGAAGCTGTTGAAGGGTGTCATTGAGAAGACTGCCGATGCTGTGAAGAAGGAGCAAGGAATCACTTTCACCTACAAGATCGGCACTATGATCGAGCTTCCACGTGCAGCCCTGCAAGCGGGCCGTTTGGCAGAAATGGCTGAGTTCTTCAGCTTTGGCACCAATGACTTGACCCAGACCACCTATGGCTTGAGCCGAGATGATGCTGGCTCCTTCTTGCCAGAGTACAAGGCCAAGGGTATTGTCGAGCACGATCCTTTTGTGAGCTTGGATCCTGAAGGTGTTGGTGAGTTGATCACCATGGCCGTTCAGCGCGGTCGTAGCACCAGGCCAGAAATGAAGATGGGCATTTGCGGTGAGCACGGCGGAGATCCAGCCTCCATTGAGGTCTGCGAGAAGATCGGCCTGGACTACGTGAGTTGCTCGCCCTTCAGAGTTCCTGTTGCACGACTCGCAGCAGCTCAGTCTGCTCTGAAGACAAAGGGTGAGCAAACAAAGCAGAGCTCCACAAAGGCAACCAAGCCTCGGGTGCAGAATTTTGGCCCTTGGTGAGCTAGAAATTGGCATGTGCAGATTGTGCAGATTGCGCAGATTTGAAAACTGTTTAAATTCGGTTTGATCAATTTAGATCGTCGTCATGCGTGACACACTTCTTGTCATTGTAGTTTGTACCAAGTACATGCACAAGGCATGGGCTGACAACAAGTCACCAAAGCCGTTTCTGCGAGCACCATTTTGGCAACGAGGAATTTCGTTCTGTTGCTGTTTCGTGCTTGCATTTAAGAGATTTCAAAGAAGGTGCTGCAAGGAACTTCCAACAGGAAGGTTTGTGGCTTTACTCGACCAAAAAAGGGTATGATGCAAGCAGCAGTGGCGGAAGGCTGCGCATTTTTTCCTGTATTTTTTCCAGACTTTTCCTGATTTTCTTTCCAGGGAAGCACCGAGACTGAGTGAAAGTCTTTCATGATCCATGATTTAGAACCAATCACTTTGACTGCCGCACCGACTTTGATGAACATATGTCAAATCATTTCATTTGCTGAGTCACGTCACTTGAGCCATGAGCCAATAAGCTGCTTGCAGCTGCATTTGAGGCTGAAGAGTTCAGAAAGTAGCCCTTGGCTTTTGCGTTCGCCATGGCAAAGTGGGTTTACGACTTCGGAGATGGCAAGGCGAGATATTTTTTGAAGATGATGAGAGATGTGACACTGTGAGGGTTGATGACCTAGCCTCAAAAGATCGAGTCTTTACATGTCTAAGATTCTTAACCAAGTTAGAGGTTTCTGGATTTCGATGCCCACTTTTTGGACAAACTCTTTTGGCTGCAAAGCCCCTCTCATGCTGGTAGAAGTGCAACGATGTGCAACCTCTTTTCTGGGAGCGTCGTTTTTTTCTCCTTTGAGAAAGCCGGTGAGTTTTTTTTTTCAGCAGCCATTCTCCATTTGAAACAGCGCTTTCATCAGCTGCCAGCCATGGCATCCTCTTCAACGTTCGTGTGTCTATGTGTTTACGTGCTGTTGATCCTGCACTGTGTCTGGAACCCAGTATCGCAAGTCTGTCCCAACCGTTTTCATGTCATGTGCGGTGCTGTCCAAGCATTGGTGGCCGCACTATCAACCACCATTTGTTGTCAGCGCCAAGGACACATTGGAAAGAAGCTTCGTTTTACTCAAAAATCATGTGTAAGAGTACAGTGGATATAGTCAGATGTCAGATATTGATAGATATTGAATAATATTGGGATAACATTAAGTCGATGTAAGAAACAAGCTCTTTTCACTTTGATTCCTTTGATGCCTTTGATTCCTTTTGGTTCCTTTGGTTCCTTTTGATTCCTTCCATTCCTTTGATGCCTTTGATTCCTTTGGTGCCTTTGATTCCTTTGACTCCTTTGGGTTCCTTTGATTCCTTTGACTCCTTTTGGTTCCTTTGATTCCTTTTGATTCCTTTGATTCCTTTGATTCCTTTGATTCCTTTGATTCCTCTGATTCCTTTTGAGTCCTTTGATTCCTTTGATGCCTTTGATTCCTTTTGGTTCCTTTGGTTCCTTTTGATTCCTTCCATTCCTTTGATGCCTTTGATTCCTTTGGGTTCCTTTGATTCCTTTGACTCCTTTTGGTTCCTTTGATTCCTTTTGATTCCTTCCATTCCTTTGATGCCTTTGATTCCTTTGATGCCTTTGATTCCTTTGACTCCTTTCGGTTCCTTTGATTCCTTTGACTCCTTTCGGTTCCTTTGATTCCTTTGACTCCTTTCGGTTCCTTTGATTCCTTTTGATTCCTTTGATTCCTTTGATTCCTTTGATTCCTTTGATTCCTTTGATTCCTTTGATTCCTTTTGAGTCCTTTCATTCCTGTGATGCCTTTGATTCCTTTTGGTTCCTTTGGTTCCTTTTGATTCCTTCCATTCCTTTGATGCCTTTGATGCCTTTGATTCCTTTGATTCCTTTGATTCCTTTGACTCCTTTCGGTTCCTTTGATTCCTTTTGAGTCCTTTGATTCTTTTGGGTTCCTTTGATTCCTTTGATTCCTTTGATTTCTTTGATTCCTTTTGAACCCTTTGATTCCTTTGATGCCTTTGATTCCTTTGACTCCTTTTGGTTCCTTTGATTCCTTTTGATTCCTTTGATTCCTTTGATTCCTTTGATTCCTTTGATTCCTCTGATTCCTTTTGAGTCCTTTGATTCCTTTGATGCCTTTGATTCCTTTTGGTTCCTTTGGTTCCTTTTGATTCCTTCCATTCCTTTGATGCCTTTGATTCCTTTGGTGCCTTTGATTCCTTTGACTCCTTTGGGTTCCTTTGATTCCTTTGACTCCTTTTGGTTCCTTTGATTCCTTTTGATTCCTTCCATTCCTTTGATGCCTTTGATTCCTTTGATGCCTTTGATTCCTTTGACTCCTTTCGGTTCCTTTGATTCCTTTGACTCCTTTCGGTTCCTTTGATTCCTTTGACTCCTTTCGGTTCCTTTGATTCCTTTGATTCCTTTTGATTCCTTTGATTCCTTTGATTCCTTTGATTCCTTTGATTCCTTTGATTCCTTTTGAGTCCTTTCATTCCTGTGATGCCTTTGATTCCTTTTGGTTCCTTTGGTTCCTTTTGATTCCTTCCATTCCTTTTGATTCCTTTGATTCCTTTGATTCCTTTGATTCCTTTGACTCCTTTCGGTTCCTTTGATTCCTTTGACTCCTTTCGGTTCCTTCGGTTCCTTTGATTCCTTTGATTCCTTTGATTCCTTTGATTCCTTTGACTCCTTTCGGTTCCTTTGATTCCTTTGACTCCTTTTGGGTTCCTTTGATTCCTTTTGATTCCTTTGATTCTCTTGATTCCTTTGATTCCTTTGCTTCCTTTGATTCATTTGATTCCTTTGATTCTTTTGAGTTCCTTTTGATTCCTTTTGATTCGTTTGATTCTCTTGATTCCTTTGATTCCTTTGCTTCCTTTGATTCATTTGATTCCTTTTGATTCCTTTGATTCCTTTGATTCCTTTGATTCCTTTGATTCCTTTGATTCCTCCTTTGATGCCTTTGCTTCGTTTGATTCCTTTGAGTCCTTTTGAGTCCTTTGCTTCCTTTGATTCCTTTGATTCTTTTGGGTTCCTTTGATTCTTTTGGGTTCCTTTGATTTCTTTTGATTCTTTTGATTCCCTTGATTTCATTTGATTCCTTTGCTTCCTTTGATTCATTTGATTCCTTTGCTTCCTTTGATTCCTTTGATTCCTTTGATTCCTCCTTTGATGCCTTTGCTCCGTTTGATTCCTTTGAGTCCTTTGCTTCCTTTGATTCCTTTGATTCTTTTGGGTTCCTTTGATTCTTTTGGGTTCCTTTGATTCCTTTTGATTCTTTTGATTCCCTTGATTTCATTTGATTCCTTTGCTTCCTTTGATTCCTTTGATGCCTTTGATTCCTTTGATTCCTTTGATGCCTTTGATTCTTTTGGGTTCCTTTGATTCTTTTGGGTTCCTTTTGATGCCTTTGATGTCTTTTGATTATCTTGATTCCTTTGATTTCCTTTGCTTCCTTTGATTCAGTGATTCCTTTGCTTCCTTTGATTCCTTTGACTGCCTTTGATTCCTTTGATTCACTCCTTGATGCCTTTGCATTCGTTGGATTCCTTTGAGCTCCTTTTGGTCCTTGATTCTTGATTCCTTGCTTCCTTTGATTCATTGATTCCTTTGCTTCTTGATTCGTTTGATGCCTTTGATCCTTTGATTCCTCCTTTGATGCCTTTGCTTCGTTTGATTCCTTTTGAGTCCTTTGATTCTTTTGGTCCTTTGATTCATTTTTCCTTTGCTTCCTTTGATTCATTTGATTCCTTTGATTCTTTTGAGTTCCTTCGATTCCTTTATGTTCCTTTTGAGTCCTTTGATTCCTTTGATTCCTTTGCTTCCTTTGATTCATTTGATTCCTTTGCTTCCTTTGATTCCTTTGATGGCTTTGATTCCTTTGATTCCTCCTTTGATGCCTTTGCTTCGTTTGATTCCTTTGAGTCCTTTTGAGTCCTTTGATTCCTTTGATTCCTTTGCTTCCTTTGATTCATTTGATTCCTTTGCTTCCTTTGATTCCTTTGATGGCTTTGATTCCTTTGATTCCTCCTTTGATGCCTTTGCTTCGTTTGATTCCTTTGAGTCCTTTTGAGTCCTTTGATTCCTTTGATTCCTTTGCTTCCTTTGATTCATTTGATTCCTTTGCTTCCTTTGATTCCTTTGATGGCTTTGATTCCTTTGATTCCTCCTTTGATGCCTTTGCTTCGTTTGATTCCTTTGAGTCCTTTTGAGTCCTTTGATTCCTTTGATTCCTTTGCTTCCTTTGATTCATTTGATTCCTTTGCTTCCTTTGATTCCTTTGATGGCTTTGATTCCTTTGATTCCTCCTTTGATTTGCCTTTGCTTCGTTTGATTCCTTTGAGTCCTTTTGAGTCTTGATTCCTTTGATCCTTTGCTTCACTTTGATTCATTTGATTCCTTTGCTTCCTTTGATCCTTTGATGCCATTTGATTCCTTTGATTCCTCATTTGATGCGTTTGCTTCGTTTGATTCCTGTTGAGTCCTGTAGTCCTTTGATTCCTTTGATTCCTTTGCTTCCTTTGATTCATTTGATTCCTTTTGATTCCTTTGATTCCTTTGATTCCTTTGATTCCTCCTTTGATGCCTTTGCTTCGTTTGATTCCTTTGAGTCCTTTTGAGTCCTTTGATTCCTTTGATTCCTTTGCTTCCTTTGATTCATTTGATTCCTTTGCTTCCTTTGATTCCTTTGATGCCTTTGATTCCTTTGATTTCTCCTTTGATGCCTTTGCTTCGTTTGATTCCTTTGAGTCCTTTTGAGTCCTTTGATTCCTTTGATTCCTTTGCTTCCTTTGATTCATTTGATTCCTTTGCTTCCTTTGATTCCTTTGATGCCTTTGATTCCTTTGATTCCTCCTTTGATGCCTTTGCTTCGTTTGATTCCTTTGAGTCCTTTTGAGTCCTTTGATTCCTTTGATTCCTTTGCTTCCTTTGATTCATTTGATTCCTTTGCTTCCTTTGATTCCTTTGATGCCTTTGATTCCTTTGATTCCTCCTTTGATGCGTTTGCTTCGTTTAATTCCTTTGAGTCCTTTTGAGTCCTTTGATTCCTTTGATTCCTTTGCTTCCTTTGATTCATTTGATTCCTTTGCTTCCTTTGATTCCTTTGATGCCTTTGATTCCTTTGATTCCTCCTTTGATGCCTTTGCTTCGTTTGATTCCTTTGAGTCCTTTTGAGTCCTTTGATTCCTTTGATTCCTTTGCTTCCTTTGATTCATTTGATTCCTTTGCTTCCTTTGATTCCTTTGATGCCTTTGATTCCTTTGATTCCTCCTTTGATGCCTTTGCTTCCTTTGATTCCTTTGCTTCCTTTGATTCATTTGATTCCTTTGCTTCCTTTGATTCCTTTGATGCCTTTGATTCCTTTGATTCCTCCTTTGATGCCTTTGCTTCGTTTGATTCCTTTGAGTCCTTTTGAGTTCTTTGATTCCTTTGATTCCTTTGCTTCCTTTGGTTCTTTTGGCTTCCTTTGATTCCTTTTGATTCATTTGCTTCCTTTGATTCAGGTCATTGCTGGAGCTCCCAACGAAGTCATTGGTGCCCTGCCTCAAGACGACGAGTGCCACTCCGATGCCTGTGGCTTGAATGCTCTGCAGCTCCGTTCCAAGCCGCTGCCCCCGCCAACAAACGAAACCGTCAACGTCAACGGCACGGCTGTCTCCGTGAACGGCACCAAGAAGAAGTCCCGCTGCTACGACCTCGGAATTGATCCAACATGCTGCCAGGACTTTTCTATCTCATCGTGGAATTATAATACAGCCAACTCCAAATATCGTGCGTGCCTCAATGCAAGGCTGGGGTGCAATCCCACCCCCGTTGCCGTATATAATGGCAGGTACAACGGCTACCAACGCAAATATTACGCCTTTCAATGCAATGGCGGTTGCTCCGGCTGTGAAGACACAGGTGGTCATACCCCCTTCCCTGGTGGCCACCGACGTCGAGAAGGTGGTCGTCGCCGTGGAACCATTCCAGGAATCATTGGAGACATTGGTGGGGGAATCGGCGATTGGCGCTGAGATTTCCAGACTTCCAAGGAAGGGAGTGACTGGAGTGACGCTTGGCTGTAAAGGCTTTGCAGTTTGGCCAGGGCCCTGGCTCACCAGAACCCAGGGCCTCTGGAAATGAGTTTTGTACACCCATGGGTTGCAAAAACCGTTTTTTGAAGTCGGCAACTGCGGTATGTGGGTCACCCGCATTGAAATCGTTGACCTCGATATTTCTGCCATCAAACCGTTTTTCTGATGTTTTTCTGATGTTTCATGGCTGACAGACATCGGGTAGTGCTTGTTGCTTTCGGAGGTTGAGATGACCTCAGGATGAACAGTTGAAGGAGTGGTTGCGTGCTGCCTGTCGGCATTCTTGGTTTTTGTGCACAAATTGTTGGGGAGAAGTCAGTTTGCTAGGTGCTCATGCTTGTTGCTAGTGACCAGATTGAGAGTTGTCAGTTTGCGGTGAGCACGGCGGAGATCCAGCCTCCATTGAGGTCTGTGAGAAGATCGGCCTGGACTACATGAGTTGCTCGCCCTTCAGGGTTCCTGTTGCACGACTCGCAGCAACTCAGTCTGCTCTGAAGACAAAGGGTGAGCAGGCATGTGCAGATTGTGCAGAATTGAAAACTGTTTAATTTCGTTTTCATCAAATTCGATCAACGTGATGCGTGACACGCACTTCTTGTAGTTTGCACCAAATACATGCACAAGGCATGGGCTGACAACAAGTCACCAAAAGCCGTTTCTGCGAGCACCATTTTGGCAACGAGGAATTTTGTTCTGTTGCCTTTTCGTGCTTGCATTTAAGAGATTTCAAAGAAGGTGCTGCAAGGAACTTCCAACAAGGAAGGTTTGTGGCTTTACTCGACGGAAAAGTCCTTGTCAACGAGCATCAAGTTACTCCCATTGCTTGGCAATTTACCCTCTGATTATTTAACAGTTTGCCATGGGAAGTGACCCATAGAAATAGATGGTTTACCTATTAAAAATGGTGATTTTCCATGGCTATGTTAGTCATAACCAGATGGTAGACTTTCATGATGTTTTTAGGGTGGTGTCACCATTGATATCACCTGGACCTGTGGACCTGCTGTAGACAGCTGTTCTTTGCGCGACTTGATTGGCTTGATTGTCCTCCAGCTGTTGAATTCTCCAGCTTCACCATGATGACGGCAGATCATAAGTCCCATTCTGCCGTGGAAGAGACGACATGACTCCAAGGGTTAAAAAAAAATCAAATGGTGACATTTGGTTAAAAATTGGTGGATTCAAAGACTTCCACCATTTCTCCGTGGCAGCTTTGCGCAAGGCAACTCTCGAATGGTTCGTCAAAGAGTCTGAAACCATCAGCCCATCAGCAATCACAGCAGCTTTTCCAGCCTGCTTCGAAGTTGTGCCATGACAACGCTTCTTGCAAAGCAAGTTGCAGCCTTTAAACAGCACCATGGTGGGGTTGCTCGGAAGATCAAGATGTTTCACCATGTTTTTCTCATCTCTTTGGGGGAATTACAATCCAATCCTTTGCTCTTCCCAAGGGTCCATGGCTCCAGAATTTTTGATGTTATGTTTACGTTTGATATGACACCATCAGATTTTTTGGGTGCGGTTGTCAACTTCCTTTTTTTTTGGACCGCAAGATGAGCAGATCCTGTAATCCTGTAAAGAACCCATTTCTTAGGGCGTGTTTACTGTTGGGTGGAAGGGATCACTTAGAGCTGGTTTTTAGAATCTATGACATATATATATAATATGATATATAAATAAATAAATATATATAATAATATATATATATATACATAATTATAATATATATATAATATGTAATATATGTACGCATATATATATATATGCATATACGATATCATGTACGTATATACACGAACAAAAAGATCCCTTTTAATTCCCAGATGGACCAAGATGGACCAAGATGGACGCCAGGCATCACAGCTGTTGGTACCAAACGACAAGTTGCACCATCAATCCTCTTCAGCCCACAGGTGCCACGGTGCCATGTGGAGCACCGGGAATTCTGGCTGGGAACCGTTAGTGAAGGTGAACATATGGCAGTGTGTCAAAACCCATGGAATCCCCTGTAGTTCACATCAAAATATGATGTTCATCCCACTAAAAATGGTATTTTTATAGGTATTGATCCATAGCCATATCTTCAGATTTGTCGGTACTATTCCATAGGTACTAACCAGTTGTCGGTCTCTATTTTTTGGAGCTTGACAGATTTTGATTCCGAAAAATGGGACCCAAAAAAAGAGATTATGAGAATTGGATTAAAGGATCCCAAGAGACACCTCGGCTTCAAAGGAAAAGGCTCAAAGTTGTGTTAGGATGGCTGCTACAACCCGCTCAGAGCCAGGCGATTTTCGATACCATCGGTACCTTTCTTGTGGCAAGGTTGGTACTCCTTATCCTTTTATGTTTTTTGGGAGATTTCAAACTGATGGACCTTTTTCAGCTCCGCGTCTTACAACCGCCTAGTATTCAATGGATCGGCATTTGATATCTTCTTGGAGGCTAAATCTCCATACAGTGACATGTGGAAGCTCTGTTTGCAGATGATCATAGAGTTGCGATCTTTTTTTTTCGATCTCGGATGTTTTTTCCAATTTCGTTCAAGTACTTGCCAACGCAAAATCAAACGGGGTTGGGTCCTTGATTTTCACCGCAGAGCGGGCCTAAAATGATGCCGATCCTCAAAGGTCAAACCACCCGATTGTTTAGAGATTGAGGCGATCACAATGGGGTGCCCCAACCTCAAGTATCTTTGGTGGTTATAGGTGGTTATAGGATTTATACCACCCATTTATGGTTTCGGGGATGATGGAACCCATTGACTCACCAAATCAGTCGGTCTTCACGGTGCCAGGAAGCGAAGTCGCACGATCCCGAGACCTTTGCAGCCTTGGCTCTGCATGGTCTGTCTGAGGTCTGGAATGGTCGATGGGATGCTGGTGGATCGGATTTTTTTGAGGATTTCCGGAGGAGTTCCAGTGCAGTAAAATCAGGGTGCAATGATTGGTTAGCTCGCAGCACACCAATCCCAGCATGCGACATATTTCGACATATTTCGACCATTTCCACAGGCCGCAGTGCTGGAACCAAAGCTGTCCCAATACAGCGAGCTCTTCGAGGGTACCATGAAAGATCGGGATCTCCTCACCAAGGAGGACAGCTGGAGAGTCGAATCACTTGGCCCCGCGTCGAAGCCACATGATTTTTTTTTTTTACGATCATAAATCATAAACAGACCATGTGACCGAGGATTGAATAAACATATATAAAACAATTATAAACAGATAGAAACATATTTAAGATATTTAAGTTTTGTTCATGTTGGTTGATAGCAAGGGTGAATGGACCATGGGTGAGCGAAGGAGAATGGCGCCATAGATCAGAAGATCCACAAACTCCTGCTGCTGTTGTCGCAACCTTGGCCTTAACCTAGATCTGTGGCTGATGTGTGCAGCATGCAGAAAGTTTGGGACACGGGGAGTTTGGATTGAGGTCGCCTCATTTGCAGGCAAGAGCAGCACAGGAATGTGTAGAAGGCTTGCTGTACAGGTCCGCAACGAAGCTTTCAGTTGGGTATGGGTTTGGTATTGTTGAGGGAAAAAAAACCATGTGAACCAACCATGTGAACCAACCATTTTTATTTCAGAACGCATTATGTCATTATGAAATTTCGTATCTATTTCAAATTCCAGATTCAAGTCCAAGATGTTCCATACAACAAAAACCATTGTGAATCGACTGCCCCCTTGGTGACACGTGCTGGAAACGACCAAAAGCTTCGAGTTCCAGCGTCCAGATACCATGCGCATCGGTGGAACGTGGATGATCTGATGGCTGCGGCGTTACCACACCATGCACCTCGGATGGGCAGTGCAAAAGCCCACAGGGAATGGGTAACGTTAAAACCCGATGAAAGACCAAAAAATTGGGAGAAAATTTGGGAGGATGAACGTTAGGAACAGCATCCATAAATTCCATAAATTCCCAACCAGGACTTGATGTGAACAGCAGGGTACCAGGACTTGACTGGTGGTGACAAAACCTCTTGATCCAATTTTGCCAATCGGCTGACATATGGGTTGGTCTTCAAGCTTTGAAACCAACTTCAGATGAAACTTAGTGGTCAAGTCTTTCCATGCGCGAATGGACAAGGGGTGTTCCCATTTTGGGGCAGATCAAGTCCTAGTGGTAGTAGTAGTAGTAGTAGTAGTTGTAGTTGTAGTAGTGTAGTAGTAGTTGTTGTTGTTGTTGTTGTAGTAGTTGTAGTAGTTGTAGTAGTGCTCAGCAGCATGACAATTCACCACAGATTGTGCTGCGATCCTGTGCTGGAAACTAAGGATTCTCCTCTCTTCACCAAGTTGGTTCAGGTGCCCTCATTCGCTTCACAACTGGCCTTGAAAAAGGGCTGTAGCAACCTGAAACCTACCCCTGCCGTCCTTGACCTTCGTGGCTTCAGGGCCTTCATGTAGAGAATCGGCCTCGTTGGGCTTGGTTGTCCACTTTGAAGGCTGGCAGATCTGGCTGTAGATGGGGAAGCTGCAGCTATCTCCATTTGGGGCCATGATGATATTAAAACACCTCAAAACATCATTAAACCATTTCAAAAAGTGATGATTTTAGCCTTCCTACTTTTCCTGGGCGGTATCCCCTGCCCTCCAGACTTTGGAATCTGCCGTAGGCGAAGCCAGCCACTTTGATCCGTTCACGACTGGCCAAGTATTGCAGCAAAGACACGGCGGTGTTGTCCTTCCTGGGCGACATCTTAGAGGAGCTGGATGCCAGAGCTGGTGGACTGGTTGGGCAATGGACATGGTAAGGGACCATTGAAACGATGTTGAAACGATGGTTTTCACACCAAATCAGCAGCAGCCGGGGGTCATTTTTCCGGATGTCCTGAGCTTGGCATGTCTTGGCCTCAAAAGTCTCCAGGAAACGCTGCAGATGCAACTGGAGAATCGGGCGCTGATGACTTTCTTCGCAGCCATTTGGTTGGATACCATTGCGTTGCCGGAGAACCCAGAGTTCAGGTATGCAGAAATTTCTGGACATTCCCCAGATTTTCACAATGATTTCCATATAGTAATATGGTATAGTTATGTATAGTTACTGTTCTACATTGATGCTCCCACTTATTTCCGCTTTTTTAATGACATTTACAATTTGGTTTCTATCACATTCGATGGTATTTATGTCCCAAGTTCTCCTTTTGTTTCCCTTGGGATCTCCCCTTGAATCTTCCGCATCTTCCCATTTGATTGCCATTTTCTCCGATCTGTGTGAAACATTGGATATATGTGGACCGAGACAAATTGACCAAATTGACCATGAAAATGCAATCTGGTGGAGAGAAACGGCGGGGAAACACATATATGATGATACATGTGAAAAAATATCCAGTAAACGTGGTAGACGATTCTTGGCCAACCTGGTAGCGAAATATTACTTAATGAATCGTTCACGCAGTTGGGAATGATTGAAACTGGAACGCTGTCGTTTAAAACATAGTCAAATTGGTTGTGGTTGTGGTTGTGGTTGCTGTTGTTGCTGTTGTTGCTGTTGTTGCTGTCCTTGTTGTTGTCGTTTTGAAACGGTATCCCCTGTTGCAGCGCTTGGGTGATCGTGGTTTAGACATGGTTGCTGAGGTCTGTGGGCAACGACTTGGTTCAGGTGGCATGGGGAATCCCATTCATGATGGCCCCCAGCTATTAAAAAAACATAGGGAATTTCCAAGGGATAATTATATATACATATATATATATGTATATGTATATAAAATATTAGTTTCTATAATTTATGGTACCACCCACAATAATCATAACTTAGCATTTTGGGGATGAATTATATCCCAGCCATAACATGAAGGAAAAATTAATGGGGGATGGTTTACCAAGTTGGGGACTCCCATTCCCGGTGGCCGCCAGGTGGCCATCCAGAGTCTCCTGAAGTTGTTGAGCCAACCTGCACAGCAAGATGCCTTCTATGCTGTGCAAATCTCAGGCAATTGGATGATTTGGATGCCCAAATTTCTTGGATCGGAAGGGTTGTTTCAACTAGCCTTAGGTCAGCAAACGTGGCTGGAAATGCTTGAAGTAATGGAGGCTTTTATGGGAACATCATGTATAAATGGTGAATTTTCCCTTGCCACGTTTGATTACCAGAGGTAAATTGGTTAATTAGTCTGGAGTTTGTGAAACTCAATCGTTTTTTTCTTCAATGTGGGATATTGTGGGCATTCATGGACTTTTATCCCCTCGCCCATGGCCCCAAGGGTGTGACGGTGACTGGTGCGCTTTGCGCCAAGATCCAGCTCGAGGAAACCGGGCTTTGAACTGGCCGCCCTTCAGCCTGCCTGATAGGGGCTTCAAGCCTATGTAAATGATGACAACTTATATACACATTATGCATGTTCTCTTTCATATTTTTCCCGAAAGGACATGGAAGTAGGATCGTCCCAATTTTTCCAAAGGTCCGAAAAAATCGAAAAAGATATAGACACGTGCGAAAGGTCGATTGACGCAGTGACAGGCTGCCCGATTTCTGAGAAGTCACCAATGGTTGCTCAAGTACCCAACTACAATATACTCATCATCGTAGTTTGTCACTTTCCCAGTACGATTGGTGTCTGAAAATAGGACACCCCAAGATCGCAAGGTTGATCATCATTTCTTCCATTTGAAAAGACACTTAAATTCGGGTATACAAGCCATTTCCAGACACATATAGGTGAATATAGGTGGTATATCTGATCACATCATATTACATCCCCATTCATATCCCATTAAAACATATTAAAACTGAAGTGTTTATGGTATCCATATGGTATTCATCTTGGACAAACAAGTTGCAACATCGTTCCGGCAGGAGAGCGTGCAAGGGCAGTTGTTAGTGCGCTTGGCCAAACAGGCGAAAACCAGCGGAGTTTGTCATTCCCAATTTATCCCCTAGATCTACAGTAGTGTACTCTTTGGTAATGTGGAAAATTCACCATTCCGATGATTTTTCGAACTAAACCTCCATATTTTTGCCATTGCCACGTTTTGATGAAACGGCCAGGCAGTTGGGGAAGACGGCCGTGCCGCTTTCGAAGTCATGGCAGCGATGAGTCAGTTGCAGGATACGCAGCGCAGACACTTCGGATTGGGTTTTTTTCGATGGAAAAATGGATGGATCGTTGATGGGGTTTTTCCATGGGTTTTTCGGCCTCAGTGTTGGAGCAGTAACTGGTTCCACTGGGATTCTTTTGACGAGGAGCTGGAAAAAATGCCCGGAGGAGTCGTGAAGGTCCTGGCCAAACATGGGCCGGAGGCCGCTGAGTTGATCCATTGATCCGGTGGCTAGCCATTGATCCATTCCGGACCATTCCATGGATTTCAGGATTCCTTAAACCTATGGGATTCCATTGAATTCCATTGAATTCCATTGAATTCCATTGAATTCCATTGAATTCCATTGAATTCCATTGAATTCCATTGAATTCCATTGAATTCCATTGAATTCCATTGAATTCCATTGAATTCCATTGAATTCCATTGAATTCCATTGAGTCCAAATGTCCAAATGTCCAGTTTCCATTGATTCCAAGCTTTCAACGTTTCCACCGCTCAGGAGCTGCTGCGTGCAGCTTCACCTTCAGTGGATGCCGGGAACCTGCTGGCGATGGTTGTGAAGGTGGGACAGCGTCACGTGCCAAAATGGAGCGCAGCGTTGTTTCATTCTGTGGGTGGCTCAAACGGCTCAAACCATGCAGCAATTTATTCGCCATGACCAAGTTATACCAAGTTGTGCTCCCCTTGGTGTTTGATTTCTTTAACAGTAACTCCCTGGCCACTTTTTTTCAACATTTTGGATCGACAGGCCGGACTGGGCGTGGAGGAAGAAAATGTCCAGGTGCGCGTGGCTGAGAAACATATGGAGGTTTTGAAAGGATATCCAGGATATCCCTTCAAGCAGCATGCCACCAGCAAGCTATCTAGGTCCTAGGTTTCGGCCAGGTGTTAAAAATGGCAGGTCCATGCACTGGCATTTTTTCGGCTGTGTTGAAAATCTACGTCCTTCTTTTTGGTTCAAAAAACGCCCTTGTGGGTTGACTTTGACTGCGTTGAACGGGATTGATCTGTGGATCCATTGGTTGTTTTTTCAAAAACCAACCATGGAGATTTTGACCAATTACCAACTTCAACTCTGGGGGATTGAACAGGACTTTACATGGCAGTGTGTCAAAACCCATGGAATCCCCTGTAGTTCACATCAAAATAGCTGGGTTAAAATGGATGTTCATCCCACTAAAAATGGTATAAAAATAGGTATTGATCCATACCCACATGATTTTACCATATTTAACCATGAAAGATTGGAAGACGACTGGGACCCTGTTTGATCCTACGACATCTACGACATCCCTGGACCATGCAACGAAGGCCTTGGTCCAGGGCCTCCTTGAAGACTCCAGTCTGATGAAACACCATGCACCGCAGCTCTGCCGAGCTGTACTTCAGGTGGGCTTGGATTTCGATGGGATTTCGTTATAGATTTCATGGGGATTTCACATGAATTCATGGGATTTCATGGGATCCACTAGAGCCAAGTAGATCCAAATTTTGGAATGAACAACGGGGTATACTATACCATCAATTTATGGCCATTTTCAGGGTGATTTGCTGGGAGATGAAACTTGGTCGAAAAAAAGGGGTCTCTCTGAAAATGGATGAGATATACCCAATGGTGATCTCTAATGAGAAAATGCTGATCAACCATCAAACATGCAAGATTTTGAGGCTCTTTTCAGACCCAAGTGCTGATTAAACATCTTAAACCAATAAAAACTGGTTGGGTCGGAGGAAACTACGCAACCTAACCAGCCTTTGGGATTGCTACCTGCCAGCCTGCTACCTCTTCCCCAGGCTTTCCTGGAGGGTCTCAGAAATGCGGCCACGGCCAAAGCGCGGAAGAAGACCGTGGCACGGTTCCAGGCCATCGTGCGGGCGACGCATGAGATTTCGATGGATGGTTCATCGATATGTTTGAGTGTCAGAGCTGAAAGAAGTTTAAAATAGATTAAAATAGTTGGAATTGTTCAGCCGCTAGTTGGTGATATATTGAGATATTATATATATACATATATATATATTATATGTATGTATTGTATGGTTGTTTCAAAAATCTCATTTCCAGCCCTCCAAAACTCCCCATGGGATGTCACGCTTTTTGGAGGCGCCTGCGAAGTGCCTGGGCTGTGCGCCGTTGGAGTTGAATGAGGCGATGCGACAGACGTTGTCGAAAGTGGACAAAGATACCGCGGAGACCTTGGCCCGGAACCCTGGTTAGACATGGTGGGAAGGCTGAAAATGAACACTATATGGGGGGTCATGATCTATCTATCTATCTATCTATCTATCTACCTATCCATCCATCCATCCGTCCGTCCATCCATCTATCCATCTATCTATCTTTCTATCTTTCTATCTATCTATCTATCTACCTATCTATCTAATTATCTAATACACACAAATATGAACTTCTTCAAAAAAAGTTGGACTAAATAGCAGAGGTCATAAAAGCCCAAATTGGGATGGTTGCAGTTGTTTTATTGGCTTTATGGCATTGGGTTTACCTCATTAGGACAGGACCGGGTTGATTTCACTTTCCAGAAACTTCACATGTCATCAGCGAGTGTACAATCCCAATCAATTCCACGGAATTCCAACACGAGCAGCAAACAAACCGCAGCAAATACAATTGGAATTGAAGTTGCAATACTTTCCCAAGAGCCAATGATTTCCAATGTCAAGTTGGTTTCCAAACTTTCCCTCTTGGAGTTCCCAGGAGTAGACACATTATTTCCCATGATCTTTCAATGGTGATGTGCTAGTTGTTTATCCATCTGTTTTGTATCCAAGCTTTGGACCCTCATGTCATGACTGATAACCATATGTTCCATGGTCAGAAGTCGGTATGACCACCCACCCATATTGGAGGATGGTCATACCACAAAAACCATGAAACGGATCATTCAGATCTAGCAATTCCCAAAAAGATGCAGAAGCATAAAATCCAATTCTAAATTGTTGTGGTATATTTAAGATTTTCAGCGTTTTGAGGTTAGGTTCTTATGCGCGGACCGACCCAATGCCATTTTTTTAGCATCCCCAATAGAGGTTTTTGCTAGGTATACATCTATTGATTTAGGATGATGTCAAATGAGCTCCAAATGGTTCATGGCTAGGTTTATTCGGCTGGCTAAAAACCACATAAAAATCAGAGTTTCCATCCATTTTTCCAGCGTGTTAGGTGCAGTTGGCTCCAACTTGCGCCGAGAGTGACGGCTCGGCGGCGACGCAGGTGCTGAACGCTGGAGGTTTTTTTTGGGCTCGGAGAATCCTACTTTTACACCGTTTTACATGGATGGTTTCGGGGTACCCCCATTTCAGGAAACCTCCATTATATATATATACATATCATGTGTATGATGTATGTATATATACATATATAGATATATATACACACATGTACTATGTACACACATACACACTCATCTATCTATCTATCTATATATATAAATACACGTACACATAGTTTCTGATGTTTCTTAATCCTGGAGTTGTTGCAGGCTTCCCGGAAGTCCGCGAAGGTGGGCTTGAGCTTTTCAACGTTCTGCTGAGGGAATGGCCAGCATGAAAATCATTCTGATGATGGCGATGATGATGATGATGATGATGACGACGATGATGATGATGATGATGATGATGGCGATGATGATGATGGCGATGATGACGACGAGATGATGATGATGATGATGATTGATGATGATGATGACGATGATGACGACGACGATGATGATGATGATAATGATGATGGCGATGATGATGATGATGGCGATGATGACGACGATGATGATGATGGTGATGATGATGATGACGACGATGACGATGATCATGGTGATGATGATGATGACGAGGATGATGATGATGATGATGATGGCGATGATGATGATGATGGTGATGATGATGATGAAATAATGACGATGATGATGATGGCGATGATGATGATGGTGATGATGATGATGATGATAATGATGGCGATCATGATGATGATGATGGTGATGATGATGATGATGATGGCGATGACGATGACGATGATGATGATGATGACGATGATGATGATGATGGCGATGACGATGACGATGATGATGATGATGACGATGATGATGATGATGATGATGGTGATGATGATGATGATGGCGATGACGATGACGATGACGATGATGATGATGACGATGATGATGACGATGACGATGATGATGATGACGATGATGATGACGATGACGATGACGATGACGATGATGATGACGATGATGATGATGATGGCGATGACGATGACGATGATGATGATGATGACGATGATGATGACGATGACGATGATGATGATGACGATGATGTTGATGATGACGATGATGATGACGATGACGATGACGATGATGATGATGATGATGATGACGATGATGATGACGATGACGATGACGATGATGATGATGATGATGACGATGATGATGATGATGATGATTTTTATTATTACTATTATTGTAATTATTATTGTTGTTGTCGTCGGCGTGGTCGTTGTCGTCACTGCGGCGAGGTTCGCGGTAAGGCCACCGCGAAAACGAGCGTAGCCGCCGTCGTGCTAGCGACGCCGGAGGAAATCGAAGGTGGGGCCATGGATTTGCAGGGTAAGGGTAGGTAACTTTTGTGGATATTCCCAGATGTATGGGAATCTAAGCGTAAGCAACTGATATATGGGATATATGGGATATATGGGAATATCATGGAATAAAGGCAAGAAAAATGGGGTTTAATGGGAATATTATGAGATCTGTGAGCTACTTGGGGGTGCAAGTTGAGATTACTAAAAAATGGATGTAACTCCATGGTATTTTACGCCCCATAAGTTGGGATATCCCCTGGAACTGCATGAAATGGGTCTGGGTTAAACAGGGGTATCTCCAAAATTTGGTTTGTGATCTTTTTTTTTTTGTCAGTATCATTGAAAAATTGTTGGGGTAGCCCATGTTCAATCCGACCCAAGTGGTCTGGGTGAAAATGGGATACTAACAAGATCAGATGACCAGATTCTTTGAACATGGCAAGCAACTTTGGTTCTTGAGATCATGATTAGTATTGAACCTTTTAGGAAGATCGATTTCTATAGCAGGATAAGTGTCCAACCAGTTGAATAAAAAACTGGCAGCTCATATTTGTTAATGAACTAAGCTAGGTAAGTCTCACCTCCTTCATGGCTCTGTCACAGGTGAAGAGAGGCAGCGGCTTTTGGCAAGTCGAAGCCTGAGAGCAGTGATTTGTTGGAGGTTCTGATACACTTCTGAGCCCATTTCTTGAATGTGTTTGATATGTATTGGTTGGATGTTTCAGAGTTTTCATAGGTTTTTTTTCGTTTTTTTCCCTTCACCACTCACTTGGTTCAAGCCCTGTCAAGCTGTGTCGCAACTGCCATGTCACTGCCATGTCACTGCGAAGCACTGAGGTTTGGCCAATGTTGAGGCGGGCAGGAAATTGATATGGTTAATATATGGTTAATATATGGTTAATATACGGTTAATATATGGTTAATATATGGTTAATCTATGGTTAATGTATGGTTAATGTATGGTTAATATATGGTTAATGTATGGTTAATGTATGGTTAATATATGGTTAATATATGGTTAATATATGGTTAATATATGGTTAATATACGGTTAATATATGGTTAATATATGGTTAATATATGGTTAATATATACGGTTAATATACGGTTAATATATGGACGGTTAATATACGGTTAATATATGGTTAATATATGGTTAATATATGGTTAATCTATGGTTAATATATGGTTAATATATGGTTAATGTATGGTTGATGTATGGTTAATGTATGGTTAATGTATGGTTAATGTATGGTTAATATATGGTGAATATATTGTTAATATATGGTTAATATATGGTTAATATATGGTTAATATATGGTTAATATATGGTTAATATATGGTTAATATACGGTTAATATATGGTTAATATATGGTTAATCTATGGTTAATGTATGGTTAATGTATGGTTAATATATGGTGAATATATGGTTAATATATGGTTAATATATGGTTAATATATACGGTTAATATACGGTTAATATATGGTTAATATATGGTTAATATATGGTTAATGTATGGTTAATGTATGGTTAATGTATGGTTAATGTATGGTTAATGTATGGTGAATATATGGTGAATATATGGTGAATATATGGTGAATATATGGTGAATATATGGTTAATATATGGTTAATATATGGTTAATATATGGTTAATATATGGTTAATATATGGTTAATATATGGTTAATATATGGTTAATATGTGGTTAATATATGGTTAATATATGGTTAATATATGGTTAATATATGGTTAATATATGGTTAATATATGGTTAATATACGGTTAATATATGGTTAATATATGGTTAATATATGGTTAATATATGGTTAATATATGGTTAATGTATGGTTAATGTATGGTTAATGTATGGTGAATCTATGGTTAATATATGGTTAATATATGGTTAATATATGGTGAATATATGGTGAATATATGGTTAATATATGGTTAATATATGGTTTATATACTTCTTTCAACTTGCGCAAGCAATGAGTCCTGGTGTTCGAATGTTTTCTGGTCGCTTTGGCCGTATTTTGGCCATAAACGTGATGTTGCAAAGCAAGGGAATCAATGCCATGCCATGAAGTATCATTTTTTTTGGGCACCAAATTTAGACATTTAGACTGTACTTGGTGGTTTCAAACATATTCTGTGAATTAGAAAATTCTTTTTTTTCTGACATGAAGGGATGATCATATATATTTTCATAGTCATTTTCCCAATCGAACATCTAAGAATCTAATTGTATTGATGTTCTATCCCATCTCTAGAATATCCATATCCATAATCAGATGTATCTCATTTTTATATATCCCATCTCTATAGATCTATCCCACTTTAATTCCCAATTTACATCCCATCCTTCGATCTCAGTCGATTTTTCCAATCGAACTAGGCGTCACCTCGCCGAAGAAACAGAAATGGCACAGGCCTGGCAGAGATTTGGCGATGGGAAAATCAGGGATATTTTAGTGTTTTTTAATGATATGAACATGTACTGCCAGCGAAATTAATTTTCAGTAAATGCTGATTTATACTGTTACAGTACTATTATCTCTCAGAATATATCACAATGATTGTTATGAAATCAGCATCATTCTTGTGATATTTTCCATGATTAGCATGATCATTCGTGTTTTCTGGGACCAAAATGGCAGGTTCGATTCTGTCCCCAAATGGTACCTGGGGATGGTGTTTCATCAACCCTCAGTGGGGTGACTTTCCTCAGATCAAAGCGGAAACCAGAAACCGCAGTGAGAGCAGTGAAACACGCCACTTCCGACAACTTCCGACACGGCAACATGACATGTAGCAAGCCATGAATCATTTTTTGAGTGGGATCCAGTGAGGGAATAGCAAGTCCGGGCCAGGACTTGATCACGATTTTAAGGGGTACAATGGGTAAACCACAGGTGAGAATCGCGAAGTAGTTCAACGGCTGATGCGCTTGGTGTTGAGGAAACCCAAGGACTTGGCCGTTCCTTGCCAGGATTTTGGACCGTGATTCATGGATTTCAGGTTTTTTCCACCAAGCTTTCCCTCGATTTTTCATCAATCCAGGATGATCCAGAACCTGATCCAACATCTAAGGCTGATTTGCAGACGGCCCTGAATCAGGAGTCCTCTCGAGCAGTCGGGGGCTCATGGTGGTCCGGGCTGGGCGGCTGTGGTCGCCATGAGATTTTGGGAAAACACATGAAAACACTGAGGCCATTGTGGCCTTGGCTCTGGGACCCCATGAAAAAGGCCGGACAGCTTTCCGTCTGATGGGTTGATTTCTTGATTTTCTTGATTGAATCATACCCTGAAGGTCTCATAGTTACCAGCTTTTTTCGGGGTTCCAAGTATATGAACATGGTATACTGGTATACACAGATTTATAAACATACACGGAGTAATACGAATGATAAAAGACACCCTTGGAGTTCTTCTGTTATATTTGGATTCATGTTCCAAAATGTCATGTCGGCCCAGGGGTGGTGTCCGCGAATGCCCTGCGGATGTTGAAGTCTTTGGTGTCCAAAAAGGGATGGCCGCTAGTCAGATCCTCAGTGACCTTGATCTATGGGCGGGGCGCATCTGATGTGTCCTGGAATTTTGAGCGGAACAGCATGGAACAGCCCTAAAAGTGATGGTATAGCCATCATCATGTTCCCAGTTAAAATTGCGACTTTGGTGTATAGCCAAAATTTTGGACTAAGTGGTTGGAATGCCCATTGTCCAAATGCTCTTGAACTAAAAGTGAAGTGTGCGGAAAGTTTAACCATGGGGATTGAAAGTGGAATGAATTCTTCACATAACTTGGAACTTCAATTTCGAACTTTCCTGGTGACCTTGGCTTGATATCTTGGGAATTTTCAGGGCTGTTGAGTTTTCATGGGACAAAAAAAATGCCAGAGGTTGCAACATGATGAGCTCAAACTTTGCCACAGGTAGCATGCTCCGAAAGCCACCCTAAACCCATGCTTCGGCCCAGAAATCTCCAGGGAGTTTGAAACTACGGATGATTCCAGCATAGCTCACATCTTTGCTTCTTGTTATTCTTATCATAGGACCTATACCATCTGGTTATGACTAACATAGCCATGGAAAATCACCATTTGTAATAGGTGAACCATCTATTTCTATGGGTCATTGTCCATGGCTATGTTAAATAACCAGAGGATATAGGTCCTGGTATGTCCTGGTAAAGTCAGCAAAATTAGGAATCATAGGTCTTCCTTCTGTGCAGGACCAGCACATGCTGCCGCTGATCATGGTGAAGATCGCCAATGCTCAGGAGACTCCGAAGAACAGTAAAATGCGGCCATGGACATTGTGGATCTTTTCAGATGGATGGTGGAATAATGGATATAATGGGAGGTGAAAATTACCAACCCGCCCAATTTTGCCCGGAACAGTGCCACAATAGCTTGAACCAAAACCATATGGCAGGTTATAGCCGGCCAAAATGAGGATGGAGCCGCTAATGGAGCCCCACAATGGTGTAGAACAGGTCGTCCATGGCATCTCTCCATGTTCCCAAGAGTGGGACCTATTGACAAAAGAATTGAATAAGATGCTTAACATCAGTTGGTCAACATGAAATTCACTTTCGCATCTTTAGTCTAATTAGAAAAAAATAGAACAACATCTGGATTTTTTGGGGTATTCTGCGGCTTCCTTTTAAAAAGACTCTGAAAACACTTCAGTCACATCCGCTGTGAGGAGCTGGAAGTCCGATCCGCTGCGGTGGCATTTCTGAAGCTACTGAAGGACAGAGAACTCCGGAGTCCACGGAGTCCACGGGCTCCGGAGTTCGACGAATTTCTTTGTAGTGGAAAGATTTTCGAAGTGGGAAATTGATGGAAATTGATCTCGAAATGGCGAAATGGTTGGGGGTTGATTGATGATATTGATGATATTGATGTTGAGACAGGGCGAATTCATATGATTGCCTTTGTTGGCATGATTGCCTTGGCAATGCTGGCTCATTGACAAAGCGGTTTTTCTGCTTGTGTGCGATTCTTGATGTACACAATGTGGCTTTGATGGGGGTGATCATCATTCTGTCTCGCTACCATTGGTCCTTTATTGAGACACACCATCCCTGGTTCAGTTGATGGACCAACCATCCCGAATAGCCCGTTCTAGTGGTCCACCCCTGGTGACAGGACAGTACTGTAGAGAAAGCCGCCGAAGCCACACTGGTAGAGGTCAACGATGTGGGAGTTGAGGAAAACTCCATGGGAAGCTGTTTGGAGGATCTTTTCCATTCTTTAGTGATCAAAGTCGTTTCTTTTGTGTTTGAGTTGTTCTTTTGACTTGCGAAATATTTTTTTGGAAGACTTTCTTGCTATTTTCACCGCCACCCTGGGTTGACACTGTCGCTCATGTGCCAACATGTACTCAGCATCACTAAAAAAATCCATTTGAGCGATATTGAAACTGAAACTCCAGTGTTTTTTTTTCCCGGAGGAATACGTTCCGATGTATTCATAGGTCTTCAACCGACCCCTTTGGAAGGTGACCCGTTTTGTGATAGATGCTATTGGCCCTTCGCGGGTAGTCCCTAACAAACCCTCAATAAACCATTAATAAACCATCCACTACCTGAAGGCTTCTCCGAAAACGTGAGATTACCAGCCTATGTCGCATAACATTGCTTACGCTATACCTGACGCTATGCTTACGCGACCAGAGTTTTGATTTACGCGGCAGGCATGTACATAAAAGCGCAAGCTTACGGTGATAGGTTTGACTTAAAACGCATAGGAACTTACGCCAGAGGCATGCCACAGGTTACGCCACAGCGTACGCATGGTATTTTGCAAAAGCGGCAAGCCACCTTACGAAACCCAGGGTTTTGCTTACGCGACCTAGTTGACGACTCTTCTTAAAGTGTATGTAGATATACCCTCTGGTTATATACCCTCTGGTTATTTAACATAGCCATGGAAAATGACCCATTTGTAGATGATTTTCCCATTAAAACCTCCATTTATAAGGGATTTTCCATGGCTCTGTTAAATAACCAGATGGTATGTATAGATGTATGAGTTGTGTCATACAGTATCTTGGGGATTCTCATCACCTGGCAATCCTATTGACCTGTAAAAACCGCACCAGGCTGGGTTGTTGAAGGCCAAGTCGGCAGTTTTGCCTGACAAGGCGCAGGGCTTTTGACCTGAAGCTGTTGAAACATGGGGAAAAGATGGTGGAAACTCCTCAAATCCGTGGAAATCATTTTTTCTGGATTTTCATGTGGAATGATGTTCAAAACGTGGAACAGTGATCGGACAACTATTTTATCCCAATGTTTCGAACATATTTTCGGGAATGATCCAGCATGTCGGAAAGGATCAAGAAAGGAAAAGCGTCCTCTTGCTCCCTGAACTTTCCTCTTGGAAGGGTTTTGTTTTTTTTTCCAGGCCAGGGGGATTCCTAACATGATTTTCCAAAGCAAAAACGCTCCAGGCATGGTCTCTGGTTACAGGACATCTAGGGAACGACCTGTGGTCCTCTCTATTGGAATTGCTGCTGAAGAACGAAAAGGAGATGTTGCAGGACCGGAATTTGCAGAAATTGCTGGATTTTTTGGGATGATGTTGCCATCAATTTTTGAGGTGTCAAAAACAAAAACCATGGATTTTTCACGCTACTGCTTTTTAAAAATACTGTAACATACTCAACTTTTGAACACTTTCCAATCCGAAGATAAGGTTGTGGCAGGATGATGTGGCAGCTTGGGTGTTTACTGAGATTCACTGGAAATTTGGGTGATTGTCATGATATCGAACTCCAACATTCAGGATTGACTGATCTTGAGTCCCCTCGTCGAAATTCACAGATTCAGCTCATAAGGTGATTCATTTTCAGTATTTTGGTTCATCAACCGCTTAAAAAAAATCCACGTGAGCCTCCGAGTTGGATAAATTGGGATTACAACACATTGCACAGTTTTTTTTCTCGTCATTCCCGTTGCGTTTTTGGGGATTTTTCTCCGCAGCATTGGCTGTTGGTGTTGAGAAGCCACTGCCTGGCCATGGCTGAAATGTCGAAGATCGGAGAGATCGAACTTTTAAAGCCCTTGGCAGTTGGGACAATGGCCTGGGGACGCACGTGGTTGGATGAGAAGTTAAACCGAGGTGGGGGAGAGCTGCTGATTCTCAGTGTATATAGAGACATTATATATATATATATATTATAGAACTTGCAATGATGACAGAGTTTCCATTTTTGGGAATATTTCTGATGCCATCATGACACTTTTTTTTCAACGTGCAATCGTGAGGCAACTTATCCGATGAGACTTGTGCTGCCATCTACAAGGAGCTCACAGAGGCGGATTGATCCAATGGATTTTTTAACCATCCAACCGTCTCTGACAACCGTCTCTGACAACCGTCTCTGAGCAGATTTCTGACAAGTTGTTGACTTAGACTTGCTTAAACATCATTAAGTGAAGCAGTCATCCATCTTTGGAGTTTCGTAGATTTCGATTTCATCAAAATCAGGGCGACTCATGCCATGAACAGCCAGTGACCACCTCTTCCCCAGTGGCTCCCAATTTTCAGGTGCACCAAATTCAGCTTTTCGACACCGCGGAGGGCTACGGAGGTGGCACCAGCGAAGAACGCCTGCGGGATGTGGCGAAGGTGGCGAATGCGCCAGGAGATGAAAAGAGGCAGCGATGGAAAGTCGCGATGGTTTGGGGTGCCCTGGGTTGTTGGGAATCTGAGAAAACCCCTGAAAAACTTCGAGGGAACCTGCAAAAATCATGGGGGTTGGATGATTTTTGAATCTAATGACAATTCTTTATGGAAATATACTGGGATATAGTAGGAGATATATAGCCCATGGAACGTGCGTTGGGGAAACACTTCCAATGGCCATTTTTCTAAGCAAAGGAGCTCGGGGTACCACATTTCAGACACATCGAAAATGGGGAAACATGGGAAGAACTCCATCGACGCATCGATATCACTGAGAAACATGGGAAGTACCATCCAGATGGCAAACAAAGCTCTTCATTTCTAGCTTATTTTTGCCTTACAACCACACTTATAACTTCCATTTATAGCGGAAATCGCCATGTTTGGTGGCCGAAGGGTCTCCAGAAATTTTCCAGTTGAACTGCGGCCAGGAACTACCCAGTGGTCTTTGCTAGCAAGTTCCTTCCCACCATCGCCCGGTGGTCTCGCAGCAGCTTTCACAATGCCCTGCGAAGGTCCTGTGAACGTCTGGGTTCCACGTGTGACATCTACTTCCTTCATACACCGATCCATCCTCTACCACTGGAATTTTGGATCAGTTGTGCTTGTGAAGCTGCCAAAGCCGCTGGGCAGGATTTAACACGGATTTTTTTTCCCCTGATTTGATCTGAAAGTTGAAAAAAACTTTTGAGGGAAGTTCACGAAACCTATTTGCAATCATTTCAAGGTTTCATTTTTTTCCGGAAATGAATCCATGAACATCTCTGAAAATCGAAGATATATGCTCTCATCGCCATTCATGATTTATCATTTCGAGATTATCAGGAATTTATGGAGCATATCTATCAATGATCATCAACATTCTCAATTATTCATCAGTTTTAATCAGTTATTCTATGTTATTCCCATCATTTGTCATCAGTTGTCAACAGTTATCATCAATTTTCATCAGTTTTGGGTATGGGTCAATACCTATAGATACATTTTTAGTAGGATGAACATCCATAAATCCCAGCTATTTTGATGTGAACTACAGGGGGATAGGGTTTTGACCCTTCAGTTTTCACCAGTTTTCATCAGTTTCTTCAGTCTTCATGGACCCAGGCAGGTCTGATCAAGGAGATCGGCATCTCCAACTGCAACGCTTCCCAGGTGCGTCGCGCCCAAGCTGAGGCCCTGAAGCATGGCAGGCGGATTGCGGCGAATCAGGTGCGGGTGGATGGTGATCATATGGGACATCACCAGATTTTCATGGGATTTTAATGGATTTTCAGAGAATTGATGAGGATTTCAGCATTTTTTCCACCATTTGGATCAATTTTTAAGCATCAAACGGGGGGTTTTGAGATGGTTTCGCCGCCAGAAATGGATGAAGGCAATGGAAAGTTCACCGGACCCAGGTGATGTTCAACTTGCTCTGCTTCAACAGTCCGGAGCTTCAGGTCCACTGGCCGAAGTCGGCGGCCAAGACATTTTTTTTGGGTCATTTTGTAGGGGATCATCAGTGAATCAGTATGGCAGCAAATTTTCTAAGGTGACTTAGATAGTTAGATATGGAAAAAAAATCAGATCCTGGTGCCTAAAAAGGCATTGATAGTACCTTAGACATGGTTAAATGATTTAAATGAAACCGTTTAAGGCACTACCGCATTTACAACATCTTATGTACATCAGATATTGAGTACGAGAATACAATCCTGCTGGCCCTAAATAGCACATTCACCTCCAGGGAAACTCTGGTGGATACTAGATTTTTAAATCTATGGGGGTTTCCACTGGGATTTTCCATGATAAACCATCCATTTGGGGTATCATTTATGGAATGACCCCCATATAAATTTACTTCATGGAATCATCTCAGGAGATGTGGAAGACGTGTCAAGAACTGGATGTGAAGATCGTGGCCTTCGGGACAGTGGGGCAGGGGATGTTGACTGATAACTTGACGAATGAGAAGTTTGCGAAGATCAGATTAGCCAAGATGACAGGCTGGGACAACTGGGACGGCTGGGACGGCTGGGAAATTTGAGGCGAAATTTGGCATTTGGCTGGGTTTCTTTTTGGGGAATTCTTGACTGATTGCTTGATGGCAAAAGGCGACAATTTTGTTACATCTTGGCTCCGTGGCGCCCTTGAGCAGTTGTTGCTGCAAGAACTAAACATGGTGGACCCCCAAATCATCCGACAGTGGTCATTTCCAATAGGGAAACAGGATGAAACAGGTAGTCCCACCCTTTCAAGAAATACCACGATTTTTCTCACCAATGCCCTGGCCGAAACGGTTTCGCCTGCAGCCATTGCCATTTCATGCCATTTCCAGGTTTGAAGATGGATGAGCTCAGAGATCTTCGAGGAAGCATCCAGCAGTTGGCTGAGAAGTATGGTAAATCCATGGCGCAGATCTGTGTGAACTGGGCCATCTGCCACAATGCCATTCCCTTGGTGGGAATCAGAAGCTTGGACCAAGCTCGTGATGCGGTGGGAGCTCTGGGCTGGAAGTTGGAGCAGGACGTGGAAGCACTGGTTGGACATGTTGGACACGGGGGGAATTTTCTCTTAACTACTACTGGTAGCTTATATATATATATATATAATATGTATATATTATATTTATAGTATATCTATATCTAATATATCTAATATATCTAATATATCTAATATATCTAATATATATAATATATCTATGTAAACTGGGTGCAGGCTCTTCCAAATCCCCTTGAAGACACAAGTGATGTCGAACACCCGAAGCAAATAACCCCTATGATGGGGACACTAGTTAGAAGGCTTCTCCACGATCACCACACCGCTCCAGGAAGCGCCCTTTTCTGAAAGGCAACACTGCAGATCCAGGATATGGCTACCAAGCCAACGCACCAACAGAGCGGCCACGCTCGATGTCTCCAGCACGGACTGAGCTTCCAAGCTCAGGACTATGGCAGCAAGGCACGAGTGAAATCCCTACCCGCCTTCTCCCGGGGCTCCCTGAGCCGCATGTGCCTACAGCGTTCGAAGGCTTCTGATTGCTGTTCAAGCAAAGGAACCTGGGCAACAAGTGGAAATTCACACTCGCTATTTTTCTTTAGTTGATTGAACAGCATTCTCATTGGGGTATTTCTCATTGGATTGTTGTTTCAGCCATTGAACTCTGTCACGCGTGCGGGCTCGGTCACGCAACAAGGAGCTCTCATCTGTCAGTTTGTAAGTGCCTAATCTTAATGTCTCTCGCAAAAACTGAGATTCCATCACTTTGGTTAGTGCGTCCGCTAATTGTGCTCCTGTTGAGACCCAGCGAAGATCTATTCCCTCTTGGAGAGAGTCTTTTATGGCTCGGGCAACCAAGGCAACCCTGAACTCAGCGCACTGTGGAGGTGCTGTGCGGGTGATCAGGTCAAAGAGCGACTTACAGTCTGTGACAGCAACATCCATTTCGGCTGGGGATGTAGCTACGGAGATGGCTGGTGCGATTCGTGTCAAAGCTTCTTCAGGTTTCTTCCAAGGGGTCTTAGGATTGTGTAACCATTCCCAAAATAGCCTTAGCCAACTTAATTGATCCACTGCGGATGCAAGTGCGTTGGTTTCTGCTGATAGTGTACTGGTTACGACTTTTTGAATTTTACGACTTCCCCAAGAAATTGGACTAATGACACATTGCTTATTTTCACTGATGTTTTGGTGGGTTCCAACGATGATAAGTCCGGCATGTGAGTCTGGTTTCTTTACTGACGCAAATGACGTATCAGAGAATCCCATGAATCGGAATTGTTTTGGGGGAATGGATTTTATGGTGATTGTTACATCATGGTGGCGTTTGGCTTCATGTAGGAGTCGGTTGGCTTCCTGAAGGTTCTCGATGGTTGCTGAATTTATTGAGGATTGTAATTGGGACAACCTGCTGGACAAATCTGGTCGAGTATTGACAGCTGCGTATTGGAGTGATCCTATTAACCCCCTTAGGGAAGCACGTTCAGGTTCGCTTACCGGTGCATCGGTCTGGGTTTTACGATGAGGCTCTATGCTTATGGGGTTAATTTTCCGGACATAGCTTGATTGACTTAGGGAAATACTGTAATCTCCATGTTGGCACAAGTCTATTCCCGTGAATGTGAAAGATTGGACTTTCTTGGATCCGAATGCATATTTGGCTTCAATCTTTTGGAGAACTTCTTGAAACTTCTGGTTTCCAGCACAAATACCATCATCAACATGGATTCCTAGAATTCCATTGAGTGCTCCTGGTTGGTTGGTTTCGGGTCCCTCGCGCAAAACGAAAAGACATGGATCAAAAGGGCACGGTTCCATTCCCAGCTGCAGCAAGTGTTCTACGAATGCCTTATACCACAAGTATGGTGCGTCGATGAGTCCGTACGCACTTTTCTTGAGGATTCCTACTTCGTGATCTTGCATGTTCATGGCTTTCTGGAGTTCAGGTACAGGCTCTATTCCAATGATTCGTCCCTTTTGTGGGGTCCCCTGTAGGAAAGCTGCTTTAACATCGAATGAGGTAAGCTCCCATTGGTGTGATGCTATTGTCTGGAGAACTAACATTCGGGAAGTTTTTCCAAGGGTTGGTGAATCCCGGGGTATTTGGTCTAATTTTGGACCTAGATATCCCAATACCACTAGGCGAGCTTTCGCTCGATGAGTTTTCCCTTTTGGGTTCTTGGAATTGGCAGTAATTTCAGTGGAGTCCAATGGCTTCCATGTGAGGATCCATCTACACCTTAGGATTTGATCATGTGGAATTTGATCTCTGAGTATTTTGCTGATTGTTCCCGTTTTGATCCGATTGTCAATCTCGGCTTGTTTGGCGACTTCGAACTCGGCCTTCTCCTGTCTGGACAGTTCGCCAAGTCTGACTTCTGATCGTTGCTTTCGGGCAGAGGAGGCCAGCATGGTCCAAGCTTCAACCGTAGATAAATCCGAAGCATCATATGTGTTTGGTATTGGTATGTCAAACTCACATTTCCAAGCTAGGTCGATTGGAGTTTCGCTCAACAGGGCTCCTGGTTCTTCGGTACATACCATGAATGCTTCTTCCTCTTCTTCACTTTGGGTGTTTTCGGATGGGATGCTAGGATCTTGACTACTGGCTTCTGGTTCCTGATCAGGCTGTTGGGATGTTCGGAGGCTCTGTGTTTCTTCTTCCTCAGCTGGAGTCTGATCCCTGTTATCCATGTCATTATCTTCTGGGACTATGGGTTCATCAGGGTTATTGGAGGGATCGACTATACTGGGGGAATCTACCCGAACACTTTGGTTATTCATTCTGTCAATCTGGTTCTGGAGAGCGGTCAAATCTTCCGGGAGCTCAGGACCACAGGGCATTCCTTCTTCCGGCAGGGCCAGTCGCACATGTTCTGGAGCTGAACGGAATAGTTTTCCTGCTGTGGTTGTCCACACTGTGTGATTACCATCCTGTATAATTACCCTATGGGGACCGATCCAATTGGGTTGGTTCACATTATGATTACGCCAGATCATAACCCATTGATTAGATTCATACTTTCCCCGGTGAGGACATGATCTTCTCAGGATGGCTCTGCGAAGGGTTTCACTATTATCTACACTGTGGAAGGCTTTCCGGGCATTTTCTCGAATCTTCAGCATTTTCTGAAATTCCGAGGCGTCGAGACCATTTTCTGGATTGGTGGCCATTGCATGTGATGGGATGGACTCGTCGCTGAGTATTGACCCTGGCACACGTGTGTGTCTTCCAAATACTATCACCTCTGGTGCATATCCGTGCCGCACACTAAGTGCATTCTTAGCTTGCGTGCATTGATTTAAAACCCTTTGAAGTGTAGTATATTCTTGGATGTTGTGTTCAAGGTCCATCTTTACCAACATCTCTTGAAGAAACCGGCCATGTCTCTCAATCTTACCATTTTGCCAATGGGCTTCCGGACAAATGGTGGTTGGCTTTATGGACATGGTTTGCATGTACTGAGAAAATTCTTCACTGTTCAGTTCAGTTCCCGAATCGACTTGGATTTCATGAGGTGCTCCAGCCCAACTGATCCAATGTTGATTGAGGAGATGAATTACATCTTGAGTGGTCTGTGATGGGGCAATTATAGCTACATGATAGTTGGTTCCCGCATCAAGGATGTGATAGAAATGAAAGGATTTCCCCTGTTGGTTTGTCCATGTTATTCCATCAATATAGATCTTGTAGTTGAAATCCATCATGGGCTTTAAGGTTCCGGGTCTTTGATGTTTCGGTGGACTGCACGCGGAACACACTGCGCATCTGATGTCAAGAGCACATTGGACCAGCTCAGGTCTCTGACCACTGGATTCTAAGGCCTTGGCAAGTCTTTCATTGGACGGATGTCCCAGATTCCGATGCATTTGCAACAATTTGGCTTGTTCCCATTTGGGTAACCGTAAAAAGTTCATACCATGCGCATGGTTATCTTCAGAGTCCTGGCTCGTGGTGCCGTCCAATGGGATCATTTCAGATTCCGGGACAGGGGAACTTTCGGTCTCAATGGGTGCTGACACAGGTGCTGCCGTTGATCTTGGTTCTTCCTCTGCTGAGTTCGGAGGATGATTCAAATTTGGATCTGCAGACGTCACGGGTCGCTGGCTGGAGGCGTCGAGACTGGCTCTCGGGAGCTGGCTGCTTTCACGATTCCGAGCAAACATAGTGATGTTCAATCTACAGGCATGTGAAGGTCTGATGAGTTGTCTCTTGGATAACATTGACCAGTTCTCCCAGTAAGTTTCAACCTGTACTTCGCCAGTGGGTCGTGCTACCATCAGTGCCTTTCGGAACGGTGCTTGCGCTGCTAGCAAATTGGTTGGTGGGCCGATGGTCCGATCCGTACCACGACAGGCAATCACCTTGACAATCTCTTTATCCCCAAAAAGTTCTTCCAATTGGTGTAGAATGGATGCATTATTGATCTCCAGCTTACCAACACGTGGTGCTATGACATTGATTCTTTTGATCACATTCTGAAACTTCTCAAGGCTGGGTTCTGAATGATGTTTTCCGGTGACGCGGCGTTTCTTGGAAGGATGGTCATCTGCAGTTGGAATGGTGATTTCTGATTTTGTAAATCTATCTTTGTGAGTGGATGGTTTCTGAATGGTTCTTGAACGTTCTGAAACGTATGCCTGGGCTGCTTTCGGTTCGGCGTGGCATGGATCTTGGCTGCGGACTCTGGCGATCATGCCAGGTTGCCACATGAATGGCCACTCATTGGTACCTTTCCCAAGGACTTGGGCAACAGCTCTGGCAAACTTCCGGGGATACACTGCCGTGAATTCTGTTCTGTACATCATGCCGTTGGGTCCTGGGATGCTGCCCTCAATGGCTTGATGATCATGTTCCCGATTGCATACTTTTCCATGAAGAAACTTATACAACGATGGGTTTGTTGTCATCACTCCCATACTTTTGCGCATGTACATTCCAGTTTGTGGGCATTTCAGTTCACCTACCTTACACATATCAAACTGACAGAGCTGGGTATGATGACGAATTTCGCTAAGCCAGGGACTGTACAACATCATTGATCGGAGTGGTTGTTCAAGATGAAAATGCAACCCCTGCTGATACTGATATCTAAACAGGACAATACATAATGCAAGTTGATACAAAAGCTCATGCCTTCGTTGCTGATAGGCCTCAAGTGCCTCTGGAGATCGGGAGGCATTCAGCTGCGCCCAGGATGACCATGGTCCACAATCCGGACTCATCCAGACATGTTTTGGTCTATGTTGGGCCATCATGATGAACAATTTTCCTCGGCCGGCAGTCGTGGCCAAATCACCCTGGTCATATCCAAAACGGAACGCTCCCTCTTGAAGCTGCTGCATCTGGTGCGTCAATGGTGATCGTTCACTGCAAAAGACTTCGGCTAGGCAAAATGGTTTTCCCAGTGGTTTTACTTCTTGACACTTTTGGTTCAATTCCTTGGAAAATTGCCTAATGAGTTTCTGGACATGAGAGGCATCTCGATGCATTACTGTGAACGCTGAATCATCATTGTTCCTGGCTGCAGCTTCTACGGAAATTCCTCTGGGCTGGTCACTGGCTCGGCTGTGTTGGTGTTCTGCTCGATGTGCTGGATCACTCGCTGAAGAGCATTCTCCATGAACAGCATTCGATCTCTCATGGCGAGGAAGTCGGGGTCTTGCTGTAAGGGATTCGGCATCATGGTCTCCGATGCATACATCTCGGAATTCCAATCCCAGACCTCGTCGTCCTCTCCCATCTGGCCGGGCGAACAACTGGGCATGTTCAGACTGGCATGGACTCCTTGGTGAGATGCGCACCCCTTGGCCTTGGCCTGTGGTTTTGCCTTGGCCTTTGCGGCTATGTTCAGTCCCACTGGACGGGACACCTGGCTTTGCATCTTCGGAATGGGCATCTGTGATTGTTCGTGCTGCTCGATCTTGAGCTCGATGAACCTGATGGCACGGCGATGAGCCGTCTTGGCACTGTTCCCATACCGGTTCAGCATGAACTGGCACCATTCCTGATCCGGCCACGCCTGGCTGTGAGTCATGCCGTTGTACTTGCTCCCGAAGGTGATCACCTCGTTCTCGAGTTCCGGAAGAGTCAGATGACTCAGGTCCTCCACTTCGGAGGGTGTGCTCAGTTGCAAGGCCTTCAAGCGCTGGCTCAGCGACATGATGGGATCGTTCTGGAAAGATCGAGGTTCCTGCGGATGTCCTATCTTGGGCCGAGGCTGACCCAGAATTGTGGTTTTCAACATTGGACATGAAGCTCACGGTTTTGCTTTCATCTGGTTCAGAGGCTTTGGCAAAACATGGATTGCTTTCTCTGGCGATCTGAATTCCAGATTCTTCCATTGGTTTCTTTTGAATTCGGTTTTCAATTTCAGCAATTCTGACTGCAACTCCCACTGGCTTAGTGGCGTCAACTTTTATGTGAGCGGTGTCGGACAAAAAGGTCTCAGTGACAGGCTTCGCTAAGTCACTGCTGTGCAAGGCATGACGTCGGGCTGACAGTGCAATCTCATTCAAATCAACCAAGAACAGGCCGCGACTGGTCAAGTGCATGGCGATCGGCTGATCTAACTTGGCACTGCAGAACTTTCGGTGCTCGCAGTCTATCTGCGCTGCAAGAGTTCTCATGAGGGTGTTACTGATCAGGAAAGGAGTCTTACCTGGGACCACTGCGATCTTCAGCTGAAGTTTTCCAATGGGTACCACAAGTGCCATCGTGCTGGTGAGAGTCCCTTGGTTTCCAAACCGAAAAGTTACATCACACTGGCAACGTGAAAGACCTTTCTGAATTATGGGATCCAAACCCTCAATCAACTCCCGAACATTATCTGCACCAATTACTGTCTTTGAAGCACCGAGGTCCAAAACCCCAAAAGTACTGTGAGTTGCAAACAGGGCTGTTTCACATGGAACATGATTATGTGGCATGGAGACTTCCTTCTTGAAACATGTTCTGGACTGGCTTGGTGTCTGTACAAAACTGACGGATGAACTACGATCAGACTTCTCTGCATTTCGGCTGGCGATCATGGATTCACCAATCATCAGACGTTTCCTGAGGCGTTCTCTGGCTGACATTGCCGGAGTTTCCATGGGCTCATGCACATGTCTAGATTTCCCCAGAATCCTACCCCTGTACATGAACTGACTGGTTGGTTGTTCCAAAATGGACACAAAACATTCCAAAAAACTATGCTGCGGGACAGGCACTACCTCCAATGGCATGATCTCGGATGACATCGGCAGCTGTCGGAACTCCAAGGGCAACGGATCAATCTCCTCTGTGATCACGGTGGTGGTTGGAGCTGCATTGGTGCTGGTCGACGCTTGGGATCCCGATGGTTTCATCGGGCACTCAGCTTTCCAATGGCCCTTTTGGCCACACAATCTACACGATGAATTCATGATCCTTTCTTGCAACGATCGATTGCGACGAGGCTGATTAAAGGATTTGCCCTTTCCAGATGCCTTGAAACCTCCATAGCCCTTGCCTTTGGGGGCATTTCCAGTAAATGGCCTGGCTGGCCAAAATCCACGGTTCTTGTATCGCTCTGTCAATCGATGTCTGGCTTGCTGGTATGCTGAGTAAGCTGTTGCTAACTCCGCATCTTCCTGCAGGGTCTCCGTCATTGCTTGCTCATAGTCTGCAATGAGCAAGGCATCTGAGTCACCTTCTTGGACCATCTCTTCAATGAAGTCGTCCAGTGTGTCCTCGGTTGCATTCAATGCTGACTCCGATTCAGGTGGATCATCACCTGCTGCATCCATGGTCAGATTGGCCTGATCATAAACCTTGGTTCGGGTGGCCTTTTTCTGGCCTGTCATCTCCTGAAAGAAAACGGCACCTAAGGTTCTGATAGCATCAGTGACCTTTTCAACAGTCAGTTTTCCGTCCTTCTCGGATTCGAGGATCACACGTTTCTTTTCTTCAGTTGCTAGCAAGGATCCCCGTAGGAGAATATAGGCTTGCAGCTCTGAGACATCCATCTTTCGGCTCAGCAAACGGGACCACAAAATGTCTGCCCTTGCTATGTAGCTGTCGTTGGACTCATCTTGATGTTGATGCGTCTCAAACAATGCACGCTCTGCATCCTGATATTGGGTCTGTAAAGGGATTTTGCCCCAATGTCCACCCAGTAGTTCTACAAGCTTATGCACTGCTTTCATCTCACCTGACAACAGTTCGGTCTGATGGAGCTGAAGTTTCTGGAATGCACTGCCTTTGCACCCCAAAATCAGTCTGGTGACCAATTCGGTCAAGCGCTGCTTTGGCCATGCTGCTGCCACCAACTCCACCTTCTGCTGATAAATGAGAACGTCATCAACACTTGGGTCAAACGCCGGGACCAGTGAAGCTAATTGGTTTGTAACTCCCAGTCCACTGTCGGCTGCCGTAGAGGCTTGTGACATACTGCCCCGGATGCCCCACCGTCAAAATACCCGGTGGAGCTCCGCTACCAGTGTAAACTGGGTGCAGGCTCTTCCAAATCCCCTTGAAGACACAAGTGATGTCGAACACCCGAAGCAAATAACCCCTATGATGGGGACACTAGTTAGAAGGCTTCTCCACGATCACCACACCGCTCCAGGAAGCGCCCTTTTCTGAAAGGCAACACTGCAGATCCAGGATATGGCTACCAAGCCAACGCACCAACAGAGCGGCCACGCTCGATGTCTCCAGCACGGACTGAGCTTCCAAGCTCAGGACTATGGCAGCAAGGCACGAGTGAAATCCCTACCCGCCTTCTCCCGGGGCTCCCTGAGCCGCATGTGCCTACAGCGTTCGAAGGCTTCTGATTGCTGTTCAAGCAAAGGAACCTGGGCAACAAGTGGAAATTCACATATCTAATATATATATATACACATTTATGTTTTTTTTTTTTTGCCTGTGTTTTTCCCGATTTTTTTTGCGATTATGCGAAGTACGCCCCCTACCAGTGTCAATTGTTCAATCCTTTCATGACATTTTTTGGTGGAAGGAAGGATACACTCCATGAACCGAAAAAACGTAGCATAGAATCATAGAACGAGGAATATTTTCATGATTTCTAAAGGTTTGCGTCAAGGAGATTTCTACAATTCAGCTATAGATATTTTTGGCATTTCATCCACCAAAAAACTCACGGGACCGGCCATCCCATCTACCGTTCATCATAAGTTGCAGCCCCCATTCCATGGTCCCAAATATCATTCCCCTACCAAACCATTGTCCCAACGGTATGTTAGGAGGCAGGGATTTTATAGTTAAATTGCAATTTGTTGAAGTTGAGATTTGGTACTTCTATGTACTTATGCTAAGAAATGGCATACTTATGCGATTCTTTGGTACTTCTGCCATTCTCTGGGTGATGCTTTCAATGTCCTGTCAGGAGGATTTGGAAGAACTGGACCGGCACGCGCTGCGGCGCGGTACCCTATCCAAGCCTCGATGGAAGCGAGCGGCCTTTGTGATGTTCATTTCAACCCTGGTGTGTCTTGGTTTCAAAGCAGATCATTTGAGATGTGGGTCAAAATGGAAGACATAGGGGACCACAGATGTTAGTCTAGTTTAGTATTAACCATCCAATTATTGGGGTACCTAATTTTGACCCATACCCATTTGAGATGGACATTTCATGAAAAAACAAAGACGTGGAAAATTGAGTACCAGACTTGGAACATGGGAAAATTGGAAAGCAGCCCTCATATTTGATCAGTAGTGGCTCAGTAGTGGCTCAGTCCATGGTTAGCTGATGAATTGACCCAGGTGTTGTTATCAGCTGAATCATTGCATCGACTGGTGCAAGTCGAAGTGGCGCAGTTTCTGCTCATTTTGGCGTCCGCATCGTGACTGAGTCATACTGAGTTCCTCAGCTTTGCGCCGGGTTTCCCCCGATTCCGTTTCTGTGCAGAGCACGGAGCACAGCGAGCACAGCGAGCACAGCGAGCACAGCGATACCCTGCAGAGCCAGGGTTCTCCAAGACCGTTCCAACGGTTTCCGTGAAAGAACCGGAAAATCGACTGACTTCAACTGTTCGGTTTCTGAAGATTGAGCCCAGTTGAGCCCAGTTGAGCCCAGTTGACCCATCCGTCATCCGTCATCCAACAGCTGGGAACTTTTTCCATCCATTGGGGGTACACCAGGACCGGGCTGCGACCGCAACGGCTCTGATGAAACTCTGGACGCCCAAGGGCTTGAAGAGTCAGCGGCAGGAGGCTCGGGGGAATTTGGTGATGAATCTGGGCCCTTGAAATGCTGAGATGGGGGGAGTTGCATATTGGTAGCATATGATCTATATGATCTATATGATCTATATGACTTTTTTGGACTAATCAGGGTGAAGAAAAAATCAGGTTTTGGGCGATGGAAAAAATTCAACCGTGCCACATTGCAGCTTTGCGAAAATCAATGAGTGAGTGATTTGCAGGGCATTGAGTCAACAGTTCGTAGTCCTGGCGAGTTCAGCTGCATTTTAGAACACGGCAGGAGATAATCGATGATTTAAAGTTCGGTGTTCCGGCCAGGCGCTGAGTTTCATTATGGTCTCCTTGGCACGTTGTGAGGCTGGGCGTTTGAGGGATCCATGTGAAACTGGCAAACTTTGGAGATGAAACTGATGCGTCTCCCACTTTTAAATCATCCACCCACATGTTTTAGCGTTGAAACCACATCCTCAAACCCTCCCCAAAAACAACAACATGTCAAACTCTCTCAGGTTTCCAAATAGATATCCTTGGACATCCAATATCAACAATTCAATACTTCATCAAGTTACTCATGGAGGAACCACAACCGGTACCAGGGATGCTGGGCCCAGGGAGCGGAGAAACTCATGGAAGCTCTGCCGCTGAGCGCCTTGCAATGTGTCAAGGACCTGATTTGGAGAGGCTTTAGTCGTGGCCATTTTCACAGGGAAAAGCCATGGGTAAATCCATGGGTAAATCCATGGAGAATCCATGGGACTTGGAAAAAACCGGACATCGACCCGCCGAAATTTGTGGAGATGGTGGGTCCCCATTTGTTGACCCCAAATTCACCCACCATCCCGCTAAGCGCGGAGAATCCGATGAGCATCGGATTTCCAATGATTTGCAGTTGGGAAGATGTTTTGCATCTTCACAACAAGCAGTGCAGCCCATTGAAGGTGTGCAAATGTCTCAAAATGTGAACACTCTAGTCAATGGATTGGTTTAAGGGAAAATTTACAGGAAAGCCCCATATTTAATGGGAAAATAACTCTGGTTTCCTGTAAAATTTCCCTTAAACCAATCCAATCATCTAGAACTCAGATCAGAAGTTGAGGCTATACAGATCGTCATACCATAGCTATACCATGGCCCATGACACTTCTCCAGGAGCCGCTCTGCAAGGCCGTTGCGGAGCTGTCCAAGAAGGGAGCCTCGCAGGTCGCGGGGTTTACGCAGTGAAGCGAGCCGGTCCGGGTGGGTCCGATGCTGACACCAACATGAAAACCAAACAGCCAGCAATTTGATACTATCTAAATCTATCTAATTACTATCTAGTATAATTCGTGTAATTGGTATCATTTTCATAGTATCTAACTAATAAATCAATTTGAGTAATAATTGATATTATCAAAATGATCAACTGATTGTTGGTAGAAGTTTCTAGTAACCAACATACCAATTAGCATCAGCTAGCAATCACTGCGGCAACTTTGAAATCGACTCCCAAATGAAGTGCAGGCTTTCGGCTTGTTGGCTGCTGCTCTGAAATTGATGACGCAAGGCTCGCAATCTTCATGATGCTCTCTGTTTTCTGTGTGTCCATGGTGTTTCAAAGCAGCTAGCTTTGGACATTTGATATTTCCTTCAAGATCGTGCAAAGTGAATTTTGGGAAACGACTTCTTTTCAGTTGCTCCAGTTTTTTTTAAACGTTTTTACATGTTTTTACACAACTTTTTCTGTTTGAAATATTTAGAACCCCCAATATTGGTCATATTTGGTCATAAGATTTGGAACGTCATTCCATGTACTCTTTCTGGGACCCCTGTTGGGCAGGGAAGGAGAAGGGCGACAAGGGCAAGGCGCAGGTTGGCCGTGGGCGCAGCGCAACAAAAATCCGCATGGATTTTGCGTTTCTGTACTGAGTGTACTAACATCACCAGGTTTTGGACCAAACTTGATATTGGTTTGGTATGGTTTGACCAAACTTGAGGCTATATCCAATTTTTGGACCAAAATGGATATTTCTTGAAATGGGGAACCCAAAAACCATACGATTCATCTTGAAAGTTTGGGAATTCAATGGCCCACCAGGAAACACTGGTCGACGTGGCAAGGTGCGTCCTGGATAAGTCTGAGATGTCCTGGAAGACTGGATGAAAGTTAGAATCAATGGGAGATCTCCAGGATCCAATTGATGGAGGTACGATGAGGTACGTAAACGTACCATATTTCTGGCCAAATTTATGTATGGTAGGTAGCTGGTAGCTCCAATAAATCGGATCCTGAAGATAATAAATCGGATCCTGAAGATCTCCCATTGTTAGGAATTCACAAGACATTTGGAAAGGGATGTGGGGACACCAAACCTTTTGAAGAGTTTCAAAAACAAAAAGGGTCAAAAAATGTGGACCCCAAATCCCACCCGGAGGTCAGTGGTGTTCCCCCTCTGTTTGGCGTTGGCGAAGCGTTGTGAAGCAGAGGTGGAACGGAGTGGGGAGGTGCAGGCTGTGAGATGAATCATAAGACCGAACACCATCTTTGGGTATGATCATGTGTACAATCAATCATGACTAATCACTAATCCATACTATATATAATCATCTGTTTCCTTTTCAGTTTGTCTTCAACAGATGCAAAAATATATGGCTCAGAAGGCTCAGAATTTCTTCGGACCCGCTGGTCGCTGGTCAGATCGCAGGTTGCTTGGGATGCGACTTTGGTGGACTTGGCTTGCGACAGCTGTATCTCGCCTGATTTTCGGACCACGTGTGGGTCTTTTAGAGTTGACTCCCAGAAAATGGCCTATGACACCAGAAGCGAAAGAGGTGAGTGTCACTTAGTGTACCGATGTTTTCATTTTCCCTCATGGATCCTCATCGATTCCATGGATGCTGAGTTCAGTGGCCAGGTTGGGTCGTTAGTCGTCTGGCCGCAGCACATTCTGAGCTTTTGGAAGAAGCGACCAACAGCCTTTTCAGGTGCAGTCGCGGATGTGGTCGGCGGTGGGGAATCTGGGCGTAACTCACGGCTCGAAACCATATCGATTAGGTCATCAAACATAATTGGGAAAAGTAGAATATCAAATTTTCAATTTTTTCAGAACCATTTTGTGATTGGATTTGAATTTTGTCATTCTCATTTTGAGTCTTTTTTTTTTCCAACGGTTCATCCAAAAAAAAGCCGGACGACCAAGGTTCACTGTGTCGCTCCGGGGCCTTGTGAAGATCAGCGAGGATCAAAGCAAGATGGCGAAGGCGGGGAAAGTCTCCACTGGATCGAAAATGATCCAATACTGGTTGGTGGTTTGGAACATGAATTTTATTTTCCCATCAGTTGGGATGATGATCCAATCTGACGAACTCCATCATTTTTCAGGTGGGTAGGCTCAACCACCAGTTTTTATTGGAAACCTCCATATATTGGGAATGTCATCATCCCAACTGACTTTCATATTTTTCAGAGGGGTAGGTCAACCACCAACCAGCAAATAGATTGGATAGATTGGTATTTTTTTGAGCCTCATTGAGCCCAATCTGTTTTTTTTGAGCATCATCTTGAAAATATTGATATTGAACACTGGCCAGGATTTCAAACACCAAGAATTATGTGTCCTGGCCAGTGTTTGAAGATCTTTGGAAGATGTTTCACCCATCCTTTTGGGAAACATGGGAAGATGTTTCACACCAACCAACCAAAAACGGTAGGGTGACATTCTCACATTCTTGCGGCAATCTGAGGTGGTAGCGGCTGCATCCACTGCCCTGGCAGAGGCGAAACTGGGGATGACATACAGATTTTCGGAGATTGGGAGTACTTTTGAGATCAATTGGGGACCATGGGGACCGTTAGAATAAGCTAAGCTAAGCAGCTTTCAAGTCCTAGTCAGTTCATGTCCAGAAGTGTTTTTCGGTGGAAGTTGGAGGACGCAAACGTGTTTCCCCAGGTTCCAACAGATGTGAACACGTTGATGGTCTCGATGCTGAAGTGTTTGAGTCTCAGAGCATTTCCCGAATCCGATCCATTGGGATTCTCTGATTTTTGAGCTCCATCCGAAGGTTGTAAAAACAGCCCTTATTTCATTTGATTGAATCTTACATCAGCTATCATTGGCTACAAAAAGCCTTACCAATGTCAGGATGTTAAAAATAATGGTGAAACAATCGAAACCGCCGAAGCCGCATCACATCCATTGGTTTTCCACATGCTACGCTAAGGTGATGTCATGCAGGGGAAACGCTTGAAGGCTGGGGCTAATAAATCAATGGAGATGTGGCTTTGTCTGTTAGCTACAGTTATCCCCAGAAAGAGAAGTAAACCATCGCTATTTTTTAGTAAAATTTCACTTTTTGATCTTTTTTGGGGTGACTATATGGATTCCTCTAAATTTTGGGGTGACTATATGGATTCCTCTAAATCCAGTGGTTTTTAAATATCTTTCAATGTCATGTTTGCCAAGGTTTTTTTGGCAATTCTGGGAGTATTCTACTGGGTCGACCCAATTTTAAGACATATCCACGATGCCATCGTGCAGGGATCATGTTGGTAACATGTGAATACCGCCGGATGGTTCTACATGTGGTTCTTAGTGAAATTGTCGAAGATGTGTGGGCTCATTCTCTATGGCTTCTGAACATGGGGAATACCGGAATACCTAATCAATAAAGGTATGCATGGGTATGCTACTTTCGGACAAACCCATTTTTGTGTATATGTTTCATTTGAGAATCCACAGTATGGAAGCTGCAGTGTGATTTGACCTGCGACTGCTTTCCACATCTTTCCACTACCAGTGCCATGGTACCATGCCGAGGAACCTCAAGGAGTGGCGGCAGCGCAACTGATTTCCGAACAGGCGCTGATGCCAAGCTGTCAAATTTCGCTGAAGGCATGTCTTGAACTTGAAGCCACCCTTTTGTCCGGCTTCAAGAACAGTTGGACAGCTATGATATTGCGAATGGCAGAAAACACCGTTCTCACATGAAAAAAACCCATTTGGCGGTTCAACATCGAAACTCGTCCCTTTCCAAGTGCTTGATTGAGGTAAAGTGGATTAAAGTGGTAAACCCAATCATAAACCTCCAATTTGGATGGTTTATATTGTTTATACAACCCATGTCTGGTATTCCATTGGGTTGTGGCATCATGGCAGAGGTTCTCAGTCTGCCCTCCTTGCCCGGACGGAGCAAGCTGCTGATGGCCTTGGCGACTGCTGCCAAAGAGGTCGACCGAGACTCGTTGAGGCTGTCAGGCTTTGTTACTAGTTGACCACATATCATATGGCATCCTGGGATAAATGGGAAATTTCGATTACCCTCTGGTTATTTAACATAGCCATGGAAAATCACCATTTTTAATAGGTAAACCATCTATAAATGGGCCATTTTCCATGGCTATGTTAAATAACCGCAGAGGGTATATTTGGATTTGTTTTGTTCTCCATTTCATGCCTTGCCACTTGGTTTAGAGTGTCGGACTGGTCCCCTAACCTGAATCCAAGCGCATTCCAATCCTGATTTTCGTATGTTTCCCTTCCAAAATTAAGGCTTGAAAAACAGCTTCAACTTTTAAACACCAGCCTTTTCGTATCCTTTTTCCAAGTTTCTTGTCTCGACTCAGTTCTTAGATTCTTGGTTCAAGCCGCCTGTGCGGCGGCACGGTCCCGGGACGGGGGCACCAGCCAAGTGGAGCCCACCATGGAGTGGTCCAGAGATTTGAGCGATTTTTTGTGCTCGCCCAGGGAGTGCCTTGGGCCAGGGAAGCCCCAAATGCGGAGACCAAAAAACATTGTGTTGGACGATACGACCATGACTTTGGGTTGGAGAAAGAGTTTTGTTTTTGTTCTTTCGTGGAGGTTTGAAGATGATGTGGATGATTTAGACGTCGATGGCTTTTTTTCCCATTCTTTGCAAGGCCTTCGGAGGCTTCGAACGTCCGGCTGACCTTGAGACAAGACCAAGGTGTCTGCATCAAGAGTGGCAGGACCAACTGCAGAATTTTGAGTTCCTGACGTCAGCTGGAAAGATGATTTTCCTGCCCCCGAACAAGTTTTCCAGTTCCAGGTTCATCAATGAATCTTTCGACACTTTGTTACATCCAATTATAACCATCAATAGCCCGTTGAATCGATTTAAAACCCAATTTTGTTGGTTGAATCATCAATTTTACACCCCCATTCAAGGCCATATCAATCATATTCAATCATATTGTCGTATGAATATGTGTATATATATATACACATACAACATAAACAAAAAGCAAATAGATAAATAACTACATAAATAACTACACAAATAACTCACAAAAATGCAGTGTATATAAATGTATATCCCCATAGCCCACACATGATATGCCCATTGAACTCCTGCTCCAGGAGCTGCTTAGACTTGGGCCGAGTCACTTTGACGGCCACGGCCTCCCTTGTGGAGAAGTTACCTAAGGTGCCCACACTGAAAACCCCGTCCCTTCCGAATTTCAAACAGAGCTATATCTATAGATGTGCCTTGGACTGCCTTGTGGCTCATGTGTTGAAACTTATTCGTTTTTGGGTTTTTGGACTCCTTTAGGACATATTTTTTGGATGGGTTGATGTCACCAACAAGTAAGAACTGTTTTTTTTTTGAATACCAGACGAATGATAAAATCGTGACACCATGATGGCGTCAGGTTGGCTCCATCCATGAATTTGGTTGTAACTGAGATGATGGTCATTTGTTGGTGAACATCATGATAACAATGACATGGCGGAACTCGAAAAGACATCATTTGACCCCCACCCCGCTGTAAAGATTGGAATTCCATAGCTACCCTTCCAAGAAAAAAAACCCAACCATCACTAACACCATCACCAAACATCAACCAAGATGTTGAGGTTATGAGAAAACTTTGCGATCGGACGAGATGGAGAAACCATGCAATGACATGGACGAGGAGACTGACCTTTCGGACATCCGAGTGCAAACGACACCGCGAGAGCTGTCCTTGTCCATTGCGGCGTCACCATCATTATTTCCAGTGGGTTAGCTGCATCCAAGGGGGATAACCCACTGGAGAAATCAGAGATATCCCAAACTTGCGACTGATTGTGGCTTCAAATTGAAACATTCTCGGAGGGAAAACATATCGTGACAGCGCTTGGAAAATCATGTAACAAACGAATTCAACCCACATTTCCCACTCAACTTTCAAAGTCCACCGTTTGGGTGAGCTGACCGTACGTACAGTTCCCATGCATCATGAAACTTCCGAAATATGCATTACGTTCGTAGGCCACATGCCCCGTTCTCATTGGTGATTTTTATTTCTCATTTACTTGCTGGTTTGATGATATTACGACAAAATGAACACAGAATTGGACAAAGTATTGCGTACTTTTCTCGATTATTTTACAATACGGATTCCCTCTATCATATCAACCATCCCATTTTTTAGGGGCATTGAATCATTTTGGGTTTATAAACAACTATCACATCAATAAATTACAATCAATCCCATTTTTATGGTCCTCTTGAATCATTTTGTGCCGTTTTTAATAAAATCACATTTTTTTTTTTGGGTGTCGATGATTTTGGAACAACGCATCCAGAAATCCAGAAATCCAGAAATCGACGCCAGGTGGTGGAAGCTTGGCTCTCGGTGGCCATGCGATCTATGGCAGGGCTGGCGGGGCTCACTGGGGTTCCATTGCTTCAAGCCTTGGGGGCCACGGCGAAAGCGGGAGATCTGCCATTGCCGCTGGGCTTCCCCTTGAAGTCCCTTGGCAGAGTTTTTCAAGACTTTTTATGGAGGGTTTTCACTGTTTTCACTTGACTTTTTATGGCACATTCTGATGATTTTTTCGGATGTTTTCACTGGGCACTCAGGAAAAACCTGAGATTTCGGTGTTTTTTTTTCTCGGGGTTTGTTAGTTGGTGATCAAGTTTTCTGGGAAGAAAACAAAGGAGATGGGGAAATTGACCAAATGGGATTTTGACCAGCAATCTGGCCAACAAAGAAGGGAATCCCCCCATTTTAACAGACTGGTGGTATACAAAAAAGGTCCAAAAATGGGTTGTAGCCCCAAATCCACCACCATTTTTTTTGGATATTTTGGTCCTTTTGGGGGATCCCATCCGAAAAATCCCGCTATTTTGGGTATCGTGACCTCTCTCCAGGCTGGGTGGAGTTGGTTCTATCGATGCGTTCATTCAGGAGAGCGAGAAATCCTTAGCAACTCATGTGGGCCTTTTCTCTTTGAAGCTTGAGCGAATGGCTCCGGGATGGGCAACGGCAAAGAGGTGCAACAGACACATCATACATGGATAATGATAATATATAGATTAAATTATATATGATTATATAGATAATAGTTATGATAATTATTGGTAACAACAACAGTAATAGTAATAATGATAATATATGGGGAATACTATATTGACAATATTATTATAGTGAGAATAAGAATAATAATACTGAATATAATATTGTCATTTATGGATAGCATGAAAGAAGAGCTAATTAACACGATAATAAAAACACTAATGACGAAATTCACCTATTTTGGTGGGTATTATTCTCATGGGATGCAGTTTTTGTCTTCTCATGTCCTGCCGTTGTTCCTCCATTCTGAGGACTTCAGCAGTGATGTTCATCGGCTCAATCAAGGGCTTGAACAAACACTCTACCGCCAGAGAAGGAAACTACATGGGTTACTTGCCGCATGTTTGGCCCGCCAAATTCCAAGGGATTCCATGGGATTCCATGGGATTCCAAGGGATTCCAAGTAACTCAAACAGGTGGACCGACCAAGGCGCGCTGTGAGATGTTACATGAGAAGACGACTAAAAGGCGGTGCGCAAACGCTGTTTAGATGTTGCCTTGAACATTCTGGAGATGTAGAACATTTTTCCATTGCACATTCGGATTATGGACATGAAATTAACATAATTAGAACTAGAACATATTAGATAGTAGCAAGTGTGTTCCCGCATATATATGCATATATTGTATCTTGAAATGTCTAGTTCTTTGGATACCTTTGGATTTCGAATCCCTTCATTCGTAGATCACCGTCCTTCAGGTATGGTGGCCACTGCTCTCGGCATCCTATCAGTGTTGATGTCTCCGGGCTTCCACTCGGCGCACCTCCGTTGCTGGACAGGTAACGCAGGTAATGGCAGTTTTGATATGGTTTACCCTATGGTAAATAAACATAGACCCTGAAAATGACCAATTTTTAGTGGAAACTAATCTTCCAACCCTCATCTGCCAGGGTCTATGTTAATTTACTGGAGGGTAATGGGGAACATGATGACAAACAAATGGGCATTTTTTCGAAATTTTCGAGTACCATGTTTTTTTTACAAAACTTTAAGCCACAGTTTTGCCCTACTGGAGGCTAGTTCAAGTTTCTACTCACTTCAGAGACCTAATGGTTGGGGCATATCCCTCATTTCAGAACACGTATTTAGTTTGTTTGTTCAGACCATCTCTGTCGGTTTTCTGGGTAAAATCTGTCATATTCTCCCCCTGTTTCTTAACATGGAGTTGTTCCCATGTTCCCCCATAGGGATCCCCTGAGGGTAGGGACGGTAGGGAGCTTCAGCTCCTGGGCAATTTCCAACCCCAACGTGACTGCAGGCTTCTTCGCTACCTTCTTGGCAGCTGCGGGTGTGGGTTACAGTGTGGCCACCAATGTGAAGATGGAGGATATGCCGCAATTGGAGCCTCGGTGGACAGTGATACCTTTTTCGTGTACCCGATGTAGTGATGATGGTAGTGAAGATGGTCCAAACGAGTCTTTAAATGATATTTGTCATGCCAGCTTGAATTTTGGAAAAACTGCAGGTACTGGAGCATGGTTTCAAATAGTCTAGTGGCACACTGACCTCACAGAAGGATGGCTATTGATGCTATTTGCATGAAAAGGATCAGTTTCATCATCAGATTTTGGCAACAGTCCCATCAACAGCGGCAGCCACCCGAAGCCTTTTGAATTAGTTCCTGTGCCATATCCCCACCGTAATTGGCATGTTTCAGGTTGCGGGTTTCCATTCCTTTGTGGGCTTAGCTGCGGTTTTTGCGGGCTTTGCCAGTTACTTCAATCCCCTCAGCGGATATACTGTGATGAAGGCACTCGAGACTTCGCGACTGGGACTGCTTTGATGATGTTTGACGACTTTTGGTTTTCAACTCTCTATGTTTTGGGATGAATCATTGGCATCTTTGTTCAGCAGATAATCCCCACTCGCCAGCCTCTGATCCTTTGCAGTGGATGATGTTGCAGTGGGCAAATAATGGGCAGCCCCAGTTCTTTGCAATTTCCGTGCAAAGTGACCCCAGCATACCACAGCTTTTGATAACCGGGCTACCAGACAAGACAGCTTAGAAGCATGCTCGCATTCAACATTCAGGATTCCTGTTTTTCCAACCTGAGGAATCTGAAGGTGCCATAGGCTATGCCATAGGTGACTATCCAAGGGCTTGGAGAATTCTAAGAAGTTTGGTCAACCAAGGATTGTTATGGTCCATCTTGGAAACCAATCTATCTATCCATTTTCAAACCAGCAAAAAAATCCAAGGATTGGTATCCCAGCATTTTGCCAGATCTTCCCAGCATTTTTTCCAAGGATTGGTATTGCCATCGGATCCTTGACCTTCACCGGATCGGTGGTGGCGGCTGGGAAACTCCACGAGCTGATCCCCGGGAAGCCCATCGTTTTACCGCAGCGCTGGCTGCTGAATGCTGCAGCCCTGGCGGGAAGTGCCGTGATGACCGGTGACTCTCGAAAAATCCCAGGGAATTTCGGGGGGTTCCTGTGAAAAATGGATGGTTTAGAATGGAACATGTTGGAACATCCGATTTTTACATGGATGATTTGGGGGTACCCCCATAGGAAAGCTCCATTTGATGGATTCTTCACGGTTTCAGGGTTTGCAACCTGGATGTATTCTCCGGCCGTTGACACTTGAACATTCAACGTGGCCGAAGTTGCGGCACCTATCGCACACGCCGATTGTGGGACCTGTCTGCGAGTGGAGGTCCAAGTTCAGTGATCCCCGATTTTCAGGTGCATTTCCCTTGAGTAACATCGATTGTAACTGTGGGCTGTTCAGAACTCAGCCCAATTCAACAAGTTCCAAGGTTTCTTCCTGAATCCAGCCACCTTCGCCTCTAGCTACGGGACCGCATGCCTGTTGGCCAACACGGCACTGTGGGGTTTCCTGGGGGTCAACATGGTTCTGCCCATTGGTGGCGCTGATATGCCGGTGGTGGTGTCCCTGTTGAACGCCTTCAGCGGGTTGGCCACCAGTGCCGCAGGATTCATGTTGTCCAACGATCTTCTGACCATCTCAGGCGAGTTACCCTCTGGTAAACAGCCACATATGGAAAATCACCATTTTTAATGGGAAAAGCCACTACAACTACAACTGGTGATTTTCAATAGCTATGTTAGTTTACCAGAGGGTAGTTTTTTTTTCATTTTCGACAAACAAAATCTCTGCCATATCTGCCATGATCATTTGGTGTATTCTGGCGACATGTCAAGCATAGCTGGCATAGAAAGAAATCATGGGTCGAGAAGTTTGCTGCATCACTGGAATGTGTCACTCATCGCAAGATTTTCATCAGCATTTTCCAGTGATGTACCACATAAAAACTTGTTTCATTTCAGTTTCACCGGGGCCACCGGGTGTTTTTCACCTCTCAGCTGCGCAGCCAGGTGCATTGATCGCTTCCAGTGGTACTTTGCTCAGCGACATCATGTGTCGCGGGATCAACCGCTCCATGGGTGTCTGGGCCTGGAGGGCCTGGTTGAGCCACCTGGGTGTCTAAAAAAAAACATGGGAAATTCCCATGGAAATTCCCCATGGAAATTGATAGCTTGGAAAATCATGCCGGATTCTTCAATGCTGTTACAGATGTTTTGCCGTATATTACAGTAGGGTATCTATGACTTGGAATGGCGATATTTTCAGAAACCCTACTGGGTCAGTTTCTGCTTGGTGCTTTGAATGCTTTGAAAACGACAAGAGATCAACCAGTCTGGGCATGACATGTAGAAAGCGTGGTTCCACGTGTTGCAAATGCTGGAAACAGCATGAAACAGCAACATGGAAGTGCAAGAACTTTGCACCATGTTCATCCATGTTCGATATCCCAACTCAATTGGTAAATTTCTCCCAAGTTCTCTGCTTCTACTCCAAGGCAATGTCCTCCTTGGTGGTTTCGGCACCGATGGCAGCAGTGCTGCGGCAGGTCCTGGGGCAAAAGGACGGCAGGACGTGAGCGAAGTCTCTGCCATGGGCTTTGTGGGGATGCTCTTTGGGGCTAAAAAGGTGGTCATTGTGCCAGGCTCCTGGGCTGCCTGCGGATTTCGTGATATTTTTGATGGGGGTCATTTTTCGATTCAGGCGTCCAAAAAAAAGAAGGAGAGTTTTTTTTTTGGATGATTGAACATGATATCTAAAATCATTTTGCTTGATTTATTCACGAAAAATGGGATGCAACCACCACCACCACCACCACCACCACCACCACCACCATATAGCAACGACGGGGATTTCAGTGAAGCATCAAGAATTGGGGGTTGCAACACGAAATTCTAGCGTAAAACGCTAGGATTTTTGGTGCTGGCGAAACTAATATTAAACTAATATTAAACTAATATTAAACTGATTTCACACGAAAAACACATAAGAATGAACAATATGTTTGGGCTGTTTCTGTGATTGACGTGGAATAGAATTATTCTGAACATTTCTGGAGTCTTGGGACTGGGTGTCATGCAGGACATCTGATAAAGAAACAACATCCGACTACATCCATCTTGTTGGTTTCCAGGTCACGATTCAACCCTGACTTTCCATGGTGATTTCAACATTACCCTCTGGTAATTTAACATAGCTATGGAAAATCACCATTTTTAATGGGAACATCCACTATAAATGGCCATTTTCAATAGCTATGTTAAATTACCAGAGGGTCCAGAGGGTAACTTTTTTGGTGGTCGGCCTCTACGGCCACCAGGTTATGGCCTTGCGGTGGCGCGTTGCCAGCAGAAGCTGGCGGAGATCGTGGCCTTGCTGCGGAAACACAACGTCACGGTGCACTTCGCAATTCACCCCGTGGCCGGGCGCATGCCGGGGCATATGAACGTCTTGTTGGCTGAAGCCGATGTGCCATATGATATCGTGAAGGAGATGGATGAGATCAATGCGGAGCTACCAACTTATGATGTGGGCATCTTGGAAGGAAAGTACAGTAAAAGAATAGAGTTTTTTTTGGGGGTTGAAGGTTGAGATATGTGGTTGGTATGTAGTGTTAGACTGGAACATGATACCAAGATATACCAAGCCAACCTTGATGTATCATGATGATGTTTACAGATTGTTCATTGAGAGATATAGAGAAGAGGCTTGGCCAGAAATTCTGATTTCAATCTGTTTCAATTCAAAATTTTTCATAGTTCTTCTGAAGTGACCAGATCTAAGCTTAAAAAATGGCATTGACCAAGTTACGTCGCCTAGGCATCGTGGTGGGAGCCAATGACATCGTGAATCCCGCGACCCAAGATGACCCCAGTAGTCCCATCTATGGGATGCCAGCCATTGAGATTTGGAAATGCAAGCAGTGTGTCGTGCTGAAGCGCTCCATGGGAACTGGCTACAGTGGGGTGGATAATCCACTCTTCTACTTGAACAATGTCCCTTGTAGGACACGTTGCAGGACACGTTTTTTTTTTTTAAAGATGTATGAACTATGAACATGTATGAACATGTATCTTTTGGAATTGCGTAGGTGCAGAATTGACTCCGGAGGATTGTCCCACCATGGGAGTCATGGGAGTTTTGTGTGTTCCATCATTGGAAGAGGTACTCACCTCCCAGTGCCCAAATTGGGCATTCACCAAGGTGAAAATGCTTTTTGGTGATGCGAAACAGTCCATGGACAACATCAGTACGTGCTTGGAGGTTGGGAGCAAAAAAATGGGATGAACGATGGTTTTAAACCCGTTACCCTCCGTTCAGTTTTGAAACCCCCCCTTTAAAACCATGTTTTTTTGTTGGGAATATCCACATTCCATTGGGACCATAGAAATGGGGTGTTGAATATTCCCAGAGTTGGTAGGAGAAATTTCCGGACAACATATTGGGGATACATGCCATAGTCCATAAAGCAATCTATTGAGTCATCTAAGAGTCATCTAAGATCTACTTATGTCATTTTTTGATGGCTCTATTGATAATTAGATCATCTAAGATCTAATATCTAATTATCAATAGAGCCATCATCTAATTATCATCTAATTATCTAAGATAATCTAATTATCACATCCAATCATCTATATTATCATCTAAGATAATCTATGAATCATCTACTTATCTAGTCATTTAAGCGGAAATTCATCTTCTGCCATCGATATCTCGGGATCGCCGCAGGACAGCCACGACCGTTTCACTTTGTCAGAAGCGGCGGGACGGTCCGGGACGGAGGCCGCGGGACCTGCGGCGGAACCGGAAGTCTTTCCGGAGGCGATGAAAGTCATTGGAATCCTCAGGGAACGTGAAGCAGGCGAAGCTTTGGAGCTGGTGAAAGCTGGTGGAGAAAATTTAGGGGTACCCCAATAGGCCCATAGGGGGTAACCCAATAGTAGCTGGATGGTTTTTTGAAGATCCTAAAATGGATGATTTGGGGGTACCCCCATTTCAGGAAACCTCCATATGATATTTTTGAGACCAATTAGGGGGGAGAGAACTTTGAGCAACCAGTTTTTTTTTTATGTCTTTCCGTGACATTTTAATGCTTTTTACATTTTTTTTACTTATAAAAGATCTGATCGGACGCATTGAGATGTTCACGAAGTGCTAAAAGGGCTGAATCGATTCTGAGTTTGAAGTCTGTGGGGCAAAAAACAGTTTTTCCCAGAGGAAGTCAGATGGAAATCAAATGATTCAGTTTTTCCAGAGAGCATCCGCCATAGTAACTGCTCTCCCGGAAAGAGATTTCCCAAAGGTTTCCCCAAATCCCTCGAAATCCCATCAACATCTCCAAAATTTGGTCAACATCCCCAGCAGTTTTGGACCTTCCAGGTGAGTTGAGGGTAAGCTTCGCACCCTCGACCGTGTTGAAGCTGCGCCGCATGGGCTTCTCCATCCTGTTGGAAACCAGTGCCGGTGCCTCTGCGGGATTTTCCGATGAGGATTATACCAGGCGGGGGGCGGGGCACATGGGGCACATGGGGCACATGGGGCACATGGGGCACATGGGGCACATGGGGCACATGGGGCACCAGGTTGGAAGTGGTGCTGATGAATCTCTCTTGGTCAAAAATCATTGCATATTTTTGTATTGGTTTGAATCATGTAAATCGATTTACATAGATTTATGTTATAAATTTGCCACTTTTTTTGTCTCCGGGTCTATGCGTTACACTTCAGGGGGAAAGAGAAACACATCCCAAAGTTGGATGTGATGACTTTCCACAGCCATCCACCGATCCGCATCTCGCGCCTGTCATCGGAGGCAGGGTGGTGTCCAAGTGGCCGAGTCTTCGGAGGAAGTGTTGAAGCAAGCTGACATCATCTTCAAAGTTTCGCAACCACTCTTGGATGAGGTGCCCTGGGTGGTGGTCACAATTCTTGGTCACAAAAAAAAGGGATGGTCAGGGAGTGCTCAAGTTACTAAAGGGTCTGAATTGTCACTACAATGAATGATGATTTGTTGGTTCATCGTGAAAGGTGTGGGTGCTCTTGGGATTTTGGGGCTGTCGTTTGGTCAGAAGTTTGGGTTGAAGTTCACACTCATCCACATTCCATGTCAGCAACTCCAGGTTTCCCAAGGTTTCCGAAGGTTTCCGAAGGATTCCGAAGCCCGTGCAGCACATATTCCGAACGGTGGTTTTCACTTTTTCTTTCCACCATGAGGTGCGGATGCTTCAGGGCACACAGACGTGGCTGAGCTGAGATTGGCACAACGACATCATTTTTTTGGGGGAATGTGAATATCTCGGTGGTGGCTCATCAATTCTTGGACAATCCTTGGACCAAAATGGACCATTTTTTATGGGTTGGTTCCATGAATCAAGCGGCGCAGGAGAGCGAATGAATCAGATGCATCTCATCCATTGGTTTTAGATGCCTTGCAATCCATGCCTTAGGGCTGCGGGAAAGCAGCAGACACACCTCTATTCTAGACCTCTAAAAGGAACAATGCCACAATGCACCACACATTCGCCAAGGGTTCAATTCATGTCCAGGAGAGGGGGATAGATGGGGATAGGGATTCCAATGGTTGTTTGCAGGGTTTTTATATGTTTTTATAGAACAATCCCAAGGATAGCCTGAAACATCCTCAGTCACGGAGATCTGGTGAGGTTGGTTGGCTTCTGGAACATGTACGGCACGGCGGAGTTGTTGGAAGCCCTGGAACAGGTCTCGGCCAATGTCCTCAACCTAGCCTTGGTGCCACGAGTTTCCCGAGCACAAAAGTTGGATGCGCTGACTTCGATGGCCAACATTGCCGGCTCCTCTGCCATTGTTTCATCAAAACGACAAACAAACCCAGCAGGATTTTGGTGAAAAATATCCGATAACCAGTTCTTTTTAATTCTACCCTTCATTTTCTCTATCATTTTTGGAACCATCCTGAAGATTTGAAGGATCTGTCCTTGTTCGATCTTTCTGGTACCCCAAATATCTCCATCCCATCTTTCGTGTCATCACCTCGTTGGGTTTGTAAAGATTGACCCCCCTCCAAAAACAACCCTCGTTTCATCCGACCATCAATGGATGGGTTGAAAGAAACATCTACAGGAAACCATGGTTTTTCCCATGGTTTTCCCTATATTTGTGGTGGTTTCCTGTAAACCAATCCATGGATACCACGATTCCAAGCGAAAAAATCCCCTGGTCCAAGGCTACCGCGCGGTGCTGGACGCCTTCCAACGCTTCCCGCGCTTCTCGCGCGCCGGGTCCACGGCTTTTGGATCGGTGCCGCCGGCAAAGGTCTTCGTTATCGGTGCCGAATGGGGATGGGGGGGTGGTGGGGATGGGATGGGATGGGATGGGAAATTTGCCAGTTGTTTTCTTGCCAAGTTTCTAACCTTCTTTTGGAGGGTTAGATGAAGTCTTTTTTGATGAAGTTTGGGATGTTGGGTTCTGATTTTTGAATTGGGGGGATGCTTCATTTGTTTTTCGGGAGCGATGATCCGTGGTAGGTGCTGGTGTAGCGGGTCTTAGTGCCATCGCTACGGCGCATTCCTTGGGCTGCAAGGCGCGGCGGTTGTTGAAGTGACACTTGGTTTGACGGTATCTGATGATTTTTTTCTGATGAGTTTTGAATATTTTGTGGATCTTGGTTGTGAGCATCATCTTTTTTTTGGCCTGACGCTGTACTCCAAAGTACCTCTGGATCATTTTTCTTGAGTGGTTTGATCCTTATCACATCTAAGTAGCCTCTGGGCAGGTCTCAGCCATTGCGCCCGGGTCCCTGCTAGGTGCTGGCCAATGATGTCCGCGATGCCGCACGAGAGCAGGTGGAGAGCATGGGCGCGCAGTTCATAGCGGTGGACGCTCAGGGCATTGCAGGATTTTCCGACGTCGAGTTGGGTGGGTCTGCTGGGTGCAAGTGGCAGGTGTGACCCCCATTTTGGATGGTTTAGTCATGTTTAGTCTGGGTCGATTTATGGTCAGTTTACTAGTTGCTTGTTTTATGGTCTATGCATGCCTATAGCTATTTGAACGTGCCATGTCTATACCCACCGTTTTGGGTTTGATTCCCCACTTGTCATTCTTGGTGAATCGTCACATGTTTGGCCAACTTCGCATGATTTGGCGGGGCAGGAGAAGGTGCTGGTGGCTATGCCACAGCGTGGCTCTCAGAGCTCGTTTTGCCCATCGATTTGCTATTCAGTGGGAGCAACAAAAATCACCATTTCAGATTTCCTGAAGCTATTCAACATCCAATCATATCCAATCATATCCAATCATATCCAATCATATCCAATCTAACATTGTTTCACATGGCTTTTCTATGGCAAAAATCTCATCATTTTCGTGAGGCCATGGGGGATGACTTCACCCGCGCCCAGCTGGCCACCTATGCCCGCGTGGTGCCTGACATGGACGTCATCATCACCACTGCCATGATCCCCAACCGATCTGCGCCCGAACTCATCACTGCGGAGATGGTGGTGCCGCACCTGATTTCATTGCTTTTTGTGGATAGAAATGGATAGAAATAGATTCAGAATAGATTCAGAATATATTAGTATCTTTCAATGATTATATGATATATGTATCTAATTTTTTGTGGATATATCACTTTGTCCCCAGAATATCATACACATGTTTATGATTGTTTATGCGTAGATATGTGTAGATATCCTATGATATCCTCAGTATTTTTGGCCAATTTGCCAATCCGCATTTTGATTGTTCCACCTGAGGCCTCTATGAGGAGCGGGTCCGTCATCGTCGACTTGGCAGCACCCACTGGTGGCAACTGCGTCTACACCGAGCCCAATCGTGCGGTGCTGTCACCCAACGGTGTGACCATTGTGGGCGTAGCTTGGTTGGTCAGGGATGGTCATGGTGGTTGGTCATGGCTAGCCTGTAGATATCAATGCTATGTTAGAACATAAATATGTCACATTATGGCACACTGACCACACATGACAATGACAACACATGAAAAACCCGTGTTTTTCATTCTATTAGGGCGGGAATCGGCAGAGTTCTCGTAGGCACCGCCCCATGGGGCGACGGGTTTGACCATGGTGAATTGAGGAGACGAATTATGCGTCTCAGATGGCTGCCCAGTCCAGTGAAATGCTTGGAAGCAACTTCGCAGCGCTGCTGGAGGCTAGCTGACTCAGATCAGAATTTTGGCGGATGGGGATGGAAATGTGTAAGGGCGGAGAAGGGTCCAGTCTTGGGTACTGCTTGGGACTTGACTTTTCTTCATATTGTTTTTGCATCAGAAACCTTAAATTCCCGTGGTTTTTTTTTGTGGATCGCGCGAATCGACGAGTCGAATTTCTGGACCTCGCCCCAATTTTTCCGACAAAGTGATGCTACAGCTACAGATTCTGTTTTTTTTTCTACTGACATCCACCGCATCCACCAGGTCTTGGGCGGAGCCAGTGACTTTGGCGGAGAACGCTGGGATGATCCCATCGTCAAACCTGCCATGGTGGCCTCCGGTGGCCAGATCGTTTGGGATCCCAACCCACCCAGGCCATCGGCTTCGCAAAAAACCATCGGCTTGGTGGATTTATGGTGGATTTATAGTGGATTTACCCATTGAAAATGATGATTTCATGGGATTTTGGTATGGGATTTTGGTATGGGTTACTATGGGTTACCCTCTGGTTATGACGTTCACAGGGCTAGCTATGGTTAAGCCATGGCCCTGCCATAGAAATAGATGGGCCATACCGTTCTTAGATGTTCTTAGCATGGTGGTGATTTTCCATGGCGAACTGTTAGTCATAACCAGATGGTATATCAAGAAAGAAACCTCCAAGATTTTCACAAGAACACTATGATTTTTTAGATATTTTGGATTTATGTTGCTTATATAAAACTATGGTCAATACTCATGGTTAATAACCATTAATAACCATTAATAACCATTCATAACCATTAATAACCATTAATAACCATATAGTGAGTATTGACCATGGCTCATATAAAACTATGGATTTATAATAACCATTATAAGGATCCTTATTATGGAGAAACAGTTTATCCAAACAAAAGCTCTGAACGAGCCACCAGGCCGCCGGGTCCGCCGGCGGACACCAACGGCGTCAGCGGCTTCGGGGGCGCCTCGCCCACCCCGATGCCGCCACCCGAAGAAACGAATGCCATCCTCGCGTGGATCCAGGAGAGCCGATCCATAGGCTTGAAAAATAGGGGTTTCACTAGGAGTTGTTCATGTGCAGTTTTGTGACTTTGAATAGGGTTGAAAAATAGGGGTTTCAATGGGTTTTGGGGGTTTTCATAGGGTCTCACTAGGGGTGAAAACCAAGCGGTTTTTTTGTGGCATAGATGGTCTCTTGGTCTTAGGTTTCTTACCGGCAGTTTAACCAAACCACTTGGTTTGATGGTTTTACCTGTAAAAAACGTTTTTTTCCATAGCAAAGTGGTAGATTAGTGGAGGGTAATCTTGAAAAAACAATATTAAAAGATGTGTTCTTTTCCATAGAATCTAGCCTGCTGGTGGGTTGAATCGACCATTCCCACAGTATTTCGAGGAGCACAAAGACGAGTTGGCCCTGGGTGTGGGGGCTGCTGTGGTGCTGGGCTTAGGGATTGCCGTGGATATTCCGGAGGCGGAAGTGACCCATTTGGGCTACTTCGTTCTGAGTTGCCTCATAGGACTGTGATGGGAGGAGGCTTTTGGTGACTTTGGGGAATCTGGATATATCATTCTGTCAATCATATCTCAATGGTTGGTGGTTGGAATAAAAAACACCACAAGTTTGATTGAATTAGATTGAAACCATTGATAAAAACAGCTTTGGATTTGCAGATTTTCAAGACTTCACGGCAGTTGAATAGGAAACTTCACTGTGGCCGGCGTTACTCCAGCCCTGCACACTCCACTGATCAGCGCAACTTGGGCTGGTAAAGGTGCTATTGCTGGGGCTGGGGCTGCTTTCAGAAGGGTTGTTTTGTTCAACCGAATTGAGTTAATGAAGGAAAACTAACATAACTATGGGAAATCACCATTTTTAATAGGTAAATCAACTATAAATGGCCATTTTCAATGGCTAATGAAGGATCCCAATTCATAGTTTTTCCATGTTGTGCCTGTTTGTGCTCGTTCAAGACGTCCAAGGCATCGCCAGATCCATGAAAGAAATCCCGCATTCCCACCATTTCCTCTTTCAAAGATGTTGAAACTCATGTTTTCTCGTTCTTCTGAACCAAGAATGGTGGTCACCTAGCATTGTATCCAAGTTTTCGCCTACCTTTCCTCCTCTTCTCACATTCTTCAACCAAAGCAGGCCATCATCAGTTTTTTGGAAAATCAAGTTTCCTCCCAAAATACCCAAAACACCTCAGCAGTTTCTCATGAATCTCAGCTCACCTTCCCCAACAAAAACCAAGCAATGCCCCAATTTCCACCTGTGGTATGGTCACAGTGCCATTGCTTCTTCCCGGGATGGTCATCATGGCATTTGGATTTCCCAGACCCCAAAGCCATGGAATTCCCCTACTTGGTGGCTCATCCCACGGCTCGTAAGTGGGTTATACCAGTGATTTACATGGGATTTTTGTAGGGTTTATCCACTGAAATCACTGGGGTGAACTAACCCACAAAAACGATTCGTGGGTAGTTCGCCCATGGGATGTTTTGAGGTCACCAACGCCATCAGTGGAATCATCGTGGTGGGTGGCATGCTGCAACTCAGTGGACCTGTGCTCTCCGCGCGCGTGGCCTGCGCCTTGGCCGCCGTCTTCCTGTCCAGCGTGAACATCGTGGGGGGCTTCGCAGTGACTGCCCGGATGCTGGAGATGTTTCGGGAAGATGCGAAGCCCAGATAGAGCTGGAGATGGAAGGGGCTAGGACGTTTTTGCATGTTTTTTTTTTGAATTTCAGGATGATGATGTAGGATTTTTTTTTTCCCTGAACATCTTTGAACTGGTTTTCTTTTTTGGTTTGGGAACGATTCGTATCTCTGTCCCTTCCACTCCAGCTGCTGCCTGCTGGGTTGTCCAGAGGCATCAGATAATGAATCTGAGCCAAATATGCTCAGCTTACAAAGGCCTCAGCCTGGTGTTGGTTCGGAGAAATCTTGGAAGTGTGTCATGGCTTTGTACAAGAATCGCTAAACAAATCTCAGTCTTCTTTTTGATCACACGTCAGAATTTACCAAGATAAAACTTGCTATTTTGGAATATCCGCGATTTTTGGACAAAGCCATTTAGAATAATGATAAAGAATGGTGAAGTGGATGACATTCCGAACCGAGCGTTATGCCTCAGGGCGTCTTTCAGTGGCTTCATCGTTGTTGCGGATGGGAACGAAAAGAGATGGTCATCTCTTTGTGCTTACGGCGATGTGGTGATGATGACAATGTGCTGTTGGATAGCTGGATGTGTCAATGGGGATACCTGGATACTTTCTGGTAAATCCAACATAGCTATGGAAGCCATGGCCCATCTAGTTCGACGATTTGACATCTAAAAGATGACGATTTTCCAGTTCGCAAACCGTTAATTCACCAAAGGATACATCCCCAAACAATATGGCAATTTTCATGGGAACCCCCTGTCAGATCAGGCAGGCAAGCACCTTCCCAAGGATGCCGATTCTGGAGGCTGCAGCGGAATCTTTGGTGGAACGACATCTCCTGGTGGTATTTGGTCACGTGGTGCAACTCACAGAAGTATATGCATTTGTCATCATCATAATAGATATAAATAAATATATATATTAAGGGCTGCCGCCCCTGCCGCCGACCCCGGAAGAAGTGGCAAAGAAGCAAAGCTGGCAGCTCGACCTTTTTGCTATGTACATCGTTGTGAAATATATTTGATAGGTTTGAATTTTCATGTGTAAATGGGTTTTTCATGCTACCTGCTTCGTGACTGCGGGCTACTCGCTGCTGCTGGCTGCTAGCTGCTCGCTGCTGCTGGCTGCTGCAAAAACGTCGGTCCCGGACGGGAAAACACCATGGCACTGAAGGACGGATGGGCCAGGAAACAGTGACCCAAAACTGCGTAACGTGTCGTCTGAAACTGCTCTATGGACAAGGCTAACCCCCGGATGCTGAGTCCTGGCTGCTGACGACTGGCTGCCTGCTCCTGGCTGCTGAAACGACTCTAAAAAGGCTAGCCCCTAATGTGTCGTCTGAAACTGCTCTATAAACAAGGCTAGCCCCCCGGTGCTGAGTCCTGGCTGCTGACGACTGGCTGCCTGCTACCTGCTTCTTGACTGCTGGCTGAGATCTGGCTGCTGACGACTGGCTGCCTGCTACCTGCTTCGTGACTGCTGGCTACTCGCTGCTGCTGGCTGCTAGCTGCTCCTGCCGCTGGCTGCTGCAAAAACGTCGGTCCGGACGGGAAAACACCATGGCACTGAAGGACGGATGGGCCAGGAAAAAGTGACCAAAAACTGCCTAACGTGTCGTCTGAAACTGCTCTATAAACAAGGCTAGTCCCCGGATGCTGAGTCCTGGCTGCTTCGTGACTGCTGGCTACTCGCTGCTGCTGGCTGCTAGCTGCTGCTGCCGCTGGCTGCTGCAAAAACGTCGGTCCCGGATGGGAAAACACCATGGCACTGAAGGACGGATGCGCCAGGAAAAAGTGACCAAAAACTGCCTAATGTGTCGTCTGAAACTGCTCTATAAACAAGGCTAGCCCCCCGATGCTGAGTCCTGGCTGCTGACGACTGGCTGCCTGCTACCTGCTTCTTGACTGCTGGCCCTGCTGGCTGAGATCTGGCTGCTGACGACTGGCTGCCTGCTACCTGCTTCGTGACTGCTGGCTACTCGCTGCTGCTGGCTGCTAGCTGCTCCTGCCGCTGGCTGCTGCAAAAACGCCAGTCCCGGACGGGAAAACACCATGGCACTGAAGGACGGATGGGCCAGGAAAAAGTGACCAAAAACTGCCTAACGTGTCGTCTGAAACTGCTCTATAAACAAGGCTAGTCCCCGGCTGCTGAGTCCTGGCTGCTTCGTGACTGCTGGCTACTCGCTGCTGCTGGCTGCTAGCTGCTGCTGCCGCTGGCTGCTGCAAAAACGTCGGTCCTGGATGGGAAAACACCATGGCACTGAAGGACGGATGGGCCAGGAAAAAGTGACCAAAAACTGCCTAATGTGTCGTCTGAAACTGCTCTATAAACAAGGCTAGCCCCCCGATGCTGAGTCCTGGCTGCTGACGACTGGCTGCCTGCTACCTGCTTCTTGACTGCTGGCCCTGCTGGCTGAGATCTGGCTGCTGACGACTGCTGGCTACACGCTGCTGCTGGCTGCTAGCTGCTCCTGCCGCTGGCTGCTGCAAAAACGTAGGTCCCGGACGGGAAAACACCATGGCACTGAAGGACGGATGGGCCAGGAAAAAGTGACCCAAAACTGCCTAACGTGTCGTCTGAAACTGCTCTAGAAACAAGGCTAGCCTCCGGATGCTCAAAAAAACGTAGGTCCCAGACGGGAAACCACCATGGCACTGAAGGAAAACACCATGGCGCTGAAGGACGGATGGGCCAGGAAAAAGTGACCCAAAACTGCCTAACGTGTCGTCTGAAACTGCTCGGGAAAACACCATGGCACTGAAGGACAGATGAGCCAGGACCAAGTGACCAAAAAACTGCCTAACGTGTCGTCGGATGCTGCAAAAACGTAGGTCCCGGACGGGAAAACACCATGGCACTGAAGGATGGATGGGCCAGGAAAAAGTGACCCAAAACTGCCTAACGTGTTGTCTGAAACTGCTCTATAAACAAGGCTGAAACAGCGCCAAAATCGAGCCCAAAAACTCCCTAACGTCCTTTCTGAAACCCTAGTAGTAGTAGTAGTAGTAGTAGTAGTAGTAGCCTGCTACCTGCTTCGTGACTGCTGGCTACTCGCTGCTGCTGGCTGCTAGCTGCTCGCTGCTGCTGGCTGCTGCAAAAACGTAGGTCCCGGACGGGAAAACACCATGGCACTGAAGGACGAATTGGCCAGGAAAAAGTGACGAAAAACTGCCGAACGTGTCGTCTGAAACTGCTCTATAAACAAGGCTAGCCCCCGGATGCTGAGTCCTGGCTGCTGACGACTGGCTGCCTGCTACCTGCTTCTTGACTGCTGGCCCTGCTGGCTACTCGCTGCTGCTGGCTGCTACCTAGAGAATCCTGGCATCTGCAAAAACGTCGGTCCCGGACGGGAAAACACAATGGCACTGAAGGACGGATGGGCCAGGAAAAAGTTACCAAAAACTGCCTAATGTGTCGTCTGAAACTGCTCTATAAACAAGGCTAGCCCCCGGATGCTGAGTCCTGGCTGCTGACGACTGGCTGCCTGCTACCTGCTTCGTGACTGCTGGCTACTCGCTGCTGCTGGCTGCTAGCTGCTCCTGCCGCTGGCTGCTGCAAAAACGTCGGTCCCGGACGGGAGAACACCATGGCACTGAAGGACGGATGGGCCAGGAAAAAGTGACCAAAAACTGCCTAATGTGTCGTCTGAAACTGCTCTATAAACAAGGCTAGCCCCCCGATGCTGAGTCCTGGCTGCTGACGACTGGCTGCCTGCTACCTGCTTCTTGACTGCTGGCCCTGCTGGCTGAGATCTGGCTGCTGGCGACTGGCTGCCTGCTACCTGCTTCGTGACTGCTGGCTACTCGCTGCTGCTGGCTGCTAGCTGCTCCTGCCGCTGGCTGCTGCAAAAACGTCGGTCCCGGACGGGCAAACACCATGGCACTGAAGGACGGATGGGCCAGGAAAAAGTGACCAAAAACTGCCTAACGTGTCGTCTGAAACTGCTCTATAAACAACGCTAGCCTCGAGGATGCGGCCTCGAACGAACAAATCAGGGCGGGAAGGGCAACCCAAGGAGCCCCACGTACCTCGAGGAGACTCCGGGAAGGACCCCCCACCGGTAAAACAAAAACCCCGGAGTCAATGAATCGACGTACGTGACCGGTGGGAGGGGGACCCAACAGGGTCCCCCGGCAACGGGTCATTGTCATTGTTGTTGTTGTTGTTGTTGTTGTTGTTGTTGGCCTCGAACGAACAAATCAGGGCGGGAAGGGCAACCCAAGGAGCCCCACGTACCTCGAGGAGACTCCGGAAAGGAGCCCCCACCGGTAAAACAAAAACCCCGGAGTCAATGAATCGACGTACGTGACCGGTGGGAGGGGGACCCAACAGGGTCCCCCGGCAACGGGTCATTGTCATTGTTGTTGTTGTTGTTGTTGTTCTTGTTGTTGTTGTTGTTGTTGTTGTTCTTGTTCTTGTTGTTGTTCTTCTTGTTGTTGTTGTTGTTGTTGTTCTTGTTGTTCTTCTTGTTGTTGTTCTTCTTGTTGTTGTTGTTGTTGTTGTTGTTGTTCTTGCTTGCCTGCTTGCTTCTTGTTGTTGTTCTTCTTGTTGTTGTTGTTGTTGTTGTTCTTGCTGCCTGCTGCTGCCTGCTGCTGCCTGGTAGTAAAAGTAGCAGCAGTGCAGCACCTCTTCTTCCCTTACGCGCTCCCCCTTGCATCGGCCGGGGTCAGCGAATTATTATTATTCTTTCTTGGCAGCTGTGTCATAAACTCTTTTTCCCTTACGCACTCCCCCTTGCGTTTGCCGGGGTCGGCGGATATATATAGATATATAAATAGATAAATGATATTGCCGTTATCGGCGCTGATACTCATTTATATAGGTCGCGCTTCATGATTATTGCAGAAGCGCTTATCAAAGCGCCGCGCTTACCAGGTGCTGTGGTGCATCTGCTGCTGGCAGTCGCTGCTGTAAGTGAACAGCTGGCACAGGTGATCCGTGGGGGATTGGAATAGATCCAATGCTTCACTAAAAAATAGGCTTTTTGGCTGATATGGGGTACGGGTACACTATATACACTATATATATAATATATGTATATATATATATATGTATATATACATATATATATATATGTATATATATATATATCTATATGGATTCCAAGATGATATAAGTAGGATATAGATACAAACGACTTAAATTCGTCATGGTCAACACACATCTCGAAACCCAACTTGCCAAGTCGATGGCAGGATGAAAGCTCTGAGGAAGTTGTGACCTGAGATCCAGAGAACTTTGACAGTTTGACCGTGTTTGACCACCTGGTTGTTTTTTTTTAAAGTTTTTAAGTGGATTCTGAAACTTCATAACCAAGAAAAATGAGGATTTTACAATCAAACATGGTGATTTTGTTTGAGTTTTTTCCACTTTACATGGTGATCTTTGATGGGATCGGTAATCCAACCCGCAATTTTGATGATTTAGTGGAGATTTACCATCCAGTTATTGAAGAGTTTGCGAACTGAAAGGCATGGCCCATTTAGTTCGATGATTGACATCTATATTTAAAAAATCCAGTTCGCAATCTGTAGAATATTACCAGCTAGCACGGAATTCCATCCGCAACACACTTTTTGAATGTCATTCTCTTGATTGGTTCCTTTGGAAAAACCAGTTGTTTGTAAAAATCAATCAATAACTATGAAGCTGAGTAGGGTCGGTATTCAAAATATTCAAAATATTCAAATCCAAACATCATCATCATCATCATCATCATCATCATCATCCAATTTGCTGGTTTCAGTTTGCACTGTCACCAGAAACCACCAAACAGTCTGGACACTATCTCTGGCTCACAAGATCAGATGCGGCAGCTTGGAGTAAAGCCGGTTTCGGATGGAAAGAAACATGGTCATCGCCATATTGGCCTCTGACATATTGGTGCAAAATGGGTACACCCAATGTAAAGGCAACCCCCAACAACAGTTTTTTTTTTTTTTACATGGTTTTACCGTGTTTGGCTTGAACATTATCAAATGTTCTGGAAACAATTCCTAGACTTCACATCATGTTCAACCACAGCAAGTTCTGATCATCACAGCAGGAAATGAACAAAATGAGTTGCACATCGTTTTTCGCGTTTTGCCTTGTCATATCTTTTCCGGTTGATTTACATCTGATCCCAGCGCCATGCACCACTTTCAGCTCATCCGGGGCTTGGGGCGCGGCTCCGGTGGTGAGGTGCATGGCTTGAATCATCCTACATATCCTACATCTTCCAATATCTTCCAATGACATATTCGATGCTGGATCTTCTATCTCTGGATTCTCCCCTTTCTTTCGCCAAAAAAGCAACAAACTTCCAGTTTTGGATGGAAATCGATCTGCAGAAACTCCCAGTTCCAGGCCATCTTGGCCGAAGATCTTTCTGGGCAGAAGTGTGTGCTGAAGTTCGTCCAGTTGGAAGGTTCCAACTCCAGAGACTTCAGGGTGGTGTCGAACAACGCCGTTTTGCGACCAACAGAAACGCCGAAGACTGGAAATTTAGGAGGTTAAAAATGGTGGTTCCTCCGGGATTTTCTTCAGGTTTACAACTTTTTGATGTTTTTTTTGGATTGCAATGATATGACATACCCCTAGAGTGGAAACCCTGGTGGGATTATTATCATTACTATCCCCAGAAATGGAAGCTTGTTGAATACAACAACCTATATAACATCCCAGACATGGAAACTGGTTGCAGTATAAAAAGGGAATATAGAACACGAATTCTCTATCCTTTGCTCGATTTTTTTTGACCGATACCCTTGGCAGTTGCACCACCACAAACAATGATGATCTGCTGAAAGTCATCTTGCAATTTCACCCACTATCATGTCTTGAAGCCACTGAAAATTCCCTCGCATTCCCAAATTTCCATTGAAATATCGCAGCCATCACATTCTACAGCTCCCAACATCGACATCGAAGCATGGCTTGCCAGGCTTGCCAGAGGACCAGTGTCGGAGGGCCATGCGGGAAGTCCATTTCCTGTTCCTTAGCTCGGCTAGGAATGTAGTCAGGAAGTCGTCACGTGTCATACCTGTCATACCTCAGCCAGAGTGATATATAAATTGTGGCAAGGAAGCAATGTGGGGCCCCCCAGTGATGTTAGTTGGTTTATAAAGCCCATGAATACTATAGGTACCATAAACCATATAGTTATTGGAGTTATAAACCAACTAACATCTATCGTTTGGGGGGCCCACTTAGCTATCTAGTGTCTGAAAATGGGTTCTGTAGTTCTCAAATGGTCATTCTGGTAGTCGGGATATGTCGGGACAGTCTTATGATTCCCCCGTAGTGGTGCCCCGTGGTGCCACCTAGGCGCTCCTTGTGTCATCCCAACGTGCTGCGCATTGAAAGCGCCTTTCTGCACCACTTCAGCCTGGTCTTGGCTGTGGAGTTCTGTGATCTCCGCGATCTCCAGGTGATGGATTTTTTGGTGAGTCTGGTTTGGCTGAATTTATAGGTGCTCTTATGAGTAAATTATTTTTTATATTATTAGTATGAATGGTGAATTATGAGTGAATTATGAAGTGAATTATGAAGTGAATTTATATGTGATTATGCGTGCTTAGATTTATGTAAAGAAGAGTAATAATGTTCTCGTTCCATTGGAATCGACATGTCGTGACGTTGATTGATTAAACCCCCAAACAGGTATTCGGAAAGAAAAACACATTACCCTCTGGTGAACTAACATAGCAATGGAAAATGGCTATTTATAGTGGATTTTCCCATTAAGAATGGTGATTTTCCATTGCTATGTTAGTTCACCAGAGGGTATATCATATTACATCAATGTGGGTAGCAGCGACGATATTTTTTTCCAAACGTTGATCATACCTGGAGCACATGACTGGAGAAGTCTGCAAATAACAAGCCAAATCTGACGCCAGATTTGCAGGCCCTAGTGTCCAAGCGCAGAGAACTTCGAGATCAGGAGAGTTATGGAAGATCAGTTCCTTCATATTCAAAATCGGGTCAAAATGGGACCTCACATTCATTCAAACTCTTCATGTCTCATGGGGGCTGAAGAAATCACAATTTTGGTGGTCATAACATAGCTAGGCCATGGCCTAGCGATTTGGTGACTGCAATGGCCGCAGATCCGCGGGTTGCAGGAAGACTTGGTGACTCGAAGAACCCGTTGCTTCGAAGCCCCAGGGTTTTCCGAGGTGCCGAAGGGAGCCATGAATTTCCGCTGCCATTTCGATGTATTATTACGTGCATATAGATATAGAATGATATAGATAAAATGCTGTGTACCATGACGACCTTACTTTAGAATTTTGCGTGCTGATGTAGCATCCACGGTGCAGCTGTGCATTTTTCACCACTTTTTTCGCTCCAGGGAACAGTGAAGGGCATGCTGGTGCAGATGGTGAGTGCACTGGATCACATCCACTCAGCTGGCATACTACATCGACCCTTGGGTCGCAGGGTGTCGTCTCAGACATGTCCAAACATGGGGCCATGGGGTATGTATCGGGTATACCCCCACAACCAAAATAGAAGTTGGAAACATGACCTCTCCGACACATCAAAGAAATTTAGATTGAAATTTTCGGATGCTAAATTCAGCAATTGTTGGAGAAGCAACATCAATCAGATCATCAATCTGGGTAAATTATAACGACCTCACTGTTCTCCCACACTGGAATCATGGTTTTTTATAGGGGAATCATCCCCCAAATGGTCTCAATTCAGGTTGGTGAATTATTTTAATTTACCCAGATTTATGGTTGATTTAGCCATCAAACATGGTAATATCCTATAAATATCCTATAAATATCCTATAAACATCCTATAAATATCCTATAATTTACCCAGATCAATCAACATAAGCCCTGTCCTTTCGTTTCGTTCGGAAAAAATTGAGGCGATCTGAAGTCTTCCAACATCTTCCTGACTCAACGAGGAGTGGTGAAGGCCTGTTGGGATCATAGTTCACCGAGGGCACCGAGGGCAGATTTTGCCATGTGTCTGAAAATAGTGTACCCCTAAACCCAATGGTTAATGATCATTATCCCTATGAAATGGATTTCATTGGGAATATACCCTATTTTCAGACAAATCCATTTTTATCATCAACTCACTATCAGACTCTCATAATATCAGTTTCATGATCAGTAACAAAAAGATTTAAAAAAAAATAAAAAAAAGTATATGTATACAGTATATGTATGTATATGTGTATTTTATATTCTATTATTGTATATTCTCATCTTTACATGGCCAAACTCTTCAGCTATTTGCAGCTTTGTGAACTCTTGTAATTCAGAAAAAAATCATTGCTATGCACAATGAATTAGTACTACTTTTTATCATTACTGTTATATTATTATTTTAATTCTCATTATCATGATCATTATAAATTTAACTATCACTAAGATATGATTAGTATGACTTAGTGTATACGTATATACATATGACAAAGTGATTAGCATATCCATCATCCGTATATTTCAACTTTTCAGAATACATGTGATATCTATATCTATACTTATACATACACATACACATAATATATACACATATATATATATATACATATATATATACATATATATATACATATCCTTTTAAATCTTTATATCATCATCTATAATAGATAATATCTATCTCTTTATATACATTATATACATCCCGGCGGAAGGGAAACCGCGCGAGCGTTTTGATTGGTTGCTTCCAGGAGAGTCACAATCACCTGTAATTTACAATATAAAATGCTCTTCCGATCAGTTTGGATAACTGAATTTGGGTTAAAAAAAGTGGATGCAAAATCTATTGATTTTTAACAAATCCAGGTAAACATCATGTGCATCAGACGTGGATGCGCAGATTTTTTTTCACACTCTTCGTCGGCTCAGCGATCCATCAGTGTGGAAGCTGTCTTCGACAGCAAGTTGCCATTATGGCACTCATAACGCCACTGCCAGCAACGCAGGTATAGCATGACATCTTTGTTCTGCCCTGCCTTTGTCTGCAAACCGCATACACGCAGCATGTAACGTAGTAAACGATCCCAGAGATCTCAGCAGCGTAGCAACATGTAACGTAGTAAACGATCCCAGAGATCTCAGCAGCGTAGCAACATGTCACGTAGTAAACGATCCCAAGGATCTCAGCAGCGTAGCAACCTGTAACGTAGTAAAAGATCCCAGAGATCTCAGCAGCGTAGCAACATGTAACGTAGTAAACGATCCCAGAGATCTCAGCAGCGTAGCAACATGTCACCTAGTAAAAGATCCCAGAGATCTCAGCAACATGGCAATATATCATGTACGAAGTACAAGGAACGTTAACATGCCCCCCCACCCCACCTCACCCCAACCCCAACCCACACTAGAGATACCAGCAGCGTAGCCACATGTAACGTAGTAAAAGATCCCAGAGATCTTAGCAACATCGCAATATATCCTGTACAAAGTACAAGGAACGTTAACATGCCCCCCCACCCCACCCCAACCCCAAGACAAAGAGCAATACTCAAAAAAGAAGCAAAACGCACGTACGGTTTTCCTGCCGTAGGCATATACATGATATATCTATAAATCCTCAGACATCAGGTGGGCGACTTTGGCGTCGCCGAGCGCGACGCGGCCGGCGACGCGGCCGGCGCCGACGCGGACGTTTTTGCCGCGGCGCCGCGGCGCTTGGCGCGGCTGGCCCAGGGGAGGGTGGATTTCATGGGAAATGCCCGGGAGATGGAGAAAACCCATGGAAAAACCATGGTTAGATGAGAAAAACCATGGAAAAACCATGGAAAAACCATGGAAAAACCATGGAGTTCGAGTTTGGGGATACTTTTTGAGATTCTTTAATCTATGAGTTGTTGATGTGGTGATTTTTCTGGAGCTCAGTATCTTGAGAATCTTTGTCAGTTTCATTCCAGTGATATCTATGCGGCATATCCAAATCATCCCGATTGGTCCTAGATATGCTTTAAGCATCTTCACCATAAGGACATCTCCCAAATCATCCACGGTTCCAACATCAACATCTCCAAGTAGAGCTTGGAACAAGTTCCCCATGGGTTCGGCCGATGTTTGAGGTGGGCAGCATCCACTACCTCCCCCCCGAGCTGTGCGATGGCGGCCGGCCCACAGCAAAGGCAGATTGCTGGGCCTTGGGCGTCAGATGCTGAGGCTGATGGCTGATGGCTGATGGTAATGCTATTGACGATGGTTGTGGTCGTTATGGTGATGATGGCGGTCATATCATTTGCTGCTTGTAATTACACATGATATGACGAATGATGTAATTACTTACATCATCTGCTGATGGCTGATGGTTTTACAACCATGTTTATTTTTTTTCAACTCTCATGGTTGTAATTACTACTCAGGGCAGCCACGAAGCAATTCACTGAGGTGATCCTATACGAGCTCTGTGCTTTGGAGCTTCCATTTCCAGGTTCTCGGCAATAACCGCGGTTGAATTGCGATTGTCTTCTTAGCTCCAAAGTGAACCAATGGAAAGCAGAAATAGTCGGGAATTTCGAAGTTTGAACAACTCCATCATTCCGATGCTGTTCACTGTGGGAGTTTCTGGCAGGTTTGAAGCACAGTGAAGAGTCAGTCCACATTTTTTTTCTACCCCCTACAAGTTGATAGTTGATATAGTTGCCCCAAGAAAGTTGCTAGTTGATAGTTGATAACAACAAGAAAGTTGCTAGTTGATAGTTGATAATACACCAAGACCAGCACCTGGAGATATCCATCGCCCATACGCCGATTTTGAGGCGATAACCCCTTGGTGGTTGCCATGAAGATTCTTCAGGGCGTTGTACAGCCGCTGTCCAAGCAATATTCAGCCAGGGGCCTCATGGGGGTTACCGCTGGATCCTGTGGTCGATTGTGGATTTTGGGATGGAATGGCACTGGAACACCAGGCACCATTTTTGGCATTTTTTTGGTACTATGGATATCACATGATATCACGGATCGTTTTGGGGTCCAATTTCCAAAGTTCGTGCATTTTTCCATAGATGATGGCTATGACGCTATGGATTTTATCTTGGAACCCCAACGATTCCAAAAGGTCCGACCGGTTGAGATTTTATATGAGGTGCCCATTTTTTCGGGGACAATCAAATGAGGCTGCTCAGGCTGTGGACAAGATGTGTCTGTATATATATATAATATCAATGCATTCCGGGATCATCTTGGTATAGAAGCATCAGGATTCCATGCAAGTCCTTGAACCATGCATATTGCGGACATATACAGTACCGAAGCCGCCAGATTTACCCTTCAACAGCTTCAACATGATCAATATAGGCAACTAATAGGCAATATATATATATATGTATAAGATGCAGCCATGCAATGTTATGAGTTATGAGGTCGCTTTCTCATCTTCGGTTTCGTTTGCAACAGGCTGAGTTGCGCTCTTTGTGCGGCGCCTTGCTTTGTCCGACGGTGCAGCATCGCATTTCAGCGGAAGAGGTGGGCTGCCCAGAGGTTTGTGGGAACATTGGAACATTGGTGGAACCCAAAACAGATAACCGGTGAGAAATTCACCAATTTTCTGGGCACATCTGAACCACATTCCCAGATGGTATACAAGCCATTTCAGAGAAATATCGTTGGTCTCTCTGATATTTCTATCCGAAAATGGGTTGTATACCACTGATATCCACTGATATTAACGATTCTTAAATGGTATATATATATAGATAGAGCCTATATAGCCGTTAACTATTGAAAGGTGATATACCATTAATATACCATTAATATCAGTGTTTATCGATGGAAAAATATGGGATGTATCTAGCCGTTACCTCCCGCGATCGTCGCAGGTCTCTCAGCTGCCATGGGTTCGAAGAGTGCAACGCCATGAGGAGGTGAAGCCTCTTTCAGCTGCTCGGGAGATCACTTGCTGCGGTGTTTTGTTAAAAGGGAGCTCCAAAAAGGGACATTCCACGTGAGATTCATGTCAATACATATCAATCATATATGATTAGTATGATATATATGCATATATATAATTCAATAAGATGATACATATTTGTGAGACATATGTGGATGATATTCTTAATTTATAGAAAATTTCCAGAAAACGATCCATTTTAATTAGATGATTCCTGTTGAAAAGATGGGTCCTTGCATATTGCTTAGATCACCAGATCTGGCTCAGTGATCGGGTCCATCAACTTGGATGGTTGGTTTCCAAAGTGATAGAACTCCAGGATCAAACTCACCAAACCACCTAGTGCTCCCCATTTTTTCCAATTTTTTCCCATTTTTCCCCATTGAAATGTTGATTGTTCAATCCCGAACTGACCCAAACTGAGCAAACTGATCATCAGGATATCAGGATGACTTAGCAAAATATAGCAAAATCAGTGACCTGAGGATGAGATGGAAACGCTGAAGATCTCTCTGGGCTCCATTGAGTTTGAGCGTTTCATGATGGCGTCTCTGGGCTGTGCATCGTTGTGCCACCATGGTGGTGCCATTGGAACCCAACAAAAAAATCCCAAGGGACCGAAGAAAACACGGCTCTGAGGCAACTCACTGCACGACAGGATGCAGTGAATCTAGGATGAACCCGGGATGAATTCAGATGCAGCGGATTTCCGATACCTCGCTTTTCTGGAGATCTTGAATTTACAGCTGAAGCCAAGAAAATATCAGATTGCCAACCCGATGGAGAGGATCTCTGAGCGTTGTCTATTAGTTTCATCTTGGTGAATGATTCGAGAAATTTCGATACCCTCTGGTAAATTAACATAGCCATTGAAAATGGCCATAGAAATAGTGGATTTACCCATTAAAAATGGTGATTTTCCATAAGTCTTGCTCTACCTCAATGGGTTGTGCTTCAGTGCCTCAGTCGTGCTTCAGTGCATGTTCGTGCCATGTGGACATGGCCATAGATTGTGCAGATATTGCACCAGCAGGGCATTGTCGAACACCGAGAAAAAGCGTTGCTTCCTTCGTTCGGGATAGGGAAAATGCCCAAATGGTAAAAAAAAATAGAAATATGATAGGAAAAATATACGTATTATGTATATATATATATTATATCTATATTAAAAAAACAGAGGTTTGCCACATGACCACAGCTACGAAGCACGGATCCCCACTTCAATTGGCTCATTTTTAAGGCCGCAGAAGCTGCTTCATCTGTGCCTGCGGTGTGTCAAGCCGTGGATGAGGCCGGGGGATATCAGAGTTATATAGTTGAAGGGAAAACCATCAGCAGTAACAATCATTAACAGTCCATGAATATATAATCATTATAATCGATCATCATTAATCATCATTAATCATCATTAATCATCATTAATCATCCATTAATCATCCATTAATCATCCATTAATAATCCATTAATTGATGATGATTAGCCACCACTGATCATCGTTAATCATTCATCACGCATCATCGACTATGAAACACATGGGTTTGTGTGACAATTTGAAGATCGGATGTTCCAAGTACATCCAAGTACCTCATTCTATCCAATGACATATCATCATTTTGCCTATCTATGGAGTAAAACGGCATCCTTCATTTTTCAGACAAACCCAATTGTTTCAAAATTCGAAAAAAAAACATGTTTCCAACAACCCCAATGATAAGAATCAAGGCCCAAGTTGGTTTTGTGACACACGATTCCAGAAGTTTATCCGGTTTCGGCATCCTTTTTCCAAATGATCAGTTTTCAATCCTATGGAGATGAGCAGTTTATCGCCATGGCCATGATAAAATTCCATCAAGTCCAGGCATCGAGTGTTTGTCTGGACATTTGCTTCTCATCCTTGATCCGCTGCTGCGGCTCGTTGAGCGTACTGGTCAGGGTGCCCCAGGGTGCCCCAGGGTGCCCCAAGGGTGCCCCAACTGCCGCACCTGGATCCGGGTCGTGGATGGGGCTGGATGAATTGAGACGAGGGTGAGTGACATTTCTTGAAACTTGATCTGGTTGATAGTCTTGCTCTGGTTGTTGAAAGAACTCTCCATCCCAATCATCCTACCATGGATGATGATCGCAACCGAGTCATATTTTTCTTGGGGGGGCTTGTTTGAAACCACGAACCAGCGATGACAATGACCCCCGGCAAGATCCGTGCGGATGAAAAATGACCTGGGTCCAATCCCACCTGGTCATCCTGACCTGTTCATCAACAAGCAATCACTGGCAATCACCGTAAGCCATCATCAATCGTCACTCATCATAACCAATCATCACCTAACTCATCCATGGCCCCCATCCTGAAAAACATCCTTTAACCATCATTAATCAGGACATGTGTCTGCGAAAACAAATGGGCGAAAACCACATGCCATCCACTGGTCAAAATCCTAAGAGTTAACCTCCATTGTCAAACACATCCAAAAATCCGGCCGCCTTGGCACAGACCCCTGTCCCTGACAGATGGTGATTAATATCCCATGAGATTCCATTACCCTCTGGTAATTTAACATAGCTATTGAAAATGCCCATTTATACTGGATTTTCCCATAAAAAATGGTGATTTTCCATAGTTATGTTAGTTTACCAGAGGGTAGATCCACAAGATTCTCATGGGATCCATGGTAAATCCACAAGCGCCCAAGGCTGCGGAGGGCTCCTGCGCCCTGCAGTTGTTGCAGAAAGCCATCAGAAAGGTGCGGTGATGTGCGGTGCGTCAGTGATGGGATGAGCCAGTAAGATGAAACATCCAGAAAGAAAGGAGAGAACATCCAATATGGATGATATGGATATGGATGTTTCATCTTGATGGATATGATATGGATATGGATATGGATATGGATATGGATATGGATATGGATGATATGATCATAATATGGATATAATATGCTTGTTTACTATGACTATTATCATCATTCTGATGAAATATTAGTGAATTATTGTCCTTACTACCATCACTTTTTAAAAGTATGATTCCAATATTAAGACACACACAATTGGATGATCATAATTTTCACATTGAAGACACATACCGTAGATGGACGATGAAATCAAACCCCTGCTGTATTGTCGTCGCCCCTGCAACCCCAAATTTCACAGTTGCCTTTGGGCTGCACCTTCAGGGCCGGTGGACAAAAAATCAAACCCTAACGCAGAGGAAGCTATATAGAGCTTTGTGCAACATTGAAATTTCTGGGGGTTTACTTGGTAGGCGTTTGTAGGGTTTGATCTTTTTGTCCATCTACTGTAGTAACATAGTATATCTTACATCATATAAATCTTGGTTACATTTCCTACATAATGGATGATCAGAATTTCCACAGATGATTTCATTGGTGAAGATGGGGATGATGTATATTTCTATGATACATCATTATGTATGTATATATATATATTTACGTACATACGTACGTACGTACGTACGTACAAACGTACGTACATACATACATACATAGATACATAGATACATAGATACATAGATACATAGATACATAGATACATAGATACATAGATACATAGATACATAGATACATAGATACATAGATACATAGATACATAGATACATAGATACATAGATACATAGATACATAGATACATAGATACATAGATACATAGATACATAGATACATAGATACATAGATACATAGATACATAGATACATAGATACATAGATACATAGATACATAGATACATATACATATACATATACATAGATACATAGATACATAGATACATAGATACATACGTTACGTACATACGTACATACGTACATACGTACATACGTACATACGTACGTACATACGTACATACACATACGTACATACGTACATACGTACGTACATACGTACATACGTACATACGTACATACGTACATACGTACATACGTACATACGTACATACGTACATACGTACATACGTACATACGTACATACGTACATACGTACATACGTACATACGTTCATACGTTCATACGTACATACGTACATACGTACATACGTACATACGTACATACGTACATACGTACATACGTACATACGTACATACGTACATACGTACATATGCGTATGTACGTACGTACATACGTACATACGTACATACGTACATACGTACATACGTACATACGTACATACGTACATACGTACATACGTACATACGTACATACGTACATACCTACCTACCTACCTACATACCTACATACCTACATACCTACATACCTACATACCTACATACCTACATACATACATACATACATACATACATACATATACATCGTATCTTTCCAGCAGATGGCCATTGATGGGGATCTGCAGCAGGTACACCTCCGCCCGGAAGCCTTGGTTTTGCTGAAAGGCGCGAGCGAGTTGGGTGAAATTTCCGAGTTCGGGTCAGCTGTGAAACGGGATACCCGAGAATTTCCATGAAAAAATGGTGGGACAATGGTGGAAAATGGTGGGAAAATGATGGACAAATGGAGAAATCCCAGCTGAAACTTGCTGCGATAAGTGCTTTTCAGATGAAATGATCATCCCAGCTCTGGATGACGTCAGGCAACATGAGGAGACTTTGGAGGCGTCGGGCGAAGTTCGAAATGATTTGACCTGTTCGAAATGGGATCTCCAGGATTTTTTTAAATGTTTCCCCCCACATTAAGACAAGTAGACTTGGACTTTTCTGTTGTTTTAGAGGGTTGCTAAAAAATCTGTATCATCAATCAATCATTCGCCATTTCTGAACTGTATGATTGATGATGGCTGTATCATCAACAATGGGACGATTGGAATGATGATCCCAAGTGCCAATCAGCTATCGAATTGGGATGATGATCCCGGTGGATTGTTGATGATGGTTACTGATGTTTGATGACCATCACTGTTGACTAATCATCCTTCATAATTAGTACCCTTTGGTTATGACTAACATAGCCATGGTATAGATGGCCCATAGAAATAGATGGTTTACCGTTCTTAAACATGGTGATTTTCCATGGCTATGTTAAATAACCAGAGGGTATTCTTTTTGGATCTTTTTGGTATTCAAAGCAGCTTGGATTGACCCTTCATGACGTCCTGTCAAGGTATCCTGAAGCAGATGACTGGAGGATTCCACAGGCGGGGACTCTGGATGATTTTGATGTTGCCCTCTGGTAAACATACAAAAAACTATTGAACATGGCCATAGAAATAGTTGATTTGCCCACTAAAAATGGTGGATCTTTCCATAGTTATGTAAACGTTTACCAGAGGGTATATATATATATGTTAGCAAAAATCAACGCAACTTAGGATATCCTGCAATATTCATAGTATTCCACAATCACCAAACTTTGGGCCTTATAATACCATATGATAATTCAACAGCTATTCTTGGTCACTAGTTTTACAGCTTTGTACTGGGTTGTCCCACGCTGGAGGCGCGCTTGCGTGGCTTGCTGCATAGCATCTTTCAGGCGGTTGAGGCGAGGGGCGAAAATCATTGGAAGATCATGGGAAAATCATGGAACATATTGGAAATCCACGAACTCAAAGGGAATTTGTTTAAATGAGAACAACATAAATCCATAAATTGTCTATTTTCCAGCAGGCCATGTTTGAAAAAACCACAGGGTAGTTTTTGAGTTAAAACATCTCCATCAAATCTTGGAGATTCCAGTTTCACAAACGCAAACACAGCCGGGGTGTGCTTGGGGGTGTAGGTAGTTTCTGAAATACCACTCCAGTTGCAGTTTTGCCAGGGGGATCTGAAGTATTTCAAGGTAAAACTGCAAGCCTTTGGGGATGCCAGGGGCATGCTGAATTTTGGTTTGTCGGAAACTTTGGGGAACCACTGGTTCACTCCAGTAATTTCTCATGATTATCCCTGTTGAAATAGCCACCTTGGGGTACCCCGCATTTTCAGATACACCCAAGTCATCCAAGTTGGATATAGTTGGTGACATATCCCATTGTATCCCCATTCACATCCCATCAATGAATATTCCAATTTTGAATGGTTGAAAATACCAACTGCCCGCATTCTTCTTGGCATATCCCATCAATATACATCAGCCATGTCCATCAACAATATCCATCAACCATATCCATCAACAATAGCTATCAACAATATCCATCAATTCATGAATAATATCCCATTATCCTTGATTCACTGCCCGCCATCGTAGAACTTCACCCATGTTTCACCATGGCTAGGTCTCTAAGACCACTTCATTGGCCTGGGCCAGTAGCAGCGGCACCAGGCCTGGGGCGATTTTGTTTGATTTTTTGGTGTTTTAAGTGTATTCAATGGGAATTTCAGGATCCTAGGATGGAGGTACGTTAGTTTAGTACCATATGTTGGGCCATATTTTCTGGGGATATCCCCCGAAATTTAGGCCTGAAAAATCGGCCAAAAATATATGGTAGGTACCTCCAATCTAGGATCCTGAAATGGCCAGTGATGTATAGCAACCTCCAGAAAGATAAGAGTAAAATTAAATCCACTCCTAAAGTTAGGGCAAGTTCCCTTTCTGTCTTTTTGGGGGTTGGTATGTGCACGGTTTATACTGCTTGTTTAGTAGGAGTGGTATGGATTCGTTACGGCTTAAAACCAATCATAGGAATACCATGGCATACCTATGAACCAACGAGTAGAATGGGATGGGACAGTTCTTTTTTCAAAGGCTCATTTCAAAAAAAGAAAAAGCTGGGAAGGAAGTTGACAATGAGTCAAAATGAAGGACCCCAAACCAACAAATTTGTGGGTGGTTTGTGGGGTTCCTTTCCTATCAGCAATGTAGTTCTTGAAGCATGGCAGTTCATCTTGCCATTTTTTGTGGGATCACCCACAAATCCTAGGATCACCAGTAGGTTCTACTTGGCGGTAGAACCCTTCCAGCAATAACAACTACGCCCTTGTTTTGAGGTATGCTCTGACACTCAGCTGGGTTTAGTCAGTTTAGTCATGTCTAGTGAGTCCCAAGATGTCCCAAGCTACGGGATGCCCTTCTCATCTTTTCACCGGTCAGGGCCAGCCTGGACTTCACCATCCTGCTGATGCTCGTTCGGCGCGCAAGACAAGAGCAGCCGGTGATGCCCAAGAAGAAAAGGCGGAACGAGGGATGGTGGGGATGGTGGGAGACCTGAATCCGCTATGGTTAGGAGAGAGCTATAAGGAGATATGGCTATGGATCAATACCTATAAGTACCATTTTTAGGGGGATGAACATCCATAAATCCCAGCTATTTTGATGTGAACTACAGGGGTACAAGGTTTTGACCCACTGCCATATGGGTATCCAGGTATCCATTGAATCCGTATTTGCTATTGAATGGGGAGCCAAGGAGCTACTAAGAGTTGCCCAACCACATGAATCATATAACATTAAGAAATTGGGCTTTGTACCATTTATAGCTGGAAACATTGCCTTTTTATTTTAATTTGGAGGATCATTGACTTGGATGGCAAGGTCAGCAGGTGATACGATGAGTTTGTTTGCACGAGTTGGAATAGATGAAGATGGACTCAAGAATTTCTGGATTGAGGATCTTAGGATCTTAGTCTTAGAGCTTCAGATTTTAGCCCAATTTTCGCACCTCAATGGCCTTTTTCAGGCGAAAGAAGAGATCAGACCCAATCAATGAGGAGGTGGATGAGGTGCACATCCATCAACCGAGGGATCGGATGAGGCCTCGGATGTAGATGGTGCTAGATGGTGCTAGATGGTGGATGCTGGTGGTATTTCCAGTATCTTGCCTTCTTTTTTGTGCACGACATATAGATTTTTTTCCATATGGCTAACCCGGCTACGTCAATTTTTGTTCGCCCTTAAACTGGATGGATTCATTCTAAGCATCATCGGCTGTAGACCCCTTGGATCCCCTTGGTAACTCTAGACCTATGGAACCCAGTTCCGAGAAACTCGGTGTTCGGCAGGCGTTGGAGGCCTTGACCGCGCCTAGTAGTGAGGATTCTCCAGGGGGATGGATGGAGCAACTTTGGTTGATGAGGTTTGCCAAGAAGAAACCATCCCCAATTTCTAGGGGAATTTCAGGATCCTAAAATGGAGGTACTGTACAATATAAGACCATATTTTGTTGGGATATGCCCTTACATAGGTCTTATATAGGCCTTATATATGGCAGGTACCTCCAGTTTAGGATCCTGAAATTCCCATTGAGAATTTTTTGTGGTTAAAGCAATGCCATAAACCACAAAAATATGACTGGGAATGGTAGATATATGTAGATATAGCACCTGTAAAAATATGGTGATGACTTGGGGATGGTTTATTTTTATTTTTTACCCACATTAGAGGTTTGTGAAATTGGGCATACTGTATACCCCAACTTGGGATATTTTTTGAATTTTTGAATAGGACCTTGCCAGTCATGAAAAGGTTTCATTATTGGGTTTACCGGGTTGGCTCAGGGGTTACAAAAGTTATGCTACCACATAGTCTACTGATACTGCTAGTATCCATGCGAATCCCTGATGGGAATCGACATTAAGCCATTAAGCAGCTTTACGAAGGCATTGTTCCAATGGCTGTTGTAAAGAACTGTAAAGATTTTGGAGCAAGAATGAGTAACATGATACCCTCTGGTAATTTAACATAGCTATAGAACATCACCATTTTCAATGGGAAATTCCACTATAAATGGTCATTTTCAATAGCAAACTGTTAGTTTACCAGAGGGTAACATGATAAATCCATTCCATATTCCATTTATCAAGCGCGGAGATGTGTAAGACTGCAAGACTTACCAATCATCGCCGGCAGGAGCTGCTCTTGGATGAGGCCAAACTTGCCGGCGCAAGTCGAAACGTCTTTGCTGACATGTTACCCTCTGGTTATGTCAAAATAGCTATTGAAAATGGCCAGTTATAGTGGAGTTTCCCATTAAAAATGGTGATTTTCTAACTATAGTTATGTTGGTTTACCAGAGGGTAGTTGGTACATCTCCCCTCTTATAACTCGCAAGAGTGTTGTTTTTTAGGGATGTGAAAAATCTAAATCTTCATGAATCAATCATCCCAAACACCATGACATTCGATGACCATTGTCACTTTTATAGATGTTGCCCTCTGGTTATGACTAACAGTTTGCCATGGGATAGATGGCCCTAGTCGAAATAGATGCTTTACCGTTCTTGAAAATGGTGGACCTTTCCATGGCGAACTGTTAGTCATAACCAGATGGTAATTACTCAATTTTATCCAAATCTCTGCCGGAAAAATATGGAGGTCTTTGAGATGCTCACTGCAGTGGAACCTTCGGAGAGGTGCCGTTTATTTTTTCGAATTGACATGCCATGGGTAGCCGTGAAGTTCGGATTTATGTTAGATATGGCTAGAAACTGGGGTCCATAACATGATAATCATGCACATTTTTTTAACATGTAGAATCTCAAATGATGTTATTCCAGTTGATGTCAAATTGAAAAGGGGCTACCCAAGTTACAGGGTTATGTGATATCCACATCTGACTGGACCATGCTCCCATTGAATCCTTGGACCTTCGCAGCTTTGTGGCCGGCTGCCACGTTGCCAAGTTCGCCGCCATGGCCATGGAAGAACTGATCAAAGATATCAACTTCGATGAAGAACTTGGAAGACTTCGCCATGCGCAAAGTTCCCAGAGTTCCGATTCACATGGCTACCATGAGCCCCTGGAGCCCTTGGAGCCTTTGGAGCCCTTGGAGCCTTTGGATCTGGGGACAGTCAGGACCTTTGCGCCTTGGAAGATCCTGGTGACTCTGAGCCTGGCGTCCATGGCGGCGCTATGTGCACATGCCAAAGTTGCAGGTGCAGCACATGGCGCAGTGGAGGAAACAGTGGACCTAGGGACCTGGTCCGATTCCATCGAAGGGTGTCGCTCGTTGAAGCGTTACATGATTTTGTGGTTTGACAAATGGCTTGTGTCTATCGTTTTCTTCAGGCCATCATTTTAAACAAAACTTCCATCCCAGATCTTCCCATCCCAGAAATGATTTTAAAATGATATCTGGGATGTAAACATCTGCCATCTTCCATCCATTTCTCCTATCCCATGGGCCTAGGTACTCGGATGTTTCAGGCTATCATGGACTTCGACGTCAGCGAGGTGCATCTGGGGGACTTCAACTTCCAAAGCGCCAAGGTCACCTTGGAGCACCTCCCAAGCGCCAGAAAAGCGGCCGAAGCCCTGCGAGATCCGCGGACGGACTTCGTGCAGATCGGCCGCTGTCAACCTGAGGCCGCCCCCTTGGGGGGGCCCCAAGGGGGGAAGTGAAAGTCTCGATCTCATGGCTTTGTCTGATGATTCAGTTATTTTACTTGGACATTGGACATCCCCCCAAACAAAAGTGATGATGAATCATCTTTTTTGCCAGTCAAACTGCTGTTTTGCCGAAATCCCCTGAAATCAGAGACACCGACAATTGTTTTAGAATCATTCAAAGCGAGAGGTGACATTTACAATCCCCAACATGGGACAGTTCCCAGTGACAGGTGGGAAAAAAAGGGAGATGGGGTATATTTGGGATGGGATCAGCATGTTTGGTGTGTTTTCTTATGTTGGATATAGCTAAGGAATGCCTAAGGACGCTTTAAAATATGTGTGGAAATTTGTGGACCGAAGATACCGAAGCCATCCAAAGGATCGCTCTGTGGTCTGGTTGTACCCGGACAAGAGCGGTGATGAGTCAAGCGCTTTCCTGCTGGCTGATGGAGAATGCAAACGTATCGAAACCCAAGCATTGGACAAGACTTCCAAGGTGAATCTGATGCAGTGGTGATGTTCAGGTCGTCGTTGGGACCAATTGGGGACCAATTGGGACCATCTCGAAGCAGAAACCACTGAAAAAGCATCGAAAAAAGCCACGTTGGGATTGGTGATTCTCCGGCATGATTCATCGCTGGGATTAACCCCGTATGTGATTTTCTGATCGTTTCCAGGTGTGTTTTTCTTGGAAAGTCGCCCATCATGGCTCAAAATTATTGTGCCCAACAGAAAAAAAAACAACAGATAGTTCCGGAATGTTCCAATATTCCAATGGTGTATTCTCATTTTGGTCCTCTCAAAATGACAAAGTTCCCACTTTTTCTGCCATGAAATCTGGGTCCGAAAACGTCTGAGGCTTCCTGTGTGGCGGTCTATCGGGTTCCAAGCCCTTCAGCCGGGACCATGCTGCTGAACCATTTCCATCAGCCTGGCACCATCAGCCACGCAGTGCTGGGTGGCCACGGTTCGGATAATACCTGGAGGCTTGGCGAATTCACCACAAATTTTTGGGGATCATGACCCCAGAGTGTGCACAGAAAACCCAAGGGGCGGGGGATGTTTTATTTTTTAAAAATTGGGTTTACCATGGTTTACCAGATTAGCATGATATTGTGGGATGACATTTTAAGGAATGAGATCGGATGATATGGGATGATATGGGATTGTGGGGTCGGGGATGTTGATGGATTGATGGATGCAGCATGCAACATGGAGCTTGGAAATCGGATGGAAAATGCACCTGGTTGTGAGGATTTCCTACCGCATGTTTGGTTGGCATATGTGGTTACTGGAATGGAAGGATGTTCCTTGTACCCAAATTGTTGGAAGGTAAGATTGGGAGGTCTCAAAGAAGCCTGTGTCCACAAGTCAACATCAATGCCATTGATCCATGCACCACTTCAGTTGAACCATTTCATGTGCGTAGGACGCTAGGAAAGCTACTGCCAAGTGTAGTGGGTAACATCGGTAAAATGCCTTATATAAATGATTTCCGATTGTTGATAGGATTAGGTACTTGTAAAACTGGACAACCCGACATGTCCGACATGCTTGCACACTGTGCTGCTACAACTATCACTTATACTGATTTATGATGAGCTCTGATGGATTATCACACTTGAACTTCAATTTATGATTGATCCATTCATATCATATGCATCATATATCCATTCCCTTTTTGTGATGCCATTTTGTCGCCATTCAAGCCATGCATGAGCCATGCATGAGCCATGAGCCCCCCACATCCCGCGCTGAGGAACCAGGGTGTCCTGCAAATGAGTGGTGAGGTGAACCTAGGCGAAGATGACGTGGAGTCGACCACTTTGGTAGACACCTTGGGCACGAAACTGACACCGCATGGTACGGTCTTCCTGGATGCCAGGGATTCGTTTGTGGTCGCTTTTTTTGGGGTTGGGAAGATCTTGGGAAGATCTTGGGAATCAGAAGGTTTCCCATTTTTTTCCTCCGTTTTCGAGTTTTTGAAAGAGACAAAAAACCGGGAATTCTGGATAGTTTGAACATGTTTGAACAACTCATTGGATGTCATTGGACTTGTTTGAACAACTTGTTCTACTCCAAAGTCCTATGTATTCCCAACCACTTGAGGCATCTTTTTTGGCCTTGTTTCAATGTTTTGACGCTAGCTGGGGACTCAGGATTCCTGCTTCGCCGGCATCAATGGAGTGGCTCAGATGGTCTCCAAGAGGCTGCCTCAACACTGGGTCACTGGGCTGCTTGGAATGCTTGGGTCCTGGATGGAGAAACCATACGGATGGGAGGTTTTTAAACCATGATAAACCAGGTACCCTCTGGTAAACGTTTACATAACTGATGGGAAAGATCCACCATGCTATTAATGGGAAAACTCACATTTTCAATGGCCATTTTCAATAGCTATTTTCACATAACCAGAGGGTAAACCAATAGAAACCATGGGAATTTGGGGTAGCCTAAATGTTCCAAAGCCATGACAATTAAATGTGGGACGGAACTCGCAAAATATGAATGGTTATATTCATGGTTTCCAAAGCAACTCCAAAGCAACTCTGAAAGACCGAGAAGGTAGAAGGGTAGAACAGTTTTACTGAAAACTGTTCCTTCTTAAAATCCACGCAGTTCCAAAAAAAACATGAATATATGGCCGATGGCCTCATGGGGGTGGGGCAGGTTTGCTGGAAGGTATCGCACCAAGAACATCAATAAGATCCAGATGCTGGGTTTGATCCTAGGGCGAGTTCCAATCTTGCTGCTTACTATTGGATAATCCATGATGTCAATGGGAAATCACTCCGTCACAGAGGGAATATCCCACACAATTTGGTGGCTTAATCACACATTTTTGATGGCTAAGTCATTCATTCCCTTTTTTTCCGGTCGAAACTTCAACACCACACTTTTCGGCTTGGGTCCTCAGTTGTTTGGTCTGTTTGATGGTTTTCATTCCACATGTTTGATCCCAGCTGTTGATGCTTAAATGGTGGTTTCTTAAAATGGAAGATCCCCAAGTCACCATGGCTTTCAGTACCAAAATGGTGTAAAAAATGGATGACGACTGGGGGGTATCCTCAATTTAGGACACCTCCAAATGATCATCCCTGATGATTTGAGGGCCATTTTTTTTTCGGCTGTTCAGCCGCTCAGGTCATGGGTGGTGTGGTGTCTTTGAACTCCTACATCCGGGTGCAGCAGACGCCCTTCGATGGCTCAGCGCAGAGTGGCCCAACCCAGGCGTGACGACGTGACGAGTCACGTTGGAAACACCAAGCAATAGTGGCATCATCGAATCTATTGGGCTATTCAAACTACGTATATCTAAAGTTATCTAAAGTTATATCCATAGTGGTATCTGTAGTGATATCTATAGTGATATCTAAAGCGATCACTTTGTAGTCACATCCCCTGTTCACATTAGTTTCATCAAATAGTTAATTCCCATCGCGATCCCCATATGTAAACATAGAAAATCCAAACTGTAGTTAATATCCTTAAACTCATCAATGATAATCCCCATTCCCATTATTATCCCCATTGTTTCCTGATCATGTCCCCATAAAATTGACTGCATCCCATGCCTTTGCTATCAGCTAATCTTATATCAGTGTCTTGGTTGGAAGGAAGATCTCCAGGAAACCATGGATTTAACATGAATTAACCATTGAATTTCTGGTATTCAATTATCAACCAACCCAAAATACATTATATTATATTATATTATATTGTTGATTGTATAGTTTCAAATTATCTCCCCATAAAGGCGAGTTTATATACCACAGTCCCATAGGACGTTGGTTAGATAATTGTAGCATTCTATCTCCTCATTATCTCCTATCAAGATATGTCAAGTTTATATCCCATAATCCGCCGGAGTCCCATTATGTCAAGATGATTGACATTAGGGATATCTTATTATATTATCATTATCCCTCCATACCCTCTGGCAAAAAGGCTATGAACAATCACCATGTCTAATAGGTAAATCAACGAACTAAATAGCCATGTTCAATACTTATGTAACAAATTAATGGTCATTTTCAATAGCTATGTAACAAATTACCAGGGGGTAATCCCTCCATAATCTCTCGATATCCTCAGTTTCGGGGTTGAGTTAAACCAGTTACAGGTCACATCCGAGCTAGCACCGGACTCGGTGATCGACCCATCGAAGGGAGTTCATGATGACGATGGCTACCCTGAGGCCGTGATCGTTCTTGAATCCGGGAATCCGGACGATTGGAGATGTCTGGAGCGTGATTCAAGAACAACTATTAATATAATATAGAATATAATATATAATAATATATATACATATATATACATAATATATAGACCATATTACATTTATATATATATGTTTCATGGTCATTGGCAAGCATTGGGATACTTTTCTGAGTCGAGTCCTTTATTTGTCTGTTGCAGACGCGCTCCGATGTGTTGGGGTGTTGGTTGCATCCCCAGCTGCATGTGGATGTACAGAAATGTACATGTCATAGTTCCTGAATATCGCTAGTTGTGCTTGGTTTACGCTATCATTGGTGATATTTCCCAGAGAATCACATATAATATATATGCAACAGGTATTTTCCCAATTGTTTCCATGTTTTCTTTCGATGTTGTCGGCTATCTCTCCTTTTCCCAGGCCAGTTTCTTGGAAGGTGTGGCTCTTCAAGGTGATGGGACGTTGGAGAAGGTGGATCAACTGGTCGGTGAAAGGATCATCGCCTGGTTCGGAGGAATCAATCGCGGCAGCGTCACCCGGCAGCTGATGGTTTTTTTAGAGACGTTTCTATGGATCTGGGTAAATTATAACGACCTCACTGTTCTCCTGAGCCCTGGAATCATGGTTAGTACGGGGAATCATCCCCAAATGGGCCTTAATTCAGGTTAGTGAAATATTATGATTTACCCAGATGGATGGTTGTGCAATGTTGTACGTTTCTATGGATGATGGTTGTATGGTTGTGCAATGAGTCCCTGAAAAAGATGTCCACTCAAAAAGGCACGGCATTGTCCAATGCATGTCTTGCCATGTGCCATTGCCATGTGCCACAGCCGCTGTGCCATGTCACGATGTCTTTGTGTAGAGGATGTCGGATCTCCCAACGGTCCCAACGCATTGGTTTGTCATCACATTTCTTGCAAACCAAGGTTACCCAGTGGCTCTATCCCTCGAAGAACAATCAGGCTATTGGATCATTCAATCATTGGATTTAGAGGAAAGATTCATCGATTTGGACCAGGTTTTTTTTCGGTGAAACAAAGGGTAGCCCCCCCAGAAATTGATGATATAATTATATATAATTATCATTGTCCCTATTGAAATATTGAAATGGCAATTTGGGAAGGGTTGAAACTTCTATCTCTACCCTTGCAGCCCTTGCATTGAAGAGAACACATTTTGGGTGGGTTCATAGGGAGAAAAATCATGAAAAATCTGGACATGTTTGGTGCTAGCAACTAGATTTCTTTAGGGTTTACGGTATTTTTTTCCTTAAACCATTAAACCAATGTACTGAAGATCTCGCAACAAAAACGGCAGGTCATGGTTTGATCTTCCGTCCAACTCGCCCTGTGAGGTGCTGAAAATCGGCTGCAAGGTGCAGGTCATTGAACCTTTCCATGCTTTTCGCATGGGGTCGACGGACTTCAATATGGCTGAGCCTGAGAAGAGCAGGGATGACCAGGCCAGTTTGATGGTTTCCCTGTTGAAATGGCCATGAAATGGCCATTTTTTTTCGGGGCATATCTATCCCATTTTCAGATACGCCGGAGAATGAAATGGTGGATGACATGGTGGATGAAATGATACAGATGATATGGCTGGTCCCAGGCTCCTAAGTTTCTACTCCAAGATTGGCATGACCAGCTCTTTTTCAAGGAGGGTCCATTCAGAAAATGGACTCTGAAATGGGCTTCTCCAGGAATGGGCCTAAACTCATCCAAAATCTTCTAAAAATATCGAAAAATCATCCAAGAAATGTCAGAAATCATAGATCTTTCGAATTTTTGCCCCCTTTTGCCGTGCAGAAACTCCAGCTTTTGCACCGCATTTCAGGGTTTGGGGATCTTCTCCCAGTTGCTGCCGAAGGGCCTGGAGGGATCCGTGCTCTTTTTACACGACGTGGGAAATGCACCAACTTCGGGGAATGCCTTGATTAACTATGGCCTGCCTCAAGAGTTTAAGGACGAGATTGGATTGTCATATTTTGTCAGTGGTACTAAGATTACCATAAAAAAGGGGGGGGCAATGTACCAAATTTTCACGGAAAAAACTTAGGAAAATTGAACTTTGAGGGAAAACATCGCAAACCAATAGATAATAGTCAGGATTTATATCTGGGGTTGACGATTAGATTTGTTCTGCGCCTTTGCGCTGTTTTACCTTGTGTCTCACACATAGTTCTTTGCACTCTTTACTTACCATCTGGTTATTTAACATAGCCATGGAAAATCACCATGTTTAAGAACAGTAAACCATCTATTTCTATGGGCCATCTATCCCATGGCAAACTGTTAGTCATAACCAGAGGTTACCAAGCCGTCAAGATGACCTTTTTGAACCCTCCAGGAGGCTGGAATTACTGGTGGTGCCGGGCAGACTTTGGGCCCTCTGCTGACGTTGACCCAGGATTTTGGAAAATTGCAGGTCCACTGTCCATGATCATTGGAGATCATTGGGGATTTCGAGACCTCAACCTGCGACTCCGAAATGTCGAAGGTCGGACTCTCCGAGTTGTAGATTCCGGATGACTTTGAATCTGGCAAGCGGGAAACTTCCCACTGAATCTGCCATGTATTCTGAATCTTGGTGTGTTTGAAAGAATTTGGTGCTGGTGCTGGTGCAAAGATTTCCAGAATGAGCAGTGTCACGTTGATGCTGTGGATGCAGATGAACCTGGGGGTAAACGGAAGCCAAAGGGGAATCACTTCAGACTCTGCGGGAAACATTCACGGCATTTCTTTTTCCACTGCTTCGCAGAAGTGTCACAGTAGATTTCAAATATTTAGATTGCCTGACTGCAAGGTGAAAGCTGTCAAAAAAGCGAAAAAAACAACTTGGTAGGTCTCGCTGCAAGGCAGAATACTTCTGTTTTGCATCCGCTGAAATCTGCGTGAAAATCGCGGCTAGTGGTGCAGGGTGGCAACCTTCTTGGGACCCAGAGACGTCGTGTAATTCGTGGTGAAGGGGCAGATAATATTCAACATAACCACTTCTTTTTTACTATATCTGCGCATCAATTTCTTCACCTTAAACATGACACAGTGTCTCTCTTGCAGTGCTTTTCATGGGTCTCAGTCTAGTTTTTGTCTCAAGGAGCCATCTTGCTTTTGGACCCTTTCAATTTAGCAATCCTCAAGCTGTGCTTGTGAGTTCTGCGGCGCAATGATGAGAACAATGTTAACAAATCACTCCACTCTGAATCACAGTGTTGATTCCAAACATGCACTACCAGCTGATATTCTGCCGTACGATTTGTTCCTTTTGATGTGCACTGGATGGACACCTGACTTTGAATGTACATTGTCCTTGGCCCTTGGCTTGTTCATTGGTCCATGACAAGATGCAAACATCGGGTTTAAAAAGGCAAAGTGATGATTCAATATCAGGCGTGTTAGATCCGGAGTCATCACACTGGTGATGTCAGTGACGCGATGTGACTCTGATTGCTGCATTGGTTTCAGCCATGTATCGCAGTGTCTCTCTTGCAGTGCTTTTCATGGGTCTCAGTCTAGTTTTTGTCTCAAGGAACCATCTTGCTTTTGGACCCTTTCAATTTAGCAATCCTCAAGCTGTGCTTGTGAGTTCTGCGGCGCAATGATGAGAACAATGTTAACAAATCACTCCACTCTGAATCACAGTGTTGATTCCAAACATGCACTACCAGCTGATATTCTGCCGTATGATTTGTTCCTTTTGATGTGCACTGGATGGACACCTGACTTTGAATGTACATTGTCCTTGGCCCTTGTTCATTGGTCCATGACAAGATGCAAACATCGGATTTAAAAAGGCAAAGTGATGATTCAATATCAGGCGTGTTAGATCCGGAGTCATCACATTGGTGATGTCAGTGACGCGATGTGACTCTGATTGCTGCATTGGTTTCAGCCATGTATCGCAGTGTCTCTCTTGCAGTGCTTTTCATGGGTCTCAGTCTAGTTTTTGTCTCAAGGAGCCATCTTGCTCTTGGACCCTTTCAATTTGGCAATCCTCAAGCTGTGCTTGTGAGTTCTGCGGCGCAATGATGAGAACAATGTTAACAAATCACTCCACTCTGAATCACAGTGTTGATTCCAAACATGCACTACCAGCTGATATTCTACCGTATGATTTGTTCCTTTTGATGTGCACTGGATGGACACCTGACTTTGAATGTACATTGTCCTTGGCCCTTGGCTTGTTCATTGGTCCATGACAAGATGCAAACATCGGGTTTAAAAAGGCAAAGTGATGATTCAATATCAGGCGTGTTAGATCCGGAGTCATCACACTGGTGATGTCAGTGATGCGATGTGACTCTGATTGCTGCATTGGTTTCAGCCATGTATCGCAGTGTCTCTCTTGCAGTGCTTTTCATGGGTCTCAGTCTAGTTTTTGTCTCAAGGAGCCATCTTGCTCTTGGACCCTTTCAATTTGGCAATCCTCAAGCTGTGCTTGTGAGTTCTGCGGCGCAATGATGAGAACAATGTTAACAAATCACTCCACTCTGAATCACAGTGTTGATTCCAAACATGCACTACCAGCTGATATTCTACCGTATGATTTGTTCCTTTTGATGTGCACTGGATGGACACCTGACTTTGAATGTACATTGTCCTTGGCCCTTGGCTTCATTGGTCCATGACAAGATGCAAACATCGGGTTTAAAAAGGCAAAGTGATGATTCAATATCAGGCGTGTTAGATCCGGAGTCATCACACTGGTGATGTCAGTGACGCGATGTGACTCTGATTGCTGCATTGGTTTCAGCCATGTATCGCAGTGTCTCTCTTGCAATGCTTTTCATGGGTTCTGCGGTGCAAGGAATCAGGTGAGAACCAGTCCTTGTTGATTTTACTTTCCTAAGCTTTCTTCAATGATGCACTAGCAGGTGACAGGCTGCTTTTTTTAAGCAAGCATTTGTAGCTCTTAAGCAACCTGCAGGCATTCTTTAAATTTTGATCCCCAGAAAAAAAAATCAACTCAGAGCCATGCTTTTGCGGATGTATTTGCAAGCATAGCAAGCAGATAGATAACCGGGTAGATCATGGTAGATCCATTTCTGGTCCAATTCTCAAGACTTGCGCAAGTCTATGTTTTGAAGCCAAGGGTGCCAAGAGGACGTCACATACGCAAAATCTGAAGTGCAAATATATATATATACTCACACATATATATATACATAGATATATTTATACATATATATATAAAGTGTATATTAAGTGTACCAATATATGATTACATAGTGAAATATCGTGAATATATTTGACATTTATTTGACATATCTTTCCCAATTGTTCGGTTATTTGTTCCGTACCGCCTGCAGATACCATGCTTTCGGCATATTCCTAATGGACTTGGCAGCCTGGTGCTCCAAGATGTAGGGAGGCCCTGATATGGTGATCTAACTCGGGTTCCAAATGGGGGCTGCAGGGGGGAAAGCATCAGTGATTTAGTGGAATCATGTGGAAAATCGAACTTGATATAACAATTTGAAGGGGGGTTGTCTGATATGAATGTGGTATGAACATGCTGAAACATTTTGTGGGCCACAAGTGGGGATTTGACTGATTTAACCTAGAAAGGGGCTTTTAGTGGAATATTCTCGGACATATTTTATTTGATATGTACCCTCCAGTAATCAAACGTGGCTGGCTAAATCACATAAATGGAAGTTTCTAGCTGGGAACATGATCTACGAGCGGTGGATTTTCCAGCAAGCCACGTTACCGGAAGATATTTCCTTAACCATATCCAATTTGGGATAGTTACCCTATGGTAAATTAACATAAACCCTGAAAATCACCAATTTTTAGTGGAAACTAGTCTTCCAACCCCCATCTGCCAGGGTCTATGTTAATTTACCACGGGGGGTAAGGAAATATCCAATTTGGGATAGTTACATGGTTCTGCTTGTTGCTGGCGTCGCGATGTCGTGAATTTTGTGAATGCGACGCTCCGACTTTCCAGACTTTCCACAGATTGCGGCTTGGGATTGAACATTAGGTCATTTGTTGCCCTAAAAAATGATTTGCAATCATCCAACTAAGTTGCTGACCTCCAACTCATCAAAATAAGAAGAAACGGATCTTAGGGTCTCATGCTATATTCATCTATATTCTGTTTTTCTTCCGAAAATGACCCTTCAAGATTCAGAGCGAGTTCACATTTTGCAGTTTCATTCAATGGATTGGTTTAAGGGAAAATTTTAGCCGGAAAGCCCCATATTTAATGGGAAAATCTATGGTTTCCGGTTCCGATTTTCCCTTAAACCAATCCATTGTTTCATCCAACTGTTTCCATGCAGTTTCCACCGAAAAAAATGGGATCTTCTGAGGAAAAGTTCGGAACTGCCCTGGGGCGCCTTGGTGCCGGAGCGATGTCTGAGAAAATCTTGGTGTTCTGTGTTGGTTTTTTGTGATCAAATTGGTTGCAACACCACAGAAATTGCTGATCAAAAGCATCATCTATAAATGTATTGAACACATCAAAAAAACATCATCTATAAACATCATCTATAACTGTGTTCAAACATCAAAAACATCATCTATAAAATATATTGAACATGTATTGAAAGCAAAATCCGCCAAAAACACCGCCCAAAAAAACATGGTTGTTCCTGGTTGGGGTTGCATCAACAAAAAAAACTCAACCGCAGGATGAAGTCATAGCGGAGTTGGACGAAGACATGTCCTTCCGAGTTCTTGGTTGCTTGGGCCATGCACGGAAGGATGGCTATGGCGGCTATGGAAAGCTATGGAATGCTATGGATCAATAGCTATAACCCTACATTTTTTCGTGAATGAACATCAATTCTATGATCATGGTAATTTGAGGGTAATCTGAAGGTCATGTCCCCCAAAAAAATTGCAATGAATACATGATTCACGGGACAGTAGCGATTTTGTTGGATAAAATTGCCGCGGAAGTCCACAGACTGTGGATGGAATCACTGGTTGATACAGGTTCTATCAGGTTCTTCAAAGATTCATGTGGATGGTTTTCAGCAAGGTTTTCAACTTTTTTTTTTTAAAACTGTGGATGTACCCTCTGGTAAACAAAAAAAAACGGATGGGAAAATCACCATGCTATTAATGGGAAAATCCACTCTTTCTATGGTCATTTTCAATAGCAAACTGTTAGTTTACCAGAGGGTATCAAGCAAGGTTTTCAGTTTTCATCGAATCCCACAGTGAAGAAACATCTGAAAATCGCCAGATGAAATAGCTTGGATCAAGGTCAGGGAGTTCAACTTGCCAGTCGCTTCCTGCTAGAGTTTCTCGGATGCTGGGTGGATCGGAAAAATTCAAGATCCATGAGTTGAACCTATATCATACTGTCATATCATGAGGCTGTCTACAACTGTACAACATTGTGCGTAATTCTTGGTATACATTGCACGTCCAGCTTTAAACTCCCTTCACGGACCAATTATGTAAGCACTTTGCAACATCATTTCAAGTATGTTAATTGCAGGGCATTCCTAAACGGGCCATTTTCCATAGCTATTTTCCCGAATGCGTAGCAAGGGTTCCCGTTTCACTCTGGGGGTCTGGGGGTTGAGGGTGTGTTCGCTCGACGTTGCGTCCGCGTCCGCAACCGTCCGCAACCGTCCGCAACCGTCCGCAACCGTCCGCAACCGTCCGCAACCGTCCGCAACCGTCCGCGCGAGGACCGTATGGCCGTGCCTATGGGAAGTTCTGCAGAGGTGGTCATTTTTGGAGGTTTCAGACGTGTCGTTGCTTCGTTTCGCGTGGCAGGCGTGGCACTTCGTGACATTCAGACGTGTTTTGCAACGTGTTGAAAATCGTTTTGCGTGGCAGGCGCAATACTTGTGTGACGTTTTCAGAAGATGTGTTGCAGTTTTCGTGGCAGGCGCAGCACTTTGGACGTGTCCATCGTCATTTTTCGTGGCAGGCGCAGCACTTTAGACGTGTCGCGTTGCGTGTTTTTTGCAAATCGCATTGGCAGGGCTGCGTCAAGTGGCGACAAGGTGCAAATTCCGTGGCAGGCGTGGCATTTTGTGCGATGTGGTGAAAATTGACGGAAGCCTCGCACGAAACATCGATTTTGAGGTTGCCAATTTTCAGGTTCTAAGGAAAACTCGTAGGAAAACGTCGATTTTGAAGCTACAAAGTTTAAAAATTCTAGGAAGTCTCGCACGAAATGCTCGTTTTGGTGCTCCCACCTGTCTCGTCTCGCGTGTCTGGTTTTCCAGTGGCCTCGCCGTGTCTATGGGGGAAGCTGCAAAACTTGTCTTTTTGTCATGTTGCCAACTGTGAAAATTGCCGGAAGTCTCGCACGAAATGCTGGTTTTGATGTTCCTATGTGTCTTGTCTCGAGTCTCTGGTTTTCCTGTGGCGTCGCCGTGTCTATGGGGGAAGCCGCAAAACCTCTCCTTCTCTATGTTTCCAAGCAGCTTGTCATGTCCAACCTGTTTGATAAAGTTTGTGAATTCCAACTGTGACTGTTTGATAAAGTGTCGAAAATGTGAAAATTGGAGGAAGTCTCGTACGAAATGCTCGTGTTTCTGCATCCACGTGTCTCGTCCCGAGTTGTTGGATTTCCTGGGGCATCGCCGTGTCTTTGGGGGAAGCTGCAAAACCTCTCTTTTTCGAAGGTTGCCAAGCAGGTTGTCATGTCGTTTTTCGTGGCAGGCGTGGCACTTTGTGACATTCCAACCTGTTTGACAACGAGCCGAAAGTGTCTCTGGTTTTCTAGACACGTCGCAGTGTCTATGGGGGAAGCTGCAAAACATCTCCTGTTCGAGGGTTTCTAAGCAGGTTGTCATGTCGTTTTGCGTGGCAGGCGTGGCAACTTTATACTCTGCACTCTACACCCCACACTCCACGCTCTACACTTTCCACTCCACACTCCACACTCCACACTTTACACTCCACTCTTTACACTGTACACTCCTCACTCCACACTTTACATTCCACACTCCTCACTTTACACTCCACACTCCACCTTTGACACTCTACACTTTCCACTCCACACTCCACACTCCACACTCCACACTCCACACTTTACACTCCACAGTCCACACTTTACTCTTTACACTCCTCACTCCACACTTTACACTTTACACTCCTCACTCCACACTCCACACTCTACACTCCACACTCCTCACTTTACACTCCTCACTCCACACTTTACACTCCACACGCTACACTTTCCACTCCACACTCTACACTCCACACTCTACACTTTACACTCCACACTCCACACTTTACACTTTACACTCCTCACTCCACACTCCACACTCTACACTCCACGCTCCTCACTTTACACTCCACACTCCTCACTCCACAATCTACACTTTCCACTCCACACTCTGCACTCCACACTCCACACTCCACACTTTACACTCCACACTCTACACTTTACACTTTACACTCCTCAGTCCACACTTTACACGCCACACTCCTCACTTCACACTCCTCACTTTACACTCCACACTCTACACTTTCCACTCCACACTCCACACTCCACACTTTACACTCCATACTTTACACTTTTCATGCCACACTCCTCACTTTACACTCCACACTCCACCTTTGACACACTACACTTTCCACTCCACACTCCACACTCCACACTTTACACTCCACACTCCACACTTTGCAATCCACACTCCACACTTTACACTTTGCACTCCTCACTCCTCACTCCACACTCTACACTCCACACTCCTCACTTTACACTCCACACTCCACACTTTACACTTTCCACTCCACACTTTACACTCGAAACTCCTCACTTTGCACTCCCCACTCCACACTCTACACTCCACACTCCGCACTTTACACTCCACACTTTACACTTTACACTCCTCACTCCTCACTTTACACTTTACACTCCACACTTTACACTCCTCACTCCACACTTTACACTTTACACTCCACACTCCACACTCTCCACACTTTACACTCCACACTCCACACTTTACACTCCACACTCCCCACTCGACACCCCTCACTCCACACTCGACACTCTACCTTTTACACTCCACACTCCACACTCTACACTTTACACTCCACACTGCAGACTGGTAACAGGGGAAATATGTACAAGACTGTTCAAACAAACTATTGCAGAAAAGTGTTGTGCGTGACTGCATATCCATGTGTTTTGACATCTGTACCATTAACATACGTGTGAGCATTCGGGTTCGTGGGCTGCATCTTGTTTCAAATGCAGGGCATAGTTATGGGAAATTCCCTCTCCGAAGACTTCCCAAATCATCCAAATCATCATGAGGATCGGATGTTTTTTTTAGACTCTGAAACTGAAACATTCAAAAGTCGATAAGTCGATAACCATACTTAGTACATCTTAGTACTTGAAAGATCTTGAAAGTGAATAAAAAACCATCCCATCATGCTTTCAGAATGGGAATTTGATGGGAATCCCCAACATTTCAAGATCAGCACCATTTCCCTTCCGTCAAATCTCGAGGCACGGCCTTCCAGATGAATTGGACACTGAAGAGGTGCAGCCTTTTGGAATTTTCCGGCCTCATGCCTCATCCAATAATATGGATACCCTCTGGTAAACTAACAGTTTGCTATTGAAAATGGCCATAGAAATAGTGGATTTACCCATTGAAAATGGTGATTTTCCATAGTTATGTAAACGTTTACCAGAGGGTAGATTGGATGGTCACTTAGTCTTTGGTAATCAAACATGGAAATTTTCACCACATTCATAGATGATTTTCCCATCAATGAAAAAAGTTCCATCGCATTATAGGGGATTCCCATATAATATGTCAAGTAATAGAGCTTCCAGTTATGTATCTATAAATGGTGAATTGTCCAGCAAAGCATGTTTGATCAGAAGGGGTAACCATGGTCCTGGCAACCAGGATTTTTTGGCTGATCTTGGGCCATTGATGTAGGGCGATTTCGCCAGCAACTTGGCTTGAGGTGGACACATCAGTCCTGCTGGAAATGATGGAGGAGAAGGAGCCGGTTTTTCACAGTGCCTGGATCTGCCAGAAAAATGGCTATCTCATCCCAGATCCAATGGTTTGTCATCATTTTCCCATCAAAAAATCCCAAGCCCAACAGCAATTTTCGGGGCTAAGTGCAACCTATTTCTGGGTGCATGACTTAAATGAAATGCTGCAGCCCAACACCCGATGAGTCGTGCCGAAATTGACGGTGCCGTCGTGCTCCTCGAAGGATGGCAATGGTAAGGATGGCACGAATCCATCATCTCAAATCGGATGAATCTTTCCACTTCAACGAAGCATGATCATCTAAAAAATCATCATGGCGAACCCTCCAAAACCATAAAGGATCCCCTTTTGACTACCATATACTACCATTTTATGGATACAACTGGGTGGTAGCAGTAAAAAACATGCAAGACTCGTCCCAAATGGCCCGGTGGATTGGGGTCGACCATGGTCTACCATGGTCACAGGAGGGTAGCATTGCCTTGGCTCTGAGTCATGGACTGCGGTCTCTTTGCATCATCGAGGCCCCTGAAACTTGGTCGTTTTGGGTGGACGGCGAAAACCTCCAGTTTTTGTGGTAGAAATGATGGCAAAACATGGTTTTACCAACGATTTTTATGGGGGTTTAAGTTTCAAACATGGGTTTGGAACGGTTTCAGCCAGTATAGATGTAACCCCTTTGGTACTCAAACATGGCTGGCTGGGCACTTTCCCATTTCTACTGGGAAACAGCTCTAGAATTTTTTCAATCAGATTTCCCACGGCCATGTCTATTGGTGTGGTTTTTCTTGGTTTTTCGTCAGTTTTGTCGGCGCCCAATAGAAAAATTGGGGTACAATGGGGTGTTTTTCCGCCCCACACATGGCACTTAGCAGTTTCTATCCCCCGGGGCCGATCAAAATCCTCTGGGATGATGAAAAATCGAGGATTTTTCCATGGTGAGGATGATGCATATAAGGGTGAATAATGGTGAATATGACATAAAGAGAAGATATGCAACATTGACAACAATGCTATACGTATGTATATATATATATAATTAATATTATATATACTGTTTTCAATATTCAAAAACAATAAACAACCATAATCATAACTTCATTGAATAAACATTTGTAGCAGATTGAACAATGCTAAATTTCCAGGCGATAACCATGTAATAATCATCATAGTTTGAGTACGATCAGACAACCAGCTGTCCCAACCAGCTCAGGCGCTTCTGACCCAAACCCCTGGACAGAGTCGGGAGGAGGCGCTGTGGATCTCAAGAAACTTTGAATTCTGGTGATCCAATTAGGGGCGATCATGAAAATTACTGGATATTCAAGTTTCAATATGATCACCAGTCTTTGAATATGATCACTTGGACTAGTGGATTCTAGTGGATCAAATTCTGGTGATCATTTATGATCATGGATGATCATTGACGTTCGTTTCTTTTGGTCCCCTAAACGGTTATGATGGAACACGTCCATGATTCATGATGAAAAGGTCTCACAGTGTTGGAGGGAACTAGCTCACCTGGCTCACAAAAACCGCAGAGTGCCCGCATTTCTTCACCCGGCAGGTGCAGTGCAGAAAGCAAACTCAAGATCTGCAAGGCTTGCTGATGAGGCTGGTGTTGGGCACTGTGAGCTGTGAGCTGTGTGAGCCACTGTGAGCCGGCAAGACTGGGAGGTGAGGTTAAGGCATTGAGATTGTTTCATCAATTCTTTGACGATTTTCAAAAGATTGGGCTAGATTTTGCTACTTTAGGTGGATCATCTGTAGCCATGTTTTTCACCATGTTTTTCGATGGGCTGGATTCGCCGTGATTCAGCATGACAGCAGCCATTTCTGGTGGTCCCAGGGTCCCAGCCCCAAGGTCTCTCAGTGTGAATCACCCTGCGACCTTCTTCCGGGCTTTGTGCCTTTCGCTGGGTTGGGACTCCCAGGAACCAAAAACGACACAAACGACCAAGTTTTTATTGGGCATTTGAAGCCTTGGGAAGCACCAAAACTGGTTATTTTGTAGAGTCTATGTTATGTATGTATGTATGTATAAGGGAGGGGACTGTTGTGGCCGCCTCTTTTTGAACTATTGTTGTCAAGTTTTTAATTAACCATGAACTATTTCACTGGGAAATCTACACAAAAAAGTCATGAATAACTCTTGAACCATTGTTTAGCCAAATGTCTTGCAATTTTATTTGGTAAGTTCCAGGCAGTCTTGACAAATGTCATGGGGGACACATGAAATTATTTCGTGAGAAACATTATTTGCAGCCTTTACCAAGTTTTGAAAAGGATCTGAAACTTTAGCAGCAATGGCCCTCAGGTTCATTTCATCAAAGTATCTTTGGTTCAGTTAGTGGTCTGCCTAAAAGGTCTTGCATGTGTATATATACTTTTTCTTTCTAAGCTGTCATCCTTGAAAATCACAAATTTTCTTGCAGCAGCAGTTCAAAATCTCAAGCTTTCAGCTTTCCAGGCATGTCAAAATCATTCAAAATCTGTAGATTTTTGGTATGCAGTTTATATGCAGTTTATATGTAGTTTATATGCAGTTTATATGCAGTTTTCAAAACTGCATATAAACTACATGTAGTTTGGTCAAAACTGCATATAAACTACATGTAGTTTTGAAACTGCATATAAACTGCATATAAACTGCATATAAACTGCATATAAACTTCATATAAAATTTATATGAAAATTCAAGGGCTGACATGTGGTTTTTAAGGATTTTGATTATACATTTGGACTTGATTCCACTGATTCCCAAACCTTTGGACACCAATATGGACATATAAAATTCATAGTGTGATGCAATCAAAACTGACAATGCCAGCAACTTGTTTCCTTTCCCAAAACTTTGAAACAATTGCAAGTGCAAAGGCCCAGTGCACTTGTTTACAAAAATGATTTGAAGAATCATAAAAGGTTATTTCTGTTCACAAGTAAGTAAGCATCTCTAAAGATCCAAGATCATCATATGTAAATCTCAAGTAAAGAGGTTTCAAGGAACCATAAAAGATTCTTTTGGCTCACAAGGAAACATCTGTACAGGCCCAGGATCATCCCCTACACATGTAAGTCTCAAGTAAAGATGCTCTAATATACCACAAAAATCCAAGAACATCACATGTAAATCTCAAGTAAGGATGTTTTAGGCAGGACAATACAAGTTTCTGTTTGTGTTCACAAGTAAACATCTGTACAGGTCCAAGAACATCACATGTAAATCTCAAGTCAAGAGGTTTTAAACAAAACAATAAACTTCTTTGTATTCACAAGTAAGCATTTGTACAGATCCAAGAGCATCACATGTAAATCTCAAGTAAGAATCTTTGGAGGAAACTGTCAGTGAACATATAGAGATTGAAGTGCTAGCTACTATTGGAAAAATGTATATGGAAAATCCAAAACTGTTTCAAGTATCCCCAGGTTTTTGCCTGCAACAAAGAAGCATGTTTCAAATGTTATGGATGCTTGGTCCCAAAATGGTAAAAAGACAATGATATGATCTTTACATGAACCTGCGCCTGGCATAAAGTACTCAGGCTTTGTTTGGAGGGTCACTTGATGGATCCTTAATTGAAGAAACTTAATTGAAGAAACTTCTATGTGCCAATCTTTACTTGTGGATTCAAACAATATGGTATATATTTGATGGATCCTTACTTGAGGAAACTTCCATGTGCTAATGCTTACTTGTGGATTCAAACGACATGGCCTATATTTGATGGATGAGCAGGGAATATAGAAAATTAGCTAACCACATGTTGGAAATTAGTAGTTAAATAGATCTGATGATCTTAGATTAACTTGCTTCAGTAGTCCAGACACAGAGAGAGCGGCGCTAAAAGCCAATAAAGGCAGATGACCAGAGAATATAGAAAATTAGCCAACCACATGTTAGTACTTAAATGTTAAATAGATCTGATGATCGTAGATTAGCTTGGATTAATCTGGATTAATCTGGATTAATCTGGGACCAAAAAAACCAAAAAAACAAAAAACCAAAAAAACAAAAAAAACCAAAAAAACCAATGTTTTGGAGACTAGTCTAAAGATAGCCCTGATCCAAGTAGTCCTGAAAACTTTTTTTTTTTTTGCTTTTTTTTGTTTTTTTTGGTCCCAGATTAATCCAGATTAATCCTTGGGGCTTGAACAGATATCAACACACAAGTTATCGGAAGGGAATGTTGTGACACCCAAATCTCACAAGAATACAAGTTATCGGAAGGGAATGTTGTGACACCCAAATCTCACAAGAAGTATTCTTTATACATATTAAGTGTGAGATTTGGGCGGCCACAACAGTCCTTTCTGATGTATAATTAATTATATATAATAATATATATATATACATATCTTATTTTTATATAGTACTGTACTACACCCGGAAATTGAAGGTATACTTTACAAAGTGTCCAAGCTTTGTCGGTCAAGTGCCCCAAGGTGTGAAAGGAAAGGCTCCCAAGGGAAATGCCTCGACCTTGTTGGCGGAGCAGGCGCGGCTGGAAAGGAACATCATTTTTACGCGATTGACATGGCCACCAAAATGAGATATATCAGATATACCCCCATTCTTCAGACATACCAACATAATCTAGAGTATTGAGTAATATATATATATAATTATATATATATAGATAGAAAGGCTATTTTCTAGTATAACATACCAGCATATCTCATCATATCACATATCATATATATATGTATATATATATATATGTATGTATATATATATATGTATATATGTATATATGTATATATGTATATATGTATATATGTATATATATATAGAGTGATATAGAGTAGAGTACAGTAAAGTATTGAGAATTGCCATGGATACAGCCACAGACCTTCCCATTCCCAGCTGGCAGGAGTTTGTCTCCCACCTTTCTAGCCGAGTGATGAGAGCCGCTGCCAAAGTGGGGAGCTGAAGTGGATCTGTTTGGGGGGTGGTATATGCTCAAGGTTGAAAATGCGGTACACCACATTTCTATGGCAGTTTGAATAGGGGAAATGATCATAAACCTTGGGATACCTTTGGCTTTTCCCATGATTTTTAGACAATCCCATGCTCGGTATGTTGGAACTATGCTCAGACTCAGAGAAAGTATGTCCAGAGCTGAAGTTGTTGATGGTTAGCCACAGCGACATCACTAAATGCCTTAGTTATCCTTAGTTCAGGTGGTGAATGATAGTTGCTTAAGGCCCAGATGATTATTGTGGAACCTATGGAACCTACGTGGGATTCCATTGCGCCCGATGGGTTCTGTTGGATCGTAGGCCTTAAAAGATCGTCGAGACATTCGTGACGATGACGAGGAGGCTGAGGAGGCTTGCCAGTGCCAAAATCTTCGCGGCTTTCGCGCTTTCCAGTGAGGGTGTAACCAAGCAAAACCACTTGAATTCTCTTGGTCAGGGCAAATTTTCAGTGAAACTGATTCCATTTCAGCGAGCCCAGCGACGAGTGTCATCTTTGAACTTGACTACCTTGAAATTATGGAGTCTCCATCTTTGGTGAATATCACTAATGTGGTTAAAACACTGCCATAAACCACAAAAATGACTGGGAATGGTAAACATACCATCTATTTATGGTGATGACTGGGGGATGGTAAACATGGCATTGTTTTACCCACGTTTTTTTCACTATCTTTGACGGTTGACCAATCTGATCAGACCTATCGGTTCTCGGCAGCCTGGGGATGCCAGGGGAGCGCCACCAGCAGAGAAGCCATCATCCAACACGTTTGCAAACGCTTTCTCTCGGGTCCGGGTCCTACGGGTCCTACAGATGCAGATGGCCACGTGTCACACGTGTCGGGTAGTCCGCAGGCTAGTGGAAATGGTGTATTCTGGGAGTATCCCCTCATTTTATGGCATTTTCATCGGGAACATGATGATGAACCACATGAACATCGCCAACATGAATGAATCTTAGCACTTGAAAACACGATATTTTGGAGTCAGCCCAAGATGAATTTCGCAGCATGCTTCAACCAGCCTTGTTTTACTTGGAGCAGGAGCAGTTGCCTCAGGTGATCATGCAGAGATGGGCACCTCTTGGGAGTTCTTGGATGAAATCTGTCGATTCTCCCAGCCCGGGTGGCCCAGAAAATCCGAAAATCCCAACGCCGCCGCCATGGCCGCCATGGGTGGGTGGGCCGCGGTGGCCGTGGGGGAGATGGGAAGTTGATGCACCACTTTCGGGAGATGATGGAGACTTGTGGCTGGGCGATAAGACCATCTACCCTCTGGTAAACGTTTACACTTTGCTATTGAAAATTGCCATAGAAATAGTGGATTTTTCCATTAATAGCATGGTGATTTTCCATAGTGGGTCAGCGGCCCTTGTTTTCCTTCTGAGCCGCCATCTAAGTCTTTAAGTCACTTTAAGTGATGACATTGATTCCATAGTTGTGTAAACGTTTAGCAGAGGTCGGATACTCGCTCCCGACGCCGAAAATCAACTCGCTTTCAACGGAAAACCGACTCGCCCTCGACGCCGAAAAGTGCTTTTTGTGTTGGAAGTGAGTTGATTTTTGGTGTTGGGAGTGAGTTCTTGGTGTTGGGAGTGAGTCGGTGTTGGAAGTGAGTTGATTTTTGGTGTTGGAAGTGAGTGGTTAACCTTTTACCAGAGGGTACTTTACAAATCTTTGTATGCATAAATAATCATAGATATACTCATTGTACATATGTGATATGTCCACACGTTTCAAACCACCCATACCCATCCATACCCCAATGTTCAGGTTTCAAAACCATTCAAGACCCAAACCATCAGTGTTCAAAACCCCTTTTTGGTTGATTTCTGGACTTCGGGGAGTATATTATCAGGCTTATCATTACAATTATAAATATATACCAATTAATATATACTATCCTCAATTCATTGGGTATATCATATTATCAATATCAAATCAATCAATATCAGAATAATTATATAATGATCAATCCAACTAAAAAAAACCTCAATTGGTATATCTTTTGGATTGATGAGAATCTCATTGAATTGAGGAATTTTCCTACAGGGATTATCACCTCCATCAGGATCATCCTGGGCGCGATCCACGGCGACTTGCCAGGTCCAGCTCTATGCTGAGCTCAGCACTGCCGAAGGCCGGCACGTTCCTGGCTTCGTTGGCGACCTCGTGCCGGCCTTCGCGTCGCGTTGATGGGGGATGATGTTGGGGGGGGGATGTTGGCAGAACTAGTTGGAAAATCCTTGGAAAATCCATGGGAAAATCTTATGAAACTTCAGCACAGAAATCCTTGGATTCCAGTGATTCCAGATTCACAACTTTTTGGGTCGGAAAATCTCATGGGTGAATCACAAGTCGCTTCACAAGTCGCATCACTGAGGCCGGATGAAGCTGCCACCAGAGCTGCGGTGAAATGCTGTCAGTGCGACGGCTCCTCAGATACGTAGAACCCTGGCACTGGGGTTCTACGTGGAGAATGAATTCATTGGGAACATTGGCAATTCATCCACTTCTGCAATTGGCAAGTGGCACATTTCATGGAAAAGTTCCAACTTTTAAACAATCTCAAACAATCTCAAACATCTGTACTTTGATATTCGCCAGAATTCCCCAGAATTCCCAGGCCAATTTATTGGCGTCTCCCAATGGTTAAACAAATCCTCCGGAAATCCCTCAACCTCGACCGCTGGTTGCTTCGCCAAGGTCGAGACTATGGTTTTTACCTTGGGCCATGGCATCCTGCCGAAGCTCAACGACATCACCCAGCCACTGTTGGACTTGGCGCAGCGGGTGGATGCCTCGAACTCATGGTGGATTACCATGGATTACCATGGATTACTGAAGGTAATGAAAGATTTCCATGGCTTTTTTCACCGATTTTGTTGGAAGATAGACATCTAAATCTGCTTTTTCCTGGCGATTTTTGGTGGGATTGGATCAGATCTTCAGCTTAGGAGATCCGATTCATATGGCAGATGCCTTGTCGGATTGGAGATAGGGCCAGATAGGGTCCTTGCTTGAATTTGAAGATGATCCAAATTTAAATTCACAACGCTTCTTGCAAAAAAACACAGAAAGTAACATATAGTAACACAGTAGTCATCAGTAGTCAGAGTAGATTGACTTGACTTGATTGATCATTCCATGGAATGGTAGGGCCTGGTAGGGAAAATCGGAAGCGGAAACGGCGGAAACCATCGATTTTCCCATGAAATATGGCTTTTTCATGCTTTTTCCTGTTTTATTGTCCCATTTTCCTATGGTTTTCCTATGGTTTTCCCATGGTTTTTTTCCATTGAATCATCGAATGTTTCAGCCACCCACGCGAGCCGAATCTGACTGCCGACTCAGGTGGTGCAGTCGTCCCAGTCATCAGAGTCGGCGCTGGATCTGGACTGCCACCTGGATGATTTTTTTCGCTACACATGGGAAAACCATAGGAAAACCATAGGAAACCATAGGAAAACCATAGGAAAATGGAGGTTTACCCTCTGGTAAACGTTTACAGTTTGCTATTGAACATGGCCATAGAAATAGTGGATTTACATGGATTTACCCATGAAAATAGCATAGTGATTTTCCATAGCTATGTGTGAGAATCACCCCACACTGGCAGCGAGCAAAAGTCAGCACCTGTTTTGGCCGGTGCGCTTGAGCCACACGTTGTGGCGGTTGGTACCTGTCAGCCAGGATTCGGTTGCCTGACATCAGGTGCAAAATGAACACTTATGTTTCCATGCCATGCCGTATGTTGTCCTTAGTTGACATGCTGACACCTGCAAGTTCATCAGTTTTCACACCCCTATCATTTTTGGCATGAAACATGAAGTCCATGTACACATGTGATCCACTCATGACGCTACGCAGGTCTGATGTGTCCATATGTTTGGTCAGACCATCCGCCAGCATGGTTTTGGTATTACACTACTGTACACGCGTTGTTCCATTCTCAGGCGGTTTCTCATTCAGCATCGTATCGCCATAGCTTTGCCCATTCTCTCGCCAGATCATTTGCCGCATTCCACATATGTCGATCGCCAATCTCTTGTCATTCACTTCGCCTCCAGAAACTTGCACAAGGTGATCCTTCAGGGATCTGCAGTCAGTGACTTGGTGAAGCGTCACCATGTCTTTCGATTCAACCTTCCAGCTTGATTCCAGAGGGTCATGGTCTTTTCGAAGTCCATGCAGCACCATTCGCAAGTGCTCAGCCTCTTCGTAGCCTGACAACATGCTCAGACTTTCAGCTTGAAGTGTTGATCTGCAAACTCGGCGGATCACTTGGCTCTTCCAGCTCAAAAGGTGAACTGGCCCTTTTCCATCTTTCATCACTTCTGGTCCACCAATCAGCAGCACGCGTCCAGACTGAGATCTGAAACCCATTTTGTTGCCATTCTTGTCCACATCGAAATCAGCAGCATGACTCGCATCAGTCACAGAAATGATCTCCAGCTTGTTGAAATCGAATTGATTCCATCCATAGACAAGTTCCTGGTCGCGCGTCATTTGGGCACGACGTAGCAAGGCATTGGCTTCAACTAAATCTTGAACCACAGGACATTGAACACATGTTTGCAAGTGATTGGTATCGTATGCTAAATCTGGTCTGCAAACTCTGACTATCCAGTTCAATGATCCAACAACACTCCGAAGTTGCGCTTGCTCTTCGGTGGTGGCTGGAGACATGCGGTCACGTTTCCGACCAGTGCTCAGTTGAATTGGCCTGGTCTTTTCAAGTCCATGAGGGCATGTCACAACGATGCCTTTCTCAGTTTGTTTTATCACACGACCGCAATACTTGAACTCGGATTCTTCCACTTTTCCAAACTTCAACTTCTGCTGAACAACTTCCATCGCTTTCTGTGTGGCTTCACCACCACACCAAAGCAAATCATCAACATGACAAACAAGCAAACCATCAATTTCGCCATTCGGCTTGTTCATCACATATGCACCTAGTTCATGAGGGACAGCTCGGAAGCCAGCTTGGAGGAGAGTTCGGTGTAAGGCTCGCCAAAATCCACGTGGCGCATCTCTTGTTCCATAGACTGGTTTCTTGGCTCGGAGCAAGGAACCCTTTGGAAGTCCAGGGATTCCATCCCAGGGCATGCTCAGGATGAGCACTCTGGCCAGACCAAACCCTTGGAGAAATGCAGCAGTGATATCTCCGCAATGGAGATTGAGATTGAAGCAGGCACAGAAACTCAAAATCAAACTCAGCATGAGGTGGCTGGCAGTTGGTGAATCGGTGCGGTACTCATTGTCCTTTTCCAAATCACCACGCACCACTAGCCTTGACTTCAGAAAGGCTTCTTCACCACCATCGCTCTTGTCAACATCAACCCAACGTGTTGGGAGAACTTGTGCATCAGGGTGAGCATCTAAGAAGTCTTTTGCCTTGTCTGGCGGAATGACATCACATGCATCAAAGTTGGACCAATTCTGCCATTCCCTTGCTCGTGCTTGGTCAATCTTTTGACGGAGCGCATCATCAGACTTTCCATAGTTCAATTCCTTGTTGCCCTTCTTCTTCTTGACTACTTTCTTTGGAGTTCTGCGGGCAAGGAAACCAGAAAATGATTCAGCTTGCTGTTTCTGTTTGGAGTTCTGAGTGCAGAACATGGCAGTAGGAGGAGTATTGTTGGCTCTCGGAGAGCGTGATCTGTTTCGGCGTGGATGTCCATCAAGTCGGTTGACTGATCGTCGCATGGCTTCTTGAAGTTCTGAAACTCGATGAGCTCCTTCAGGAGTTGGTGGCGCTGGAGTTGGTGGCACCATCTCTTGATCAGGTTCCAATTCCGTGAGAAGTCGATCACGGGCTGGACCATCGGGAGTTGGAATTGGCGATGTTGGAGTGTAGGACTCCTGCATGAATTCATCCATGTCATTGAATTCCAGTGGAGGTGGAACTGGTGGTGTCACAAGTCCAGGTGACTGAGCCACAAGTCCAGGTGGCGGTCGCAACAAGGGATCTTCCTCAAATCCAGGAGGATGTTGCGACATGGATGGAGCCACAAGTCCAGGTGGCTGAGAATCCATCCCATTGGAGTCCAAGTCCACCAGAATTTCTCCACCAGTGACATCAGGATAAGGAATCTGCTCCTCAGGTTCAGGTTGTTGAGGTTGAACATCAGGTTGAGAGAGAGCAGGAATCACAGGAGTTTCTTCAGCTTGTTGTTGTTCTCCACCGCCACGACCAAGATGGAAGAAGGATCCTTGGTCGTCTTCATCTCCAATTCCAACAGATGGATCAAGATCATCTCCAAATGGAACTTCATCTTCTCCCACATCGTCTTGCAAGACTTGTCGCTTGCGTTTGCGTTGAGGTTTGAGCTCGGTGAGCTGCTTGGCAATGACTTCACCAGCTAAGGCTGGTCTCACCTTCTCCTCAGCAATGACGATGGGGATGCCGCCATGGATCAGCCAAAGGTTGGAGCGACCTTCACGTCCAATCATACGTGCAGGCCCATACCATCTTCCTTCTCGGTGAAAGCACAGGAGATCACCAGGATGGTATGGTCCACGGAGAGGTGTTGATCTCCGCATCAGTGCAGTTCGCACTTTCTGACTGGAGTCCACATGTGCAAATGACTCCTTGGCTGCTTGGCGGATGTTGAGCTGCTGGGCAAATTGGTTCTCGCCAGTGAGAATCTCTTCATGTACTCCAAGTTCTTCTTGACCTTGTTCAGTGGTCAATGAGCAGATCTCCACTGGCATCCTTCCCAACACCCATTGACTTGGAGAAAAACCTCCGTTGTTGATCCTGTTGTTCTTGACAAAGCAGCATTCACTAACCACCATGCGTATGTGCTGTCCTCCAACTACATTGCGAGATTGGACAGCATGAGAAACCATCTCCTTGAGGATGCCTCCATGTCGTTCACATCTGCCGATTTGATGTGCAGCTTCTTTTCCTGCAAAACGCAAGTAGATGCCTTGGGAGTTGACAAGCTCTGCAAGACGTCCACGGTTTGCCACTCCTCTGTCGACAGTCAGGAACCTCGGTGCACCAAAGATGGTGAGCCATCCATCCCGTAGGGCTTCGGCACATTTCAAGCTGCTAGGTGTGCCGCCTTGATCAGAAACAATCCAGGCACAGTGATAGAGGGTTCCCAAGCAAATCACACTGAAGACAGTGTAGCGGTTTCCAATGGCGTCTCTCACTTCTAGGCAATCGGCAGAGATCTCATGGTTGAAGGTGTATGGATTGGGAGGCCGGACAACAGGGCGAGGCTCAGGACGTTTGGTCTGTTGGCAGGCCTCGCACTTGAAAAACTTCAACTTGTGGAGAACTTCAGGTGATGCTCTTGCAACTCGCAGCATTCTGCCCATCGCTGAAGTGCTTGCGTGTCCAGTCATCTGATGGAGACGTCTGACAGCAACTCGCTGGGCATATGGCAACTTCAGCCATTCTTGTTTTCTGATGGCATCTTGGGCAGCGACAGCTTCAGCTGATTCTTCACGGTGTTCTTCCAGTTGTAGTTCTTGTTCATCAGCTCTGTGCTTACCATCGGACTCTAGAGCCATATCAGATGGTTCATAGATCATGTCAAGACTGCCCAGTGGGTTGTCTTCCACGACAGCTTCGGCTGGGAAGGCGACCTTGGTCATGTTGGTCTCCAAATCCTGAAGAAGTCCACTCAGGATGGCCTTGCAAAAGTCCAAAGGCCAGTGTTGAGCCTTGTGAGTTCGGCTCGATCCTTCCAGCCGTTGGTGATGGTGTGAGCCATCGCAGGTGACGTTGAGGCACTGCTTGACTCCGGCGGATGCCGTCATGATTCCAGTGGGCTTCTTGTGAGGCATGTAGTTCTGCTCATCGGCAAGTCCAAACATGCATTGATCGCACCGCACAGCTTCCAGGTGCTCGCCGCTCACTGCATCAGTAGGGGCATCTTGCAAGAGCATTTGCACGCAGAGTAAATTCCACATCTGCGAAGGCCATGGTTGTTCAAAAACAACTTGCCGCCCTCTCGACAATCTCTGTCGTATGATCTTCACGATCCACTTGATCACAGGCCTCCATTCCATTCTAACATCATGGAGATGTTCGGCAAAACTGGGGTCACGGCTGGCATTGACAAACTGCCAAGGTGACCACGGTCCACAGACCGGAGAAAAGCTGATGCAGTAGGGGTCGTCCGCCTCTATCTGCCGTTCAACTTGGGCACGATGCTGATGAATTTTGAGGTCGATGCCGTCATGAGTGACATCAACAGGTTGTGAAACAGGTAGACCACAATCTGCCGCAATCATGCTGAGAAGAGCAGCTCCAGCAAAAATCTCTAGCAGAAAGGTCTTGCATCCCTTCGGGAGAGTGCGCCGTCGAAATCCAAGATGGTGTGTGGCACGTAGGCAGTCCCACATGTGATTGTCAGTCTCCTTGACATCTTGGATAGTATCCTTGAGCTGTTTCTTCTGACCCTTGGTGAGGACGGTCTTGGAAAGCTCATCGACGGGCAAGTGAACTTCTGGGGTGAGTGGAAGTTCATCTTCTTCTTCAACTTCTGGTGTGGTGTTCTGGTGATCGCCATGAGCATCTTTTCCATGAAGTTGTTGTTCACCAGAGTCACCAGATTCATGTGTGCAGCTCAATCCAAGGTAGCTTGGAATCAGTCGAATTGCTAAAAGTCCATCACGCTGCACAAGTTTCAATTCACTGCCAAGAGTGCTGCTGTAGACGACATGGTTGGGAATGTCGATCTTGAAGCCAAGCTGACGTTGAGTCTCAAGGCTCAGCAGCAAGGGTGCTTGGGATCCTTGAAGTTCCAAGGAAGGCATAGTACCGCGGGCAAAGGTGCTGTCGGCCAACTCAAAGCAAACTTCCAAAAGCCGACGTCCGCTGACTTTCATGTTGCCACCAATGCCACGCATGTTGGAGCCCTCGATGTTGTCAAGGTGTGCTTCAGGAGCTCCAGTGGCCTTGATGAAGCGGTCATACCATTGGCTTCCATGGCACGTCGCATTGCATCCGGTGTCAAGGATGGCAATCAAATCATCCTCACTGCCAAGTTGAGAGGAAGGCTCTGTCACCGCCATAAGTCCAACAGCTGGTGCAGAGGCTGAGGATGAGCTGCGACGCATCTCCTTGAAGTAGTGGCACAGATGTCGAAGTCCAGAACTCATAGTCTTGCCACTTCGGAGAACATTTTGTTCTTCTTGGAGAGCCCATTCAACATAGTCCAAATCACACCAAGCCTGGTAGTAGGTCTGGTTCTTGAATTTGCCAAAGTTGACAATCCTCTGGCCCATGTCATCAAGGTGTTCAGCTGGACCAAGTGTTGATGCACTCGCTCTTGACTTCGGTGTTGCAGAGTGCTGAGAGTACGTTGTTGATCTTCTGGGAGTCTGGTACTCGGAAACTGGTAGAGCTGCATCCATGCTAGAAACGCCAATCGCGTAGTCCAGCAGCATGTGAAGTTCAGTGGATGCGATCTCGTGACCGGCTTGGGAATGCGTCTCCTTGGTGCGCAGTGCAAAGTCCAACATCTGTCGAAGACGGGGAAGTTGATCCACGGTCAAGATCTGCTCCACAGTTCCCGGCATCACCACAGAAGAAGAGGAAGCTCTGGCATTGGTCCTTGTTGTTGAGCTAGCAGGTTGGGTGCCAACAGGTCCAGTGCGAACTTCACCACAGTCGCGACATGTGCGTCGCCATCGATAGCCATTAGTTCCATGCCAGGTGACATTTCTGTGTGTGCATGTGCCACCTGCAGGATCTGGTGCATTCGGCGGAGTTGAGGTAGCAGTGGTTGGCATCTTGGGCTCCCTGGACAACGTAACGCCACAGTCAAGGCACTTCTTGATGTGGTAGTATCCATTGCTGCCACGTGTCGTGACATTGACATGCCGGCACACTGCGGCTGATGATGCCGCTTTGGCAGGTGCAGGCGCTGGAAGTTCAGCAGGGAGTTGTTGTGCTGCAGCTTGAGGTACCTGAGCAACAGGTGGTGGCCGTTCTGGAGTCACAGGCTGTGAAGATCTTGCGGCATGATCAAAGTCGGTGATCTCAAGTCGTTCAGGAAGACGTGGAAGGTCTCGGAAAAGTCCAGAGAGACCTTGGAGATCACGTGGAAGTCCATATTCCGCAAGTTCAGATGGCATCTCATAGACCACTCTGCCATCATCTCGGGTCTCAGCCACTCCAAGAGCGTTGACCAGCATCATGTTGTCAAGCTCTTCAGTTGTGAGCACGCTTCCATCGCTAACATCATTCTGCAAACTTGGAACCACAGCATATTGAGCAGGAACATCATCAGAACCTTGTGCACGAGCAGCTGGAAGTCCATGCGCTGCAGGAAGTCCACGTGCAGTAGGGTTGTCAACATATTGACCTTCTTGGAGACTGGATGGTGGTGGCACAGCGTTGTACTTCTGTGCCATGAATCCATGAAGTCCAGAAGATCCACCATCATCATGCACTGCAAAGTAGACAGTGCGAGGCTTGTGCTTGTTCTTGCCGTCTCCTTTGTCTGGTGTCGAAGTGGTGGCAAAGGTCTTGGACTTGCCCTTGCCCTTGGGGCATGCAGGGTCGCCACTCCAGTGGCCAACTTGTCCACATCGACGACAAGAGGTCTTGGCCTTGAGCAACTGTAACTTCTGCTGGCGTTCAGACAAGGAGAGCTGGCCAGAGACGTCAAAGTGACGTGTGCCGCCCTTGCCCTTGCCTTTCCCCTTGAAGCCCTTGATGCCCTTCTGCACAGCACGGCCTCGTGCGTAGAAGGCTTCAAGGTCAGCTTGAATCACATCAGCTGCATACTCCATTGACTCTTCACATCCAAGGTCGAGTCCATCATCAGCCAGCATGGCCAGAAGTTGGCCTTCATCAACTGGTTCATCTTCATGTCCATGGTCATAGTCGGCTTCATCATAGCCGTCACCATAGTTGTCATTCTCAGCCTGATAGGCCTCGGCAGTCTCCCAGTCGTAGGTCTCTTCAGCCATGTAGCCATGGTGGTGCGAAGCTCCATGTTCACGTTCATGGATGCGAGCATGCTGGGCGATCAGCTCAGTGCTCACCTTTTCAAGAGTCATGTCACCACCTATGGCAGACCTGATCAAGAGTTGCATACTCTCTGAAATACCTGCGTTTGTCAGGGTTTGTTCAGCCAGTATCAAGTCTGGCAACTTCAAGTCACTGTTCAAATCAATCATAGCACTGTGCCATGCTTGACGCCTGACAAGGTATGTGGCCATGGGTTCTTGTGGTTGCCTGGACAAAACACCTCCAGGTTGTGCTCCTGCTTGGTACAACTCACGTGCTTCTTGAATCCTTCTAGGTTTCAGACTCTCACCAAGTTTCTTCAACAACGTTTCAGCACCTTTTTCTGCAGCTAGGTCTGAGGTTGACATCAACTGAGCAACGCGCAAGGCAGGACCGGACAAGTGCTCTGCAAGGCGAAGTCCAAGAGGTCCGCATTTCTTGCGCTCATCTTCAGGCAGCAACTGTTCTCTGGCTATCCTGGCCCTCACTCGCCAAGAATATTCCATCAGCTTCGTTGGATCTCCATTGAACCTCGGAAGGTTGCCACCCTTGCTGTCAGTGAACGATGCCAGGTCCTCTGCAGCCACAAAGTTTTTGTACTTGAAGGTTTCCAGCAGCGCCATGTGCCCTGCTGCAAGCGCTACGAAGCGCGGGCTTTAGAAGTAGGCCGCTTTGGCCCCGGAGCAACAGCTCCGCTACCAGTGTGAGAATCACCCCACACTGGCAGCGAGCAAAAGTCAGCACCTGTTTTGGCCGGTGCGCTTGAGCCACACGTTGTGGCGGTTGGTACCTGTCAGCCAGGATTCGGTTGCCTGACATCAGGTGCAAAATGAACAACACTCATGTTTCCATGCCATGCCGTATGTTGTCCTTAGTTGACATGCTGACACCTGCAAGTTCATCAGTTTTCACACTATGTAAACGTTTACCAGAGGGTAGATAGTACAGTAATCATAGGATTGGTTTTGTTGCGAAAATTGGAACCGGACACCTCCCATAAAACTCGGTAAAACCATGGTAAAACCGGTTTTGATTTCTCCCAACACCAATCCAATAAAGTATAAACTATCATAAACAATCTATAACTGGTTATGAATTGGAACATGAATTTTATTTTCCCATTTTCGTTGGGATGATGATCCAATCTGACGAAGTCCATCATTTTTCAGGGGGTAGGTCAACCACCAATTAGTATAAAGATGTAGAGATGACCCGTCATCTTAGAGATTTGATCCTTAATTTCTCAACATCTTAGAATAGCCGTGCACGGCCCTGGAGGATGGACAAATTCTACAAGCACTTGGAGCGCTGTGCAGATCAGTTGGCGGAGTTCTTTCACCCTTCTTGGGACAGTTCTTACAGGTGCACATGGGATCAGAATCCTGAATTCAGCATAGTTTTTATCGGAGAAACCATGAGAAAGAATTGCTTCTCCAACTAAGATGAACAGACATGGAAAATGAGCTGAATGCTTGGGAGTTGGGGGCTCGAAATAGGGCTCACTGATGGGTGCTTTGTATTTCTATTTCCATTGTTTCTGTGGTCTCTGTGAGCATCAAGAAGTCTTGCCTGGCGTTTTCCCACCATTTGCAGTTTGAGTTTGTCTGAACATGGATTCTATACCCATAAAATGGCAATCATATATCTATTATCCTAACACATTAACATATGCAGTTTTACGGATATCCCGCGATATCCCCATCTAAAACCATTCGGTTTTTAGGCTTTGCCCATCGTTTTTTTGCCGCAAAGGACCTGAACCTTTTGAGTGCCGTGAAAGTGAAAGTAAAAGTTCCTATTGTTTTCCCATCATTGAGTGCTGACAACTGGAGCTCTAGGTGGTCTGTGCTCCTGCCAGCCTGCTACGTACCAAGTCCCTGGAGGAGGGCTTGGGGGAAAAAGTCATAGGAAAATCATAGGAAACTATGGGAAAATCGTGGAACATATGGGGAAATCCACTATAAATTCTATAAATCGAGATTTTCATAGGTCTATAAATCTGTAAATGTTTGATGAACATGGGATCTCATGAGATTGTGAGCAATCCGCAATCGACAAGTGGAATCCCCTATTCATATCTATTCTGGTTGATAATGAGAACCCATGAAGTAGGATATGTAGGATTCCCGTCCTTAACCAACATGGCTCATGGGATTTTTGACGGAATATCATGGGACAAATAGGATACTCAATAGTTGGGTAAATAATTTTTGATTGGATTGAAACACATTCATGAATAACGAAATTAGTTCCCAACTTGAATTGTATTGTTTTGGCATTATTTTGCATTCCTTCCTGTTTGGTTTTGAACCGCATCATTGGCTGTTGAACATTGCTGCATGGCACCCCCAAGCCGTTGGACTTCGAAGATTTCAATGTCCAAACATCTTCAGATGATCTGACTCTGGCGTTTTTTGCGTCCCATTTGGGCCCCGTTTGGGCTTGGCCAAAAATCACCATAAAAAAGTGATAGATGTGGTATGTGACATGTGGTATCCCATTCATGCTGCATGAGGAGCTTGCCAGCCAGCTGGTGGATGGGGTGCCCCATCGCCTTTTGCTCAAGGAGGCTCAAGCCATGATGGCTGCCCCTTACCATGATCAGCTTTAGAGGATGGTGCCAAGAAAATGGGGTGCCCAAATTGGGATTTGAAAAATGGGGTAAAGTTACCTGATTCACCCGTGAGGCGCAGTGAGGCTAAACATGAGGTACCGTACTTTGAGACAAAGCCATATTCCAGCTTGCGCAGTTTGAATGAAATACAGAAATCCGAGACTCAATTGGATACTGAACATATGGCTGTGGATCAAAGTTGAGAAGACACAAAGAGTGGATCGCAAAGATGCGAGGCCAAATCTGACAGAAGAAACCCAGTCAGTTACAACAGACTTATCCTCCAAAGCCATGCTTTGAGGTTGCATTTCAAATTTCTGGGCCTGCATCGACAGGGGCAGGGATGACATGGGATGACCGAAGTGTGTAAATATCTATGTATTACCCTTATTTATGATATATATACCCCCAGGCCGGTGCCGCCCAGAGCTTTATCATATCACCAACTGTTTAGGGTTTCTTTGGGGGCTGTTTAGGGTTCACCGAGGGTTTCATTTAGGGTTCTGAGTTTTTTCCCCCAACAAAAACAGATTTTACCAAGGCTTAGCCCCGTCCTGGTAGGTGCAGAAGGCGACAGTCGATCCCTTCAAGGATTCTGAGATGGACTTGGAAGAGGCCATGATCAGAAGTCAACGGCGCCTCGCTTTTTTTCGTGGCGGTTTTGGGGGGATTTTTTGAGACAAACATCGCGTTTTGGATGGATTTCATAGATTTTCATGGTGTTTGGGTCGGTTTTTGAAATCATTTTGTTGACGACTGGTGAAGGTTTGGACGTTTTTTTTGGTTTCGAGCTGATCTGGTCTAAAAATTTGGGAAGCTTCACATCTCCATTCTCCCTGTATCTTTGAGTGGATGATAGCCGAGAGACCAGTGGTTTCTCTTGAGGTTATCCACCTTCTACCTTTGGATCTTGGTGAAGGCTGGATTTGAGTCGCAGAAGTACTATTTGTCTTGCCCACGATCATGATCATTCACAGAATGAACCTCAGAATCAGTGAAATCTGTGACTGAGGCGACAAATCTCAGACTCAGCAGAATATCAGCAGACTTTGTTTAGCAGAATGATGCATAAGGCAGACTGTAAATCATATATGATATGGTATATAGCTAGACCTTTGTATCATCAACAAACTCCACCATAGAAGCCATGTCCTCCAACGATCCAACAATGACCTGCTTGGCCGGATCAGCCGGGGAAAATTCCTGGTCTAGCCATCCAAAACTGCTATGTTTTGGCAAAATGTTGATCCATGAACTCTGCTTTCTGTTGGTGACTCCAAACATACCCAATAGAGCCGCTCTAAAAACCTACCTTTACATTTTCAGTAAGGGCCTTGTCATAACGCGTTTGGCGTAAGCAAAACTCTCACTTAGCGTAAGGCCGCGTAAGGACTTCGCGTAAGGGTTTCCTCAATTTGCTTCGCGTAAGGAAAAGCTCTACGCGCGTAAGCATGGCGTAAGCTTTGGCGTACCCAAAATGATACGACATAGGGAGTGACTGAAGATTTTCAGAATGGCTCAATAGATTTTTGTTACAACTCCAAATATATCCAACAATAGTTCTTCATAGTTCTGAACATTTGAATTGCACCATGTGCATCAACAGCACGTCATACGTACAGACGAAAGCCGCCTGGCGAAATCGTCAGGCAACACCCGAGTTTGCGGCGTCCCATGATATCATGCCATCGCTTCTGAGGCGCGATTCTCAAATCGGGCAGTTCATTGAACCAAGTGATCCGTTCGTGTCTAGTTGATGTGGTTTTTGATCTGTTTATGATCTGTTTATGATCTGTTTATGATCTGTTTATGATCTGTTTATGATCTGCTTATGATCTGTTTATGATCTGTTTATGATATGTTTGTGATCTGTTTATGATCTGTTTATGATCTGTTTATGATCTGTTTATGATCTGTTTATGATCTGTTTATGATCTGTTTATGATCTGTTTATGATCTGTTTATGATCTGTTTATGATCTGTTTATGATCTGTTTATGATCTGTTTATGATCTGTTTATGATCTGTTTATGATCTGTAGTGGATTATGATCATTAAACAATATTATATAAACACATATTTATCACATTGATTTGAACAGCGAATAACATTTTTTGATTTGTGGATGATCTCAACTGAAGAGCACTTATCCAGTTGAAGGAATTGATTTTTTGATCGTTTGTTGATCAAGCAACTGGATTAATGATTCATCGAGCTAGTCATACCCTCAAAAGATGAATCACAGTAGATCTGAACCATGAAAAAATGCTAAATCACCATGAGAATAGTGAAGATGCACTATTTTTCTACCATGTTTTTTGGGGGTCATGTTCCTATCCAAGAATGGTCTATTCAGTACTCAGGATATCATCGGATATCCTGGGACCATGGGACCCACCGAAATTCTAGAGCCGATGATACATTTTGAATTCGGCAGCTTATTGCGAGATGTCTGTATATATACGTGTATATATATATATATTATATATATAAATAAGGTGGTCAGATAGATAATTATCATATGTATATATATATATTATACAAGGTATAATTGGATCTAATTAAATAGATGTGAACATAGTAAAAAACGCATCCATCGAAATCTCCCTTCGTTGACAGCGCTAGGCTCTTTGGCTGTTCCGGCAGCGCGGTGAGAGCCTTTCTCAGCACAGCTGATGCACAAGAGATCCCTTTGAGGCGCTTCGGATGGGAAAATCTCCTTAAAAAATCCTTCCTTTTTGTCACGCCTTTTTGTCACGGAGGACATCAACAGCTTAGTAAATATATGGAAGAATAATATATAATAATGTACTTAGCGAAAATATGAATAGTATGATATTTGCTGTGTTTTTGGTGACAATCAAGTGAACGAACATATGATAAAGATGGCTTGTTTTTGGTCTTCTACACACCGAAACCGAAATGTGTGTTGATTGAAATTTGTCATAACTTGGATGTCCAGATGTTCTATGATGGACCAGTTTGCAGGACATCGAATACAGCCATTTAA